AAAGTGAACAATATCATGCAGGACAGAGCAAACGGCCGAGCAGTAAACGGCCAATCGGCTTATTTTTTCATGCTCCTTCAGATGAAGCAATAAAATCAATAATTTTTTTGTTGCCAATACCCTTTAACACTGAGAATTATTAACTAAGATTGTATTACTTCATGTGGCGACGCTGTTTCCCGATTGTGAATTTAAATCATAAAATTCGGAATTTACTGTAAATGATACAATAACGCGTGTAGTGTTTTGGTGTAGATTTTCGTACTTTAATTAAAGTGAGGAGTTTATTCGAGGGGGCAATTAAAGAGATATACGTTTGTTCTCACATATAACGGCAATTTGGGCTTCTTAAACAACGCTTTCTAGGTGTTGGTTGTAACAGTTTGCAAATGGAGTGCGTGAATGAAGTTTAAAGTCAAAACTCTTCAATTTTAATTCCGTATACAATTATACTCCATTACACTTAAACTCGAGTTTAATCTCAGGAGCAGCGTTTAATCATCTAACACAAGTTTAATTTAATCTTAGTAAAAGCCGTCTAATGGAGCGGGATGTTCATGGCAATATGTTCACTGAACTTGTCTAGTAGACGTCAGGGGCCTGTTGTTAATCCTGAATTAAAGTGTTTATAAAACGAAATTTTTATGAAGAATGACTTTTACAATTTATTCGTATCTCATCTCATTCTTAAGTTATCGCACTTTCTATGTTTTGAGTTGTGACGTCACTAGTTTGACTCGAAATAGTGGCAATAACAAGAAAATCTGATATCTTGGTGATCATTTAATAAAATTCAATGAAACTTGGCACACTTAATTGAGTGCAACCAAGTGAACAATTTGGCTTGATTATACGGTTGTGATGGCAACGCACTCGTCCCCAGTCATCATTTCCAACGAAAAATAGCAATTTCTGCAATTTTCGCGTATTACTATAGTACGTATAGGTGTTGTGATCAGTTTAAACCGTTATAACAAGCAAACCTCCTCTGCAAGAGGTCTACAGGAGGAAATTTGTCAAAAGGAATAGAAAGGTAGAGATATATGTATATATACATATATAAATATATATATATATATATATATATATATATATATATATATATATATATATATATATATATATATATATATATATATATATATATATATATATATATATATATATATATATATATATATATATATATATAAATGCATAGCTACACAGTAGATGGCAAACCCAGTAGAGCAGTTAAAAACCTAAATTAGTCAATTTTAAAAATATATATAAAACAGAACACCGCATCAAAGCATCACGAAACCCAAGAAATGAGTTTAATAAAACATGGCAGGAAAAGAAATATTCGTGAATCTTAATTTACGGGTAAGAAGAAATATTCTTCCGTCACACCGACAACAAGCAGAGCAAAAATGCACCGTTTTCCTCCATTTTGTCAAACAGGCAAAATGGAAGAAAAATATCAAGATTTTCAGCTCGAAAACAATTTTACATTTGTGTAAAAACCAGGGGGTGGGCGTTTGTTTAAAGCATAGGATCGCGCTTGGTGAGTGGTAACTACCATGGGAAATAAGAACCAGTTGTCATAGAAATGGCGTAAGATCCGCCATGTTTGTGGCTTTACTTCTTTGACTGACAGGATAGGCTCAGTGCATACAATTTACTATTTACTTGCTGCGTTTTACTACAAAGATGGCGGACCCAAAGCATGCGCAGTAGAAAAGTGTGGACATGTTGCACCCTTGAGTGGGATCTCTGTTTAGCCTCTCTATTCTGTGATTTCAAAAGTTTACAGTCTCGAAAATATATTGTTCTGAAGATCTATATACAATCTTGTCACTTGTTACGACAATCATAAAATTTAAACCGACACACCAACCACTGGACTCTGTTATAGATCGAACATGACAAAATCAACATTTAGACAAAAGATCATCATCATCTAGTAATTTTATAATCAAAACCATCCTCAGAGATATGAATAAATTTGAGACTGTTTTTCCTATCAACTTTATTTTCCCCGAGCTGTGCGAGGGTACTAATTCCCCCGGCTATTTACACCCGAGGAAAGGGAAGCATTAGCCAAGTCTAAAGTTCATCAATGAGCGCGGGCGTTGGTCACCAACCGTGGGTGGTAATCCTCACTGATCTCAAAAATATGGTTGTTTGCCAGGAGTGGGATAAGCAAGATTTCAATTTTCAAAAGCATATATTTGGAAAATCACGTTTCACACAATGAGCTTTGAAGCAATTTTTGTTTGAAGAAATGAGAATTGATTTACTGTGGAAAATCGTGGAATATAGGGCAAGTTTGCTTTGAATGTTTAATATTTATGAATTTTGTTGCTTTATTATATAAAGTATAGTGCTTTGTAGAGATTTCGAGCACTGGTAAAAGTGATAATCTCACATGTGAGATTATTCATGATAATCTCACATGTGAAAATTATCGCTTTTCAATTATCGCTTTTCTGTAAAAATTATCGCTTTTCAAAGACTGTCCTTTATATAATAAACAGAAAAATACATGGGTGCTTGGAAATATATACCAGATTTATTTCTCGATCGTGTTGAACATGATATCTCAACATCATGTTCAACACTCGAAACATAGACGGATTTTCATATTTTTTACTGGGGTGGTGCCAGAAATTTTAGGGGGGTGAGCCGCGAGCAGGTGACTGAAGCAACACAAAGTGTCACCACACCCCAGTAAGGTCTATATTCTAGGGGCGGAGCACTAGAGCCGCGAGTGGGAGTCTAGAGAGCAGAAAACAAAGTATCCCTGGAAAAATTTGGAAAAAATCATGATTTCTAGCTTCGAAAAAACGTTTTTTGAAGTTGTCATATCAATGGATTTGGCCTGTCCAATTGTCTGTTGAGACTTGAGAAAGTTAAAGTTAAATGAACCTGTAAAAGTGTAAACCCAATAGGCCAATACACAATATGCTTTTACTTTTATAAAATCATTGACATTGTGTCGTTTGAATCCGAGTACAATTTATGATGTAACTCCGATGTAAATAATATTTGGGACGTAAAGATTAAATCTAGGCAAGACTATTTCCTAAAAGAATTAAAAACTAAAAATAATGTTCGTAAAATTTCCAAACGTTCCTTGCAAGAAAGCTATTTGCATGACAAGGCACTGCAAACTCTATTCAGGGGAGATAGTAGAGTTTCAAAACTTTACAATTGGTCCAATAAACCAGTGAATGCAAGCGAGGAGCAATTAGTTTCAGAGTATTGCACTGTCTTTTTCTATTTGAGTGTACTCCTACGTTTATTTTGTATCATCAACACTCTGCACGTTGGAGTGGACTATTTAATTATTTTTTATCATGCCGAATATTGGGGGGGGGGGTTGAACATTTTTTGGAGGGGTGGACATTTTGTTTGGGGGGGGTAATAGCTAATATTGGGGGGGGGGTAGCACCCCCCACAAAATCCGTCTATGACTCGAAATAAATCTGGTATTTCCGCGCACCCATGTATTATTCTCTATTTAATTTATTGCATAAAACATATGCACTGCTTTCCTTTTCTGTAAAGTTTGCTAAATTACCCTGTTTAATTTAAGAATAAAAGGGTAAAATGTAAAGGAGAGCAAATTCATTTGAAAACCAAACTGAAATTACTCAACAATTTGAACTTATTTTGTTTTATAAACTATATAAAAACCCGTACAGTTTTATATCGGAAAAAGCAGTTTATAGTTTAATATTAAAATGAACATTTCAAAACATTTTACGAAGCGATTTCACGTTAAATTTTACATTAAATCAAAGCTCACAAAATGCAGAACAACATACCTACAGTACATATTTCGGAAATTCATTGTTATATAATTATAAGCGATAATCTTTCAACTATTTTTGGCGTGTTATCCAAAAAATATAATAAAAATTAAATTTATCGTGTTGCCATGGCAACACCACAGATGATCGATTGTACCAGATGTCTCACTGTGTATCTATCCCTACGATTTTCGTGTCCGCGATTTTCGCGAGGCTATCACGCCAGATGACGCGTGCGACACTTACTGCCAAAATGGCGCTTACTGCCAAAATGCGTGATTGCTCGCGTTTCATGGCGTGGATTACACTTACTGCCAAAATGGCGGCCAACGCGTGCTCATAAAAAATCGCGGACACAATTTTGGCTGAGTGAGACATCTGGTATAATCTATCATCTGTGGCAACACTGACGTAAACGCGAGCCTGCGTCCAGTCACAAGTTCAGTGTTAATCAATAATACTTCTTGTTAAATCAATGTTTGGAAAATACATGCGAGGGGTTGCTGCATGCATGTATTTCTAGTACTGAATGTACTTTTACAATGGTGATTTTCACAAGGAGCATGGAAACACAAATTGAAGAGAGAAAACTACAATTAAACGACATACAGTGAATATAACAACTTTTAAAATACGTCAGACTTGACCAATCAACTTGTAGGATTTGTTATATTCACTTGCGCAAAAATACTAACTACGATTACTACTTGTTTTTACATCTGTACCAGCTATAGTGCCCACCATCATTGCAATGCTACTGTATAAGTATATATCCAAATGCTGCGGTGTTCTTGTTGTCAAGTTGATTACAAACAGCCATATTACCACACGTTGTCTTCCTTACGTCATCCTCGCATCCAGTTATTGAAGTTCCAAAGCCAATGCACGAGTCACAAGAATAGCAGTCGTTTTGCTCATTTGCCACCACGCCAATTCGTATGTTCATGTGCCACGAATACTGTTCACCAAAATGGTAAGACCCTTGTATATTAAATCCTTCTTCATTACAGTTGTCTTGCAAAGACGGACCATCGATAAGAGATTTCCATGCTTCATTTCCAGCGGTTGTTCTTTTAAAAGTCCCATCTTCGATCACACTGTGTAACGAATTTGCAGTGTAGTTTAACGCTATCCATTTTGTAGCACCATTGACTTTCATGCCGAGGCATATGTTGTTAAACGGTATGCTCCAGTAAGAAGCAAGTTTTGTTTGTTTATTATCCAAACCTTTAAGTCCATCTTCAACTGCGTAGGTTTCCTTGTTTGTCCAGTAAGGAGAGCTGTAGTTAAAGTCATTCTACAAAGGTGTCAAAGCAAAACGTTAATTCATTTCTCTATATAACTATTGTCTGTCAGTGTTTATACATTCTAAGAAATGATATTAGGCTACGATTATCCGTACCTTGTTCCCATCGACTTTCATCACTAGTGTCCAACCTCCTTGGCCACATTCAGATAATTCGGTCATGTGACAGTAAACTTGATATTGTTCGAGTGAATCTGTATTTTGCAGGTGGTAAACACCATTGCTTAGTGACCTATAAATACTACGCAGTTATATATGAATACTATGACAACAACGTAACATCGTGTAGATTTTAGTCAGAAATTTTAGATTAAGATATTTTGCACTACATTTCTAATCAAATTTTTATCATTTATATGCCCAGTGGTGTAGAGAACAAAGTTTGATTAAACTATATAACTTCGTTATATTTGATAGTTCTATCAGTTTTAAACTGTTATTCCTCTTAAAATCCCCTTAGCCTGGTTTCCATATGGTCGTAATGGTCGTAAAATAGAGTCACGATCTTTCTCAACGGCCAGTTGAGAAAGTTGTTATACCTGTAAACCACATATAAATCATAAGTATTCTCTATATAGTTATAATCACCCCGCGTTTTTCAGTTCCAAATGTTGTATTTCGGCTGCTGAGAAAGATCGTGGCTCAATCTTTACGACTGTTATGATCATATGGAAACCAGGATTTTGGAATGTCGAGACCACGACATTACAAAACGAATGCTTTCATTAAGTCTTTCATTATATATGTCAGAAAATAATTGTGCTGTAATGTGGCGCCTTACATACCTGTTTCTTTGCAGTAGTTCTTTACAAGATGATGCCATTTCTTGATTTGCTAAACAGAGTGAAATTTAATTCTCTTTTTAAATTAAGAACTTTTAATCGGTAGATTTTAAAAAGCTTTCTTACGTGTGGCAGATCAAATTTAGTTCGTTGAGAAACTTAATTGATTGACAGGTCTTCTATGTTTGTAATATTTACCCAATCAAATTGAAGAATGATGACGTCAGTGTTCCTAATTTGGTATGCATGCATGCAACTTTGTAACCTGTTTGAATTTCGCTTTGGTGCTTAATCATATAGTACAAAGTCTGCATGTTTTACAATTCGTGAAATTAACAATGTGTTGGCCTGATCATAGTCTATTTAAAAGATGTTGCCGCGTTGTCTGTTCAGTTATAGATTCCATACAAGAGTATGGCCTGTTTCAAATGTCGCGTTTCAGCCGCTTCTCATGTGCCGAACCCATTAGAAACAATAGATAATGAGTCATTTCAGCTGATTATCTACTGTTTTTAATGCGTTCGGCGCATGAGAAGCGTGACATTTGAAACAGGCCTATAACATGTATAATAACTTATATCTAATAAAAGCATGTATCTAAAGTTCGTCTGTTTATAAATAACCGTTTAAATCTCTCAGTCCTAACTTTGGGTAGAATATAATTGTGCATGCATGCTTGCGCTCTCTCAAACACCTTGTCCTCTTCGGTGGTATAACAGCTCGCTTAATGTATTATCAGGGTTACTTACAATTTTATTCTGAGGTAAAAGGAAGAGATACTAGAACAAATCCGGACAAATGTTATAACTTCTTCTACATAACTGCATGAAAGATTTAAACGCAGTCCGTTAGTATATGCAATAGATAAATATAACGATAGGCTAAAATTGTAGTTTTTAAATTGAGAATGTTAATATGATGCTAATAAGAAATTGTGTTGTCAGGTGGGCAGATTGTGTTTGGAATATAAGAGTAGTGTAATTGGCGATCATCTTAACCTAAATACTAATGTTTAGAAATATTTTAGTCGTGGGCCTATTTTAGATATAATTTTGTATATGCATGTAATATTCTAGAATCAGTTGTACAGGGTGTATCAAAAAAAGCGCAATCCTCGACTGAAATGTAAATTGCTAAACAAATAATAGACGAAAACGTTAAAGTTTACATTCATTTTAAAGCGTAGCCATTCAGCTTTCTAACAGTGGGTTGTTTCTTAAATTTGACTCATTGGTTCGCGGGTAATAATACTCTACGTTATTGCGATTGGAGATTAAAAAAATTGGGATGGAATAACAAATCGTTCTCATGAAAATAACTGATTTTTTCATTAAAACAAAAAAAATGTTGCATTTTATTAAATGGATTGTAACAATAAGTATAATTAAGGCTTTTCTTCCACTATTTTTAACTCAGTTTGAAACTTCAAATGCGATATAATTTTGGCTTGGACCATCTAAGCTGACTGACATCAACTTGCTATAATTTCTGTTTACATTACATCGCAATTCGATGACACTCTGGCTCAGACACCAGAATGTTTTGACAATTTTTAGCATTCGTTTAGGATTTTTAAACAACCTTGTCTCTTTTAAAATACTTTAAATTTGTTCTTACGTGGTTTTCCAGATGTAGTGACGACAACATTAAAGTTTAAAGAAGAAAATTCTAACATTTAAACCGACGAAACAATAACATAGTAAACTTGCATAATTAAACAGCAACTAAAAATGATAGGTTTTACTAAATCTTTTCCTGTGCAATTATTACTAGCATTGGAGACAAGGATAATAGTTTCTTTGAAAGAGAAAAGAACAGGCTTTGAAGTAAGCCTAAAAGCGTTTAACTAGAAATAGTATTTCGAAAGTTATTAAGCACAAAAGATGAATTGCGTTTATTTTGATACACCCTGTAGTTTTAACAAGTAGTTGAACTAAATTGTAAACACATTATAATTTAGCGTATCCGCTATTGAAATGTGGGAAATAAAGCCATTATTATTATTATATTCCATAATTTGTGATCTCGTTTATTAATAACATCATTAATGACTAGTATACCCAAACCTATATGTACGGCGTATGTACTTCCCCACACCTCTACACTTAAAACACAATATTGAAAAATAAGTGAAGATCATCTGTTAAGCATATCAATAAAATTTACACACTCAAGATATGGAGTTGTGAACTAGCCTTCTGAAAGATATACTTAAAATGCATGTCCCAACTACTTTTTATCCACCCAAACATTTGGAAATTTGAAAAAGTCTAAATTTGACAAATATCACGCGTACATGATCTATACAAATAAGGGAATGCTATTGGATAAGGTTTTGTGTGACGTAATTCCGTGCGTCTGTCCTCTGATAGATCACATAGCTCTCGACCAATGAAAGCGCTTGAAATCTTAAAGGATTTGTGCACGGTGAGGTACAGTTCAACATCACGGTTCAACCATACCAGATGATCTTGATACGCGGAAAAGTACTGGCACTAGTTGTCAATAGAAATCCATTTTATGATTAAAACAACTGAATATCTCCTGTAATATACTTTATTTCGATTCCGTATTTTTGTCAGATATATATATATATATATATATATATATATATATATATATATATCTATCTATCTATCTATCTATCTATCTATCTATCTATCTATCTATCTATCTATCTCGCTTCTTTGGGTACAATAATGAAAAAAATTTCTCGAACTCAAATTTTGTAAACCAGGGTGTCTTTCAACAAACTAAAAATGGGTTGCGCACGAGATTTTTAAAAAAGCTTTGATCGTATTATGAGTTAATGGGTGAAAACTGTGTTGGGTGTTTGGGTGTAGAATTTCTATTCTACATTATGGGTACTCAAGGATTCTATATATAACAAAAACTTGACACCACGAGCTGCTTTGCGAAATTGAGAGCAATTTCAAATCTGTTCAGTTTTTTTTATACATCCTGTATACCAATATGTGCTGCAGTATAAAAAGTGACACTAGTTTTGTGATACGTGATTTGTGATAACGGTTCACGTTGAGAGACGAATAGAATAATAAACAGGATGTGGGGTTGGGGGCGGGGGCTGAGGGAGAAGGATGAATAAAACATCTCGACTACTTTCATTCATAATTTAATGGTATACTGTTAAACTTACTTGTTAACATTTGTGTTGTCTGAGCCCGAGTGCTTAATGAAACTGGTTCTGGAGGTTTCTATAGAAATTGATCGATCAACAAAATAATAATTTGCTTAATTAACATGCTTGTGTGACTCGTTGTAGTGCCTAATGCAGTCTAAAACGCTTTTCATTGTTAATATATGGTAATTGCACTTTTATAATATGTGCAGGTCGAAAAGGATAAATACAGCCGTTATCTATAGGCTGATAGTTATAGGCCGACTTCTTGAAATATGTAAATTTTAATCTATCGAGAACTTTTCAATTGACATTTTGAATCTACATAATACTTAATAGACATTACATTTTTGTAAAGTTAGTAGTTCTATAAGAAGAAAGCTAGTGTACCAGATACATTGACAAGTAGCTACGTTAGCCTGTAAGCCATGCCAACTTTGTGGTTTTTGCTCTGTATATACATCTTTGTCACCTATTTAGACAGTTTTGGAAACAATATACATTCTACACGTTTGGCTACTGCAATAAAACAGAATTTGCATGCACAAATAACCATGCAGCATGGCGTATTATATATATATATACGGTTCACGCTTACCCTATTAGGATCGAGTAATAGGTAGTAATCAAATTGGTCATCGTTGAGTAACAGGTCTGGTTTTTCTGAATGAACATCTCTCAGTAACTCACAATTTTTCTCACCATTTGAGATTTTTCTGAAGTTAATAGATCGACATGATTTGTCCAATTGCACACATAGAAAGATACATTGTAGTCCTGTGTTGGTGTGAACATATTTTATCACTGTGCTGTTCAAACGGTTACCTTTAATAAAAATATTGAAAGTAATAAAGACAAAAAATAGGACGAGAATGATTAAATAATATGGGGGGAGTGGTGAAATATAAATATACGGTGGAAGACGCAGTTTAATCCACGCGGGCCATGCATGCATGCATGCATGCATGAATTGGTCGACGTTTTCATTTATAGATCCAGTGTTTCATCTTATATATATACATATGCTGGGGCTGGACGTCAGTCGGAAAGGAAATCAGTTTTTTATAAACACTTCCAGTTTATCAACCTACCTTCCTTTGATCCGTCAAAACAAAAGTTCAGACCTTCAGCATAGGTTTGGAGATTAAGAAATATCAGGAACAAAAGACTGATTCTCGGAGATGCAGAAGCCAAATGACCAGTTTGCATGGTAGATAAATGCTTACAAGACGATCCACGACAAATTTCTCTTGCCCTTTTCCGTCGAACATGTGGCATGTTGATATTACTTTCTCAATTCCCTTGGCAGAAACTTGCGCCGGAATGATTTTATTAGTATATCGTTTCGATCGGAAAGACAGACAGTGGGTCTTTTCAACAAGAAGACCTAAGACTAAGTATTCATGCTGCATTCGTAGACTGACTGATGAACAGCATCATGTTTATGTAATTATATATTTGCCACCTGCATGCATGTGCTATATGGTGTCTTCAAAAACTCATTAGCGAGCTTAAGATCTACAACGCGAACTTACGACGCGGACGTCGCATTAAACAAGTTTTATTTTAAAACGATGGCAAATACCATTAAAATATTTTTATCACAGTAAATAAAATGAAATTCGCGAACTTACGACGCGGACGTCGCATTAAACAAGTTTTATTTTAAAACGATGGCAAATACCATTAAAATATTTTTATCACAGTAAATAAAATGAAATTATACTGGAAAAAATGTACAACATAACAGAGGCTAGCCTGCATGGCAGGCGGTACGTAGGAAATACCGCCTGCCGCAAAACTAGGTGTAAATGAACTACCGCCCCTGAAGCATCAAAGCTATTTATAGATGTCATTAAGTAAATATTCAAAATTAGCCACTCCCAAGTTGCTCCCAAGTCCCAACTGCCCAACATAAAATAAATTCCTTGATTCTCATCACCGCCCGACTGAATTTTAAAATCCTCGTGAAAATGTTTTATATTTTGTTATACAATATAAATGTACCGCCCGACCGCAAAATAATTCGAGACAGTTAATTTTTTTATATTTTATATAGGGTTTTTATTGCCATTTTAAACTTCCAATTTGAAACAAACAGAATTTTGAATGAAATTTCATTGTATTTTAAGGAAATTCAGTCATTCTGTCATTGTTCGTGGAGATACGAACTATTGATATATAAATTATATAAATATAAAATATAAAAAATAAATCTCCCACTGTCTTCGACATTTCAAAGTGTAGACTGTGTCTAGTGATGAGAATCAAGGAATTTATTTTATGTGTTAATATAAACCAAGCCCGTTTAGCTGCCTTAAAACGGTGGTTTAATAAGCTCAAAATACAAAGCATGCAAGTCTATGCTATAGATTCATCATCAGTCAACAACCAAACTGAAAGTTTTGAACCTTATAGACCTTATAGAACGATAGTGTTTATTTGTTTACAACTATACATATTCAACGGGTATATAAGAGTTTAACTGTTATTTGATAATTAATACTGCATCAACCGGCCCCTAGTTTATACTTTGGAGGTTCGTATATCTATCAAGTATCTTTGGTTCAGAACATGACGGGCCTATGGCTATATGAAAATCCCACCGTTCGATTCAGTGAAGAAATATCTCCTAATTTCTATCGATAGTTTTAGTAAAATGTCAACATTATTGTGATTTATGTCCTTTGAAAGTCAAGCGAGATCGTATATTATCACTGAAATTATTAAATACGCATGTAATTGTCTGAACGAAAATATAGACTAGCCCATACCTTTCGCCGATCATAACTTCGGCCCCTTCGGACGTATCTTCTTTGTTAAATATTCTTGTACGAATCGCTATCAAAAACACTACTTATAGTGTTATTTTTCAGCTTGTATCTTTAAATTTGCTTCTTTTATTATGGTATTCCATTTCTGGTCTGACTTGACGTCAACTAATTTCAAAACGTCAAAACATTTGGTTAATGATTAACATTTAACCGAATTTAGCCGTTGATTGACAACTACATAAAAATACTAACCAATCCGTTTTTCCCGTTCACCAGCGGACGGGTAATTCAAAAACCCCTAGTTTTGCGGCAGACGGTATTTCCTTTGCTTCCCTAATTTTCGCTGCCCGTAGAAATACCGCCTGCAAGTTTTGGCGGGAAAATGTGCATTCGTAACAATAGTCTATAAAGCCTGGTTTCTATCATTTCGTATGGCTGTTAACGTGTCATAACAGTGTCACAAATCTCGCAGAAAAAAACTGTGACAACTCTGACTAGGCTTACACTCGAAAACTAGTAAATAGCCGTCGAGAAAGAGAAGACTCCTTGCGTGCAGTATTATAAGTAATAGCATAGAAAGAGGCGAATTAGCTATTAAAACGTCCCGCCCGATGAGGGTCGTTTAGTAAAATTCCCTTGGGCGCCGCTCGATGAGGGTCATTTAGTAAAATTCCCGAGGGCCGAAGGCCCGAGGGAATTTTACTAAATGACTCGAATCGAGCGGCGCCCAAGGGAATTTTACTAAACGACCCTCATCGGGCGGGACGTTTTCAATAGCTAATTCGCCTCTTTCTATGCTATTACCTTGTAATATCATGATTGCGGGTATTCCCGTTGTTCTCGCAGGGCCATTAAAAACCAATTAACAATAAATAATGGTATAAATTAAATGGTATAATTGTTTTCCATGTCTTTGTTTAGTTTTGGCGATTTTAGATATCTTCATTTATATTCATTTTTTCTAATCGTACCCGCTTTGACGTCGTTTCGGGTAGGATTACAACTAATTCTACCTGACCTGACGTAAAAGCGGGTAGGATTAGAAAAAATGAATATAATGAGGTGTATTAGTTATTAATTGCCCTGCGAGAACAAAGGGAATACCCGCAATCATGATATTACATTACTTATTGACTGGAGAGTGGTCCGGACTGTAGGATATTTAGTGTCCTGGGGCCAGTTGTATAAAACTCTTATTCTTAATCACTTTTTTAATCACTAGTGATTAACTCTCAAACAGGCGTTTCTTACTGGATGACGTTTGCATTTAACCATAGTTAACTTTAATCACTTTTTTATACAACTGCATGGCCCCTGCTGTCCGTACCGGACAAGCTCAGTCAATAAGTTGTTTTGTTATATAGTTAGTGTCAAAGTTCAATTTTTCTCTTCGCCGATTGGTCAAAACCGTGTCACGTGCCGGTCCACAAAACGTCATCTTCGGCAACCGGTCCGCAATGAAACATTTATTGACCGGTCAATAATAAAATGGGTGCAATACGCATGCGTGTCAACGATGAAGTTCCAAAGTTCATTTTTTAAACTTTTTACTAAACATTTACGGCGTTCCATTTATCCAGTTTTGGTTTCAAATTAAGTTCACTCCAATAACCGGTGAATTATTCATACTTTGACACTTATATATCCAATATAACAAAACACTTATTTATACTGAGACCTCGGGAAAGCAGTGTGTTTTGTGGCCCCTCGACCGCCGTTGTTGCCCTCGGCTTCCCCTCGGGTCCACAAAACACACCGTTTCCCTCGGTCCCAGTGAATAAGTGATAATAGTACCATGGCTAAAAACAAGAGAATCCTTCGAAAAACAACATCCATAAGATAATTAAGCTGTTGACAATCAATACAACCTCTTCATTTGTATGATGTATATCATCATACGGTCATCCTTGAATCTATGTATAACATCATACAGGTGCACGTTTATGTATAGACCGTATTCATAAATCGTGATCGAGGCCTCGTATCCTAGGAAACGGGAATAAACGCGGGAAAACAAACGAAAAATGCTTGACAAGCCAAATTCAGATGCTATTGTGCCGACTTTAACGGCTTGTTTCTTGTTGCTTATTTCGATTTATTAACGGTTTTTGTGTGTATTTTAAGACTTTGTAAACGAGTATATTATAAAAACGACCGGTTTTTCTCCCGTTTTTTTTTGTGTGGAAAATATGACAACGTACGCGATGGTGTTTATCCCGAAGCGAAAAACAGTATTTTACTGAGATTTTAACATCAATATATAGGTTATTCCGCAAAAAATCAAGACAACTATGGAATGAAAGTATAATTTGTGGAATTTGACATTAATATAAAAGAAAACAAGAGGTCAAAAATCACAAGAGAACGTCAAATGTTATTGATTCGCACGGAAAAATATGAACTATGTCTATGTCATGTGGCTCGATGACATTATGCAAGCAGCTTACAAGTTTAAAAAATGAGGATTGAAGGTTACATTCATTACCTGAGTGAGTTGTAATCTTATTTCTTCAACAATAGTTTCATATCTCTAACGATTTTGGTGTTGTAGACGTTTTGTAAGCCTCGATGGTTGTTTGTTTTGGCCATACAAACTACGAGGATAGTACAAATGTTTCCTTTTCTGATTAATTGACTCCAGCATCTTTTACGTTAAACATCATGTTATACTTTCTCAGAAGTATTATTTCAACTTTCCAGCTTAGTTTTATAGATACTATTTTATTAACAAAAGCCGTATTAACAAATATTTTCGGAAAAAAGTTGCAAAAAAGCATTTCGTCAATTTTCCCGCGTTTATTCCCGTTTCATCATATAGACACATTGATAACCTGACTCTCAACCCCACTCTAACCCCTCCTGACCGCTCATCCTAATGCGGGGGGCGAAAAAGTGAAAAAAAACCCCAGTTCGTGGGTGGTCATCCTCACTGATCTCAAACTCATCCTCACTGATTGCCAGGAGTTTTTCAAAAACATATCATTGCCCCATTGGAATATCGTTTCATACAAAATGCTGCATGAACTTTCAAGGAATCTTGGTTTGAAGAAATGAGAAGAATTCATGATTTACTATGGAAAATCGCAAAATATAGGGCAAGTTTGCTTTGAATGTTTACTATTTTAAATATTAATTTTGTTGCTTTATTCTTTTGGGTAAAGGATGCACTGCTTTCCTTTTCAATGAAGCTGTAAGTTTCCAAAATTATCCTGTTTACTTTTAGAAAAAAACTGAAAATGTAAGGGATAGCAAATTAATATGTGTACAATGTCTCTCGTCAGTTTTTGACAGAGTCTGCAATTTAGAGCCAGTATACGCGGCACGTGCGATTTCATTTTTGAGTTGTTGACAAAAATATTTCACGAGACTTAAAACGTTTTAAAAAGACCTTTATATTAAACGTTATTTTATTTTTTTCGTGTAAACAGCGCTTTATTGACAAGTGAGGGTAAGGTGGACTCTTAGTCATACACACGTTTTATTGGATGTCGTTCACGCTATTCTTTACAATGTTCCGTCATGTTTTAAAGGTATTTCAAGGATATAATTTAATCAATACCGTTCCTGTTTACGAACCAAAACATTTCAGCACGAGTTTAACGCAACACTAGTTAGTTTCTTCGTATAGATAATTATGCTAGACATAAGGATGACGACAGTAAACAAAAAAAAATTTCCGTTCATAGTTTCTAACTAGAATCTAACTAGAAGACTCCGCCTGGCAAAACTGGGTCATTATAGTGGAACTTAAATCCAGCAACTGAAGGTATTCATCTGCTCCATCAGATAAGCATTTATCAACGATCTAGAAATGGTGAAAATATAAGAACATACTGAAATATTGGTGATTTTCTTAATTTCCTTCCAGTTCGTTTTACTGTCCCTATTAGTAAAGACAATAGAATCAGTAATTTCAATAAAATATGTACGAGTGGGTCTTTCAAGCATTATCAACGTAGCACTGACCAGGCGTAGAAAATAGACTTCTCTTCCTGGCAGCAAAATCCCGAAATAAAATATCGTGTTTCAAATATAAAACGTCCTGCATATATGTATGGATTTCAGAGAATGTATGGTGTCACACTGTGTGATAAATATCAAACTCGGCACAACACAAAAACCTTTTGCAAACAATAAGTTAATTATATGGAATTCCAGTATATGAGATGACAAAAATTTCCTGCAAGATGCAAGAAAATCTCTTGCGAAGATATTTTGTTGAGATGTCCTGGCAGCGGTGTTGCCTAACATTTTCCAGCACTGGCAGTACTGACTGAAAAATTCGCGAGTGCTTGTTTTATTCAAATTTCAAGAGAACTCTTTGTATATAATTTACTAATATGAATACACAAGAACTATTCTTTCAAATTACGAGCTTCGGCAGAAATTGCTTACACTGCTTTGCTGAACATTAGATATAGCTTAAGATCTATACGACGTCGACGTCAGCTAGGATGTACGAGCTGAGCAGAGGACTCGGACTAGGATGTCGTCCTAAATAAATAGATAGCCTACGGTTTACCGACGTCCAATATCTAAGACGGCAAGCGGAAGTAAATTGGCAATATTTTTTGAAGTGCGAATGCGTCTCTCTCACTTGCTCGTCCTCCATCAAACATCGACAACTTTACAGCATGAGTTTTGCCGTCGTGGATTCGAGAGCACAAAAATTGGCAATGAATTCACGCGTCTCTTTAAAATTCATCGTCAAAAGGATTTAGACATTTACAAGCTTTCGTTGGTAGGGATGCAACTACCTGAAAAATACAAAGCGAAATTCGACGTTTCGAGCGAAGGCCCTTCGTTAATAGCGGGGGTCGGGAATATTACACGAGCTTTTAAGCTTTTATACTAAGGTATAAAAGCGATCACGTGACAAAAAATGAACCAATCAGACGGATTTAGTGAATACAAACGTTCATAGGGTTGAAGAGTGCCAAGGGGTGAACAGTGTGTTGACAGTGTCAAGTGGGGTGCCATAGGGGTGAACAGTGCCAAGTTTGGAAATGAGGCACATTTCGTGTCTTTTGCGGCTATCGTTGCTTCCAGATTGCCAGTATTAAAATGTCTGGCAACAGGCTGGTTAGCATCATTGCCAATGACTGATGATCACCAAACATTGTCCTCAAAGATCTTCCAGTTTCCCCAACATAAAGCATGAGATGCAGTAGATGAGATGGGAGGAGGTACATGTAGGTTGGATAGCTACGTTGGACAAAAAAGTGTTTCTTTTCCCGACTTTTGGCTTGGAAGTCCTCATCTTCACTGCAAATGCGGCGAAGGCACTGAGAAAAGGGAATCGACCTTTTGGTGTTGTTAGGAGGGGGGTGGGAGGAGGGGGGATGGAAGATAGAGAAGGAGTCAGTGGCTTGTAGAGCACAGCAATAACTAGTTTATTGCCATTGAATGACACAAGGATATCTAAGAATTAATGATACACTGGCCTCACTGATCTCCCGTGTAAACCGGGATGCTGGATGGAAATTATTAACAAAGTTAATAAAACATTCCATTTCGACAAGAGAATATGATGCTGTTGCAAAATAGTCATATATGTACCAATCAAAGTAATCAGGGATGGGATCAGTGTATTGTTCGAAGATTTGTTTTTCCACAAAACCAACAAAACAAATTAGCATAGTTGGGACCCATTTTGGTCCCACCACTTATGGAGATGGAGAGGAGTTCGGTGGGACAACCACATGCAGAGACGATGGGTCTACCTGGGTTGTCTGGTTTGTGAATTTTGGGCAAGAAGTACCCAAGGGCAAGAAGTACCCAAGATATGGTGGAGATGAGGTTTTTGGCAGTCGCAGGAAGATCACCAGTGGTGAATGGTCTTAGAAATTGTGGTTTGATGAGTGGATGTCAAATCCTTGTCAACCGTACTGTAAAACGTGGTGTCTCCCAATTGTCGGTGGGCTTCATTGCGATATAAATCAGCCCTTCAAACTACTAAGGCGCCATATTTAGTGAAGGGCACTAAATTCAATGTCAGTAAGGTTGGATGGCCTCAGAGTCGTTTAAGGTTAAATCGGGAGGAATTGTGACAACTAAATTGGTCCCATGCACCGGCTGAGCTAGTGTGACTATTGGCCGAAACGAGACGGTTACCTAACAAAGAGTTGAATTTAGAGGTTTTGCTCGCTTGGAGAAACGAGTAAAGTCTAGAATTCAACACGCGAATGAATTGGATGTCCTTTTTTAAAATTGAAGGACACGGGGAAGACAATATGGATTTAACATGCGAAATCCCCGAATTTAAAGTCTGAACATATTTAGACATCAAATCAATGGCAATGCGCGTCAAACGCCGACTGTGTTCATAACAAGCCTTCGTGACAAGACGAGATATATGGCGGCGACTATTAGGCGAGTGAAAATCAAACTTAAAAGACGATTAAAAGCGTGGAGAAACGAGTTTAAAAGTTTTAGGTAGAGTAAGGTCGAACAGGCGTAAAGAAGCTTAGCAATAGACGGTAAATATAATGTAATGTGATTTACCATTTCATTCTGGAGATTGTGGGAAAATCTCTTGAGGTTGACCATCGTTGACACTGTATCTTCTTGTAGGTAGTGTCAATAATAACAAGCTTTCGTTGGTAGGGATGCAACTACCAACGAAAGCTAATTGTAAAGGTCGACGTCGTGAATCAGTGAATGTCGATGTTTGTTTATGTAGGACGACGTCCTAGTCCCAGTCCTGTGCTCAGTCTTGACGTCGTAGCGGACGTCGACGTCGTAGATCTTAAGTTATCTATTGTTTTGCATCAGCATTCACCAATTTCTGTTTACTCAATTCTTAATAAAGACAAAGTTTGTCAATGAAGTTGTTGATAGAAAACTACTTTAGGTTGGTTGGTATATTTCAGTTTCCATTGTCTTTCGATCTATCAGATAAGTTTGTAAAATAATTTTACTCTGTAGTTGCAAATGTTCGTACAGCTGTTTGGGATTACCTGCACTGAAATCAACCAAACACAGTGGTGTAAAATTTCTTCTATTATTGTATGAAGTCTCGTAATATATATTGTCGTATATAAAAAACACAAACCCCTAGTCTTTCGGTGATTACGGACTTCTGTTTATCAGTGATTTGGTCCATTTCAACAATTCGATCGTGTATCTAAAATATATTAAACTTATACATAATATTAAATACAGTATGTCAATTGGAATTATTTCAAATCATTGAAACAATCCTATACAGAATGTATAGTACTTCGCAAACCTCGATCCAGCAAAATATTTTAAATTCATTTGTAACTGTCGATTTTACTTTTATTTGGATTATGAAAAGGTTAATGACGACATTTTTCAGAAAGGATTGGCTAGTGAGAACACAAGACATATAAAAGGGAAAAGATGGAAAAAGTAAAAGAAGAAAAAGAATTATAAAAGGGAAAAGATGGAAAAAGTAAAATAAAAGGGAAGAAAAGGAAGGTAAATAAAACGAAAGATGAAAGTATAAAAAAGGTGAATACATTAAAGACGATCTAAAGAAAAATGGAAAACTTGTTACGAATAAGATCTTCAAAAACAGTTGAACTTTAAAAATGAAATACGAGAATAAGGCCAAAAATTTGAGGGTTTAGGAATGCGGAGGAGAAACCGAAGAATAAAGAGTTTGTTAAGTTAGAAGGACAACAGTATGAAACAAGATTAGCCACACTTTTTATTTGAGGAAAAGCATGTATTACTATATGAGGTTATTTGCAGCTTCATAATATAATTTATTTCCTTCAAGCAAGTCTTAACAAGCAATATAGTCCGCGAATCTGGTAAAGCACCCTTTATACGACCATAAACTCTAAATGATTTTACCTGACTAATAACTTGAGCCCCTGGATAACCTTCTAATATTATGTCCTGGTAGAAATTGACACAAAATGCAAGTGTTACTGTTTGGTTTTAAGAAAGTTAATTCAAACAACAACAATGGACAACATGCTCGTGATGTTACTCTGAGTGATGTTACTGATTTTTTCAGTGGTAATGTAATGTGTAAACATTACACCAACACGGAAAAAAACCCATGATTATTAGATTGCATTGATATCGAAGGAACTAGATTCAGTTTCGAAATATCATATACTCGAACAGACCTGACCGCGTAGCTCAGTTGGCAGAGCATTGGGCTAGTATTCCAAAGGTCATAGGTTCGATTCCCACCGTGGCCAGGCATATTTTTCAAGCTTGCCCGGTGTGGATACACACTCAGAGTAACATACCAACACAGAAAAAAATAGTGGACAACATGCAAGCAGATGGAAGTAAGTCGCTGTGAATTAAAATCAAATTGTTCTTGTTTGAAAAAAGTACAAAATGGTTTCCAGATAGAATATCGTTCTTTTAGTAAATATGGATAGGATTAAACACATTATGTAGATTTCGATCCATATCAGATCCAGAATATGGGCAATCTATATTAATTTTGTGCATGTACCGTACCTTCACAGAAGAATCTAATCTTTCATACGAACTCGAATTAGCAGACTCCAGAACAGCGTCAATGACAATGTCAGGGACAATCTAAAATCGACAAATTTTCAGCCTGCGTAGCGGCTCTCGTAATACAAGGTCAAGGGAAAGGAGAGCCTGCACGAAATTCCGGTAAAACTGGTCAACGCACACTTGGTTAATACAAAACTACATATTAATTATCTTTCGTGGTACAAATATTATGTCTCTTAAATCTCGTTAAAGCGTACAATAAATCCGTTTTAAAACTTATATAGAAGAGTATTTTCTCGTCGAATCGAATTTATCAAACAAATCTTACTGATAAGTTGAGAGCACACATGCATAATATGCCAGGGATTCACGCTGGGTTTGAAGTGTTTGATAATTTAGTGATCTTTTTTGATCGACACACAAGTGGTGACATTTAAAAATATCAGACAAGGGCGTTATAAAGTAATCGGTATATTTGCATGTACAAACAAAACCGGTAATGTTATTCCATATCTGGGCATAAACAAAGTGGAACAACAGCTCTAAGTAGTGGAGCAGGTATAGCTCGAGGGAAAATAGGCCTACAACATCCCGATATTTGTTCTAAATTGATCACAGTGGGCTCAACTACTGTCAGTAACAAGTGTAAAATAATCAAAATAATAAACTTACTTTAAAATATTTGCATAAATTCTTCGCAAGAATGTCGATACGAATGGAGAAAGAGAAAAAATCTATATGAAGTACTATAGAATCCTCAACAGGTAAGTAATGAGGGCGCGTATGAGGTAATAGCATAATTAATAATAGATAAAATAATAGAAGGGTTGAAACACCGGTCACATGATTTTTAAAATGCTTCTAATTTAACCATTTCGACATAATTTGATTATTTTACAACGTATTTAGCATTCTCTTAGACGAACAAAGATATCTAGTAAAGAAATAACATAGATAAACCTTTCCCTAAATGATTTTAACAGGATTCTATAGTACCTCATATAGATCATTTTTTTTGCTCTTTCTCCATTCATAATATATTTATCGATATTCTTGGGAAGAATTTATGCAAACCTTTTAAAGTAAGTTTATTCATTTTGATTATTTTATACTTGTTAGTGACAGTAGTTGAGCCCACTGTGAATTGATTTAATGATTTACTGAACGAAGAATGAATGTATTGTCACACTTTTGCAATATTATATTTTAAATAAAAACATTCTGAAAACATCGAACCGTGTGTTATTTTCAAATATTGAATAAATTAACTTATATACCAATCAACTAAATTCAGCCAATGATATCAGCGATGTTCGTTACAATTAGCATAAATTAGCATATTTTTCATACTTTATGTAGCGCGGCCGCCATGTTTGTTTTGTTTTGTTTTGAAGCAATCTGCGGCAGTTGAAGACTGCTTTAAGCTGATTGGTTGATTTTAGGTCCCATTCTTTTTCCACCAATCTGATCAGTTTATTACAGATGTTTGCACTATTGTTACAAAATTCTGCACTGCTGTTGAGATTAACTGAACTGATTGGAAACAGTGGCGGCGAAACGGGCGGGGGGACTTAATAAGATTCAAAATTGTGACGTTTGTATATAGAAATTTGGCAAATTTAGAGAACAAATTGAGGAAAGAAGAAAACTGGCACGTGCATTGAAAATATCAAGTAGGAAATATGTTAGGTCTGCAAAGGATTCTTAAATCTATACTCTTCTTAAACTGATGGTTCGTGATCTCCAGCATCAAGCTTTTGTTGAAAATAGTGAAGCAATAACGGTGTCACCATTCTTCGCGACTCCAGAAAGCAACATGTTGGTTTTAATTTATATAAGCACTTAAATATTGATCTGATAGTTGCCGTAAGACTACAGTATATGTCTATAGAAACAGTTTTAAACCCTATCAAATTTGACGTGGTTAATCTTCAAAATGATGTAGTGAGGAACAAAATGTTTAAAGGTCCAGACACACCGGACGCGAGTCGACAACGCGATGCGATTTTTTATTTTTTGCCGAGTTAATAACACAGTCAATGAGAGCAAATTTTGAAAGATATGTAGACCAAATAACTCAAAATGTCATAGCAGTTCTAAATATTCGAAAAATTCAAACTAGGATCAAAGTTATCGGTCAGTCAAAATCGAAAAATCGCGTCGCGTTGTCGAATCGCGTCCGGACCTTAAAAGCAAGATACATACACCAGAGATATATTGAGATACATACACCAGAGATTTCTATGATATCTTGTATTGTGACTGCTTCATCTCCTTTCAATCTCGAAGCACTTTGGAGGTAAGTAATGGCCTATAGTTGCAAATGGAAGGTCTGAGATAGTATAAATCGATAAATGAAAAAGAAAACATAATAATTAAAATACTCATTATTAATTCATAAACCTTGTAGTTGTGGCAAATCATGTCAGCCATAATATGTCACATGTGGCATTATATAATTGTTCATCTTTTGTAGTCGTATTTTAAGCTACTCAAAACACTCGTTCTCATGTACATCTTGTACACTCAAGATATGAACTACTGACAAGACATAAAATTCAATGTTATTCATGAGTTTTGTTTCTTGTTTTCAATAGCTCATATCTTGAATTTACAAGATGTGAATATTCGGAGTTTTGTTTTATCATGTATTTCGTAAAATCGTATGCTGGTAAAAAAATTTAAAAGACAGAGTATATATGTTAATTTTGTCGGCATGATGGAAAACGCGGGTAACAGTATACGGGTGACGGGTACCGGTTATCAAAAAATAAGAATAATGTGAAATCGAAATAAAATAAAATAAGTATTACTACAAAAAACGTATTCTATAAAACATCAACAAAACAAATACAAACGCCCGCAAGTCGTTAATACAAAAATACTTGGTGTTCAGTAAATATTTTAAACCATTTCGCCAAAGTATATAAATATTTTAAAACTTTTGGCGACTGTATTGTTTTTACAATACAATTCTGACTTTTCAATACAATTGTGACAATTCGACTGTATTGTAGTCACAATACAATTCTGGCTGTCTCTATCTAATAATGGGTTATGAGTACACCATCAACAACAAAAAACAAACAACAAAGAATAAACAACAAACAACAACAAACAACAAACAACAAAAACATTTATTTATACCAATTACAGTTACATAAATTAGAAACACAACATTACAGATATTACAAGAACAATTTACAATGTGAATTTATTGTATTATAAAATAATAATGCATGCAGCCACGGTTATAAACTTTATATTGATATTTTCAAATAATACGAGTTTTGATTGCAGCAATTAAACAATTTATTTAATAATGAACTTGTTTTGAAACTGTTTTATATACAAAATAACTGACTTTCATAATTTAAACATTAGTCAATAATTATGATGTAAATAACTTAATTATTGAAAATTAGTAAAAAAAAATTGTGAAAATGGGACATTCCAGAAAACATTCACACCTCCCCCACGCAGGAAATTGGACGTTAACGCCTTCGTGTGTCCTGATACACTTACTAGCCTATTATCAGAAACAAGTTTTCGGCCCTTCCCCTCTGGATGGCACAAGTTTCTGTGGGGGAAGTGTGGATGGTTTGCTGCATTACTTGCAAAATCTCTACATGTTGCATCTTTTGTCCTTCCATATACTCTCTCTTCTCAGCCTGTTTAACGCCTTTTCTTCTCTCTCCAATTTTATCCTCTCTTGTAGCCATTCCATCATTTCCCCTGATCTTCTTCTCTTTTGTACTGGCCCACCACTTTCACTCGTCTCTTCAGTCCTTTCCGTCCTCTGATTTCTCGCTACATTTTCACTTTCCATCTGCCGGTCAGTCTCGTCTTCTATATCAATGAGCTCTTCCAGCAAATTTTATCCTCTGTTAGTTCAGTAGCCTACTACCTTCACCTGGTCTTTGGCTTTCGACCATACCATACTGGACCTCACCTAGTAAAGTATATGAATACCATACCATACTGGACCTCACCTAGTAAAGTATTATGAAGTATAGTAGCAGTACTATAGCAACATCATTTTTCATTTATTACTATGGCGAGACTTTTTTTATTTATTGGTTTACGGATTTGACTTAAAAAAACCCAGGTCGGTATGTCGGAAAAATTTTTTAAAAAAACACACACTGTGTATATTTAAAATCGATGTTTTTATCTTCTAAACATTTAACTTCTACTTGGAAAAACATGTCTAAGGGACCGGTCATTATTTATGGTGGGGGGTGGCACCGAAGAGAAATGTTTTTCGTGGCAAACATTTTGCTGTCCCAACCATTAAAAAGTCAAAAATTTGATTACCCAACCTCAAATATCAATTTAAAAATAAATACCCACACCTGGCCAAAACCTTTACAATAGGGTGACGTTCTGTCACATGAGTTAGATAATGGATTGTAAGTTTCATGTTGTCTGCACATGTACTTTCTTTGGAGGTACCATTTGCAGGTCTCCCAACAAATCGGAAAATGATCAAGAGATAGTGACTCTGATTGATTCACATACGGTATTGTATTGACATATGACTGACTACTGTCGACATTGCCGTTAGTCTCCAATTTTTTAGTGAATCATGCTTTGAAAATGACAATAATTTTTTATTACCCAACCCCTGAGTTGTTTTGTTTTTCAATTACCCAACCTTTTACTCACTCAAAATTTTGTTTACCCAACCCTTTTCTCTTCGGTGCCACCCCCCGCCATAAATATTGACCGGTCCCTAATCTCCACATTTATTATCACAACCAGCGTTGCCAATTTGTAAAAATCCCAAGTGAGCTCCCAAAATATCCCGAGATTCCCTAAAAATTCCCGGTATTCCATCTTTTTTTACGTCACTATTATTTAGGTGGTTTTCGCGTCAATTTCGGGTAGGATAGCCTCGTACGTCATGTTGTAAAAACGAAAACTGACATTAAATATGCAGCTGAATGGGGTTCAAATACGAGCGGACGAACCCTAGATTTTTAACAAAATTGTTTATTGGTCAATTTTACCAACAAATAGATTTCTAAATTTCGAACTTCCCTTTCTCAAAATATCCAAAAAAAAATCCCGAGATTGACTTTTTAAAATAAAAATCTAAAAAAAATCCCAACTGCTTAAAAAAATCCAGAGATCTCGGGATAAAATCCCGGACTTGACAACACTGAATTCACAACGATAACATGAGCCAGCAGTACTTAGAGTCAAAGTTTACTTGGCGTGTACTTCATGCCAGAACCCAAATTAACTAAAATTAACTAAAATCATAAAATTGTTGTATCAAAATTTATTTTTTTATTTTTCACTTTCTGAATATTTACGGTCGGCGGATCCGTAAACCAATGAATAAAAAAAGTCTCGCCTAATTTATTTATTAATGCGATATTCTTCCATTTAAAGCGATAACTTCAATAGCGATAGCACTGACTCTAAAAAAATCACAGAAATCACCTTTAAGAAATGCTTTGCACAGTATTTATAGCACGTTACTGGTAAAATCGATACAATCTAATCCACTTGAAAACTAATATTAAATGTAACAAGTAATCTTAACACCGTAAAGAGTAGACAATATTAGTGAAAAAATGATTTATAGTACAAATATAAGAATGAGATAACAATAATCTTGCTTGCCGGCAATTGCAAACAGCTAAATCTATAGTTTGTTATGATAGTTTGTTTATGTAACAAAAAGTAATGACTAATAAAAATTATTTACATGATTTTCATTGTGTACGTACCTTTTTCGAGGGAAAAATAAACACAAAAACCGGACTTCCTAAACACGACATGAAAGGTTGCTTTTGGCGTCCTGAAATTCGCTGAAACGACGTCGCCACAGAATAGAGACACACAGAAGGTCGACTTCTTGGTTTTGCCTATGATTTTGGCGTAACCGTTGTAATGCTGAGGACATGGTCGTAGCCAGTGCGCTTATTAGAGGCATTCATGCCCCCTGAAAATATTCAAAATGGCGAACGTCCAAGCGGGTGAATTCCTCTCATAAGCGCAATGGCTGGGACCATGGCGTCAGCATTTTGATGACGAATCATTGCGAATCATGGGGTAACAGCGGTTACGCTTTTTTTGCTCAGTCGACCTACTGTGTGTCTTTATTCTGTGACGTCGCCATCAAGATAACGCTACATTTTCACCTCATATTACTCCATCGCATGTCCTCGTCCTTGATCTAAATCTGTCTAATAACAAATCGAAAACCAATTTAATACCAGGACTACTATTTTGCCTATTGTTTGACAATTTAAAGGTAAATTGGAATGTATTTATATTTTTCTTCACGTATGTTTTTAGAATTTTACAGCAAATTGGAGATCTACGTATTGTTAATAGTTTTCATTGACCAGAAATATTTGACGCATACGCCGTACACTGAAAATCTCGCTGAAAATATTTATTTATCAAGTTGTGCCGTTGTGCGATGACCATCAGTATTACCATCATCACCATTATGACTATCATCATTATCAGTATCCCATCATCATAGGTTGATGAACACATTGTAATTATTTTGAGTACTGACTATTTGACCTTCGTATCAAACCAAAATATGCAATCCGTGCTTCAGTGAATAATTTTGTCAGTTTGGGTTCATATCAGGGCCTGTTTATATGATCTAGGGGTCACATTGGTCTGTTATTTGGGGTCAGGTATTAATTGGGACGAAAGTCCTGTTCCCATTCTAGTCACGTACGTTGTCTGGTAACATGTTATGTATATTTGACTGTAAAAAAATACAGTGGCGAAAAAGATTTAATAAAGTATTTATTTTGGGAGAATGCATCCTGAACTGAACACCGTATTTTTGTATTGCGGGCGTTTGTTCTTGTTTCGTTGATGTTTTATTCTTTGTACTAATACTTATTCTAGTTTATTTTATCTTATTACTTTTTTGATATTGCCTTTTTTATTTTTTGATACCCGGTACCCGCTACCTGCGTTTTTCACCATGCCAATTTTAGCCTGCATGTATTTCGCAAAATTGTCTGCTTGTTCAGGATACTTTTACATTATTTCATCATGCGCTGGGTTTTTTTCTGACAATAATTTGAACAATTCCTCTTTGTTTAGAGAAGGAAATCTACTACAACCCATTTTGTTTCGCGGCCTTTTTACAAGCTTGTCGATCGACTGTCGGGCTTCGGAAGTCGGTTCTACACTTGCAAAACCTTTTTGAAGCGATGTTCCGTCCAAAAAAGGTATTATTGCAAGCTGATCACGTCAGCACCTAAAATAACGTGAGAGCTACCGGACTGATCTAAAAATCAATATCTGAAGATACACGGCCATCTGAAAATCAACCTTTTTATTTTTTCAAAAATTTATTATAACTTTTATAGATATTTTAGGGCTATGGTTGAGATGTTACCGTGTGTAAATTGTAAATAAATAAATGCAGCAACCCCTCGCATGTATTTTCCAAACATTGATTTAACATGAAGTATTAGTAATTGATTAACACTGAACCTGTGACTGAACGCAGACTCACGTTTACGTCAGTGTTGCCATGGCAACACGATAAATTTAATTTTTATTAGTGATGGGCAATACCACCAGTATCGATTCGATACCGATTACTTTTTCGTAAAAGTATTGAGGTATCGATTCCCCAAACGATTACTACGACGTCGATTGTATTTCAGAATTTTCCACCATTATAAGTTATTTCCCGCTTTTTTCATCTTTTATTCTGTCGACGAGGTCCGGAATATTAATCAGGGAAGTGGATAGAATGTCAAATAAAGTAAAGGAAAGTTTGATTAAATTGGTAAATGCAGCAAAATACAAAAAAGTACATAAATTTTATTAGAAATAGCCATGAAAACGACGACACAACTACAGAATTATAATAAATGTCTAATTTTAAAAAGTGATCAAAACACTTTTTCGATACCGTGCAGTATCGACTACTTCCGATTTGGGCCTGGTATCGGGTGGTATCGATACCAAGTAATCGATAATCGTCCATCACTAATTTTTATTATATTTTTTGTACAACACGCCAAAAATAGTTGAAAGATTATTGCTTTTAACTATATAACAATGAATTTCCGAAATATGTACTGTAGGTATGTTGTTTTGCATTTTGTGAGCTTTGATTTAATGTAAAATTTAACGTGAATCGCTTCGTAAAATGTTTTGAAATGTTCATTTTAATATTAAACTATAAACTGCTTTTTTCTGATATAAAACTGTACGGGTTTTTATATAGTTTATAAAACAAAATAAGTTCAAATTGTTGAGTAATTTCAGTTCGGTTTTCAAATGAATTTACTCTCCTTTACATTTTACCTTTTATTCTTAAATTAAACAGGGTAAATTATTTAGCAAACTTTAATACAGCTTCATTGAAAAGGAAAGCAGTGCATGTTTTACGCAATAAATTAAAGCAACAAAATTCATAAACATTAAACATTCAAAGCAAACTTGCCCTATATTCCACGATTTTCCACAGTAAATCAATTCTTCTCATTTCTTCAAACAAAAATTGCTTCAAAGCTCATTGTGTGAAACGTGATTTTCCAAATATATGCTTTTGAAAATTGAAATCTTGCTTATCCCACTCCTGGCAAACAGCCATATTTTTGAGATCAGTGAGGATGACCACCCACGGTTGGTGACCGACGCCCGCGCTCATTGATGAACTTTAGACTTGGCTAATGCTTCCCTTTCCCCGGGTGTAAATAGCCGGGGGGAATTAGTACCCTTGCACGGCGCTTCGCGCCGTCGGCTTGGGGATTACTTAGTATACGTACCTCACATACTGAAATAATATTTTAATGTTAGAAAATATAACTTGAGGTTCCACATTACATTTTTGAATGTTCAAGTTGTTGTCATTACAACACACCAGTGACAAGGTATTTAACTAGAGCATTATTGGGCCATTCTTGATAAGTCTCAAGATACCTTCCGGTGACGCATGACAAATGGAAAACCTTGGTATCATGTGCATTTTAAATAACATCTGTTCATGAAAATATTGGCCCATTTTATTTGATCTTAACTGTAAAGATGTTGACAAAAAATGCTTACTGCATGTCTTAAACACCGAAATAAATGGTCATCTTCACTTCTAAATATCAGTAGCAGCTACTTTTCAGTAATGTCGACAGAAAACAGCAAGCATCTCAATTCAACATGGCTGGCAACTTTCACGTCGTTCCAAATATTGATTGGAGTTACGGGAAATTTATGTGTAATTGTATATTTTCTTCTCTCTCGTCACGGCAAACAAAGAACTCCGTCGGACAAGCTGACTTTAAATTTAGCTATATCCGACCTCATTGCTTTAACAACCTATCTCCCTTGGCGTACACATCTATTCGTATTACAAGAAAGGACTGAACATAGACGCATATACACGTCACTATATGTTGTGTGCATTTTTGCAACAGGCAATGGCATTATATGCATCGCGCTTGATAGGTTTACGGCTGTTGTTTGGCCATTGAGGTATAAAATTCTGATAACATCTCATGTGTCCTCGGTTTTCATTGCGATATCGTGGATGTCAGCTATTCTTTTTGGAATCTTACATGGTTTCAGCTACAAAACTGATAAACATGTTCAATACGAACTGTTTTTATGTGCAATATCGTTCGCTCAGCTTGTCGTTCTCTCTGTCATTTATGGTGTTTTACTACGAACAGCAAGAAAGCAAACGAAAAATATTTCAAATCTGCAAACGGAATTTCGACTAGGATTTTCTTACTTAAGAAAAAGTGTATTTACATCTTTTACCATCATGTGCTTGTTCTATGTAACTTTTCTTCCTTATTGCTTCTACAGAGTATATTCAACCTTGGACAAAAGTTTAACCGACCATGATAAATACACAGCTTGGCGTTGGTTGACCGCTTTCACATTTATAAATTCCTGTTGTAATCCTTTCGTGTATTTCTTCGGAATAAAAAGACACAGGACAATGTTTGCTAAATGTTTCCAAGCCACTTTCGAACGTTATAGCAACAAAAAGCAGACATGTTCGTCAAAACCAGTTAAAAACTGTAATGATATCGAAGTTGAGGTGTAACCGAAGTGCAAGAACGAATTGCGTCTTCGTCTCGTGTAGATGGGTCTTATTGATTTTTTATATGATAACCTTAAGAATTCAAGCAGACCATGATCTATTACGGAATTACGTCACACAAACTTCATGTATGTTTCGAGCTGGCCATATAAGTGTATATATAATTTGTACGCACAAAAATTACTGTTTAACAATTAGGTTATTATCGGTGAATAAAAACCGAGACGAAGTCGAGGTTTTATTCACGATAATCACCGAGCCTAAGGTGAATAATAATTGTTTTACTACTTTTAGTAGAATTTCATAGGTGATTATTTGGAAAAAAATAAAAATACACATTTCTTCGTCATTTAATTGACAAAACGACTTCGGCCGCCATTTCGAAAATCGCTTAGGAATCAGCATGGAGAATTGTCAATAATCACGTATGTAATTATACTAATGCCGAATAGAGTATTTTAATTAAACACTTAACAAATGGATAACATGGCCGTTGCATGTCTGTTCAGTTATAGATATACACAATATGATATCATAAGTGCATGGGCTACCTTTCCTCAACGGCTTTTGATTGTTCTTACCACATTATGACGTCATACCGTGCATCTATAACAGAACAGACATACAACCGCCAAATGTTATCTATTTGTCAAGTGTTTAATTAAAATACTCTATGGCAACAGTAATTTTTGTGCGTATACAAATATATGCACTTGCGCCATGGGGTCGATATTTATAGTGGTTATATCATCAAGAATAATGACGTTGAGAAATACGTTCCTGATAATAACGTAGTCGAAAGCTAGAAAATATTAAAATGTTCATATTCTGAGTTACTGTTGTTCTGTATTTAAATTTGTTACACATCTGGGGGATTCTAATTGCATGTGATAAACGTAGCGCGTATAGCAGAAGGTTTAAAGAAAAATATCAGTCTAACCGGTTTTACCGTTGGTGATGATCAGTGAACGAAAATTACACAAGCACGTCTTTTGTTAGTAACTATTACTAGCAATGTACATTAAATATTTACCTTTAAATATTTTTAATGTTTATACATAGTTTTAACAGTTGTATGTATTCATGGAAATATAGTTTTTGTAATACTTTGGACTCGTTAATTCAGTGTTAATATACTGCAAGAGAGTTTCAATAAACATCAATTATTATTATTATGTCAATCATCTCATGACTGCCCCAAAATAACAAAGTTTGGCGGGATTTTCCTCTGATCTTCGTTTTGCCCAAGCCATCCCACCCTCGAATTACGAAGGTCTGTGCTCAGGCCCATTTTAAAGAAAATACACGAGAATGCAAACTGTCCGGTATTGAGAAGTGTCCATAAAGAGACATTCGACTGTGCAAAGAAAAAGTCGTTGAAAAAAGCATGAGAATAAAATAAAAGAATCTTTGAAAATACCTTTGTTTATTATTTAAACTTTCCTGACGTCGTTCTGCACTTTTATGTGGCAGAACGGATTGCACAGTAATTATTATCTCGCTTTATTTTATTTCCTCCAGATACTACCAGTATTACCTATGACTTTGCTCGCCTGCATGTAGGTACTTTAACATATTTAAAAACGAAAATTCGTTGGCTTTTTAAGCCCCTTAGATACATAAAACACGAAGTGAAAGTATATCTTGGTATATATATTTCGCTATCCACTTACAGTATGTATATGCGGTACGACTTCCGCAAACTAATTCCGCTTAAAACTATGACCGTAACCCGCGCTACTTTGTCCGCGCCTTAATGTTCAGCATTCAGTCCCCCTCCTGTTACATAATACTTTTGTGACAAATGATAAACATTTGAAAATTGAAAAGAATATTAAATTGAAAGTAGCATCTTAACATTCACCTTATGTGCTGTGGACGCAGACCCCTGACTATGGCAATAGCGGTTCTTCTGCACTAAGGTGTAGGCTAGTTTCATAGCAATTTTGCAGTCTAGAGCTCAGCAAACTTCTCTTGCACATCTTCAGAAAATTAATTAGCCAATGAAAATGTAGAAAACAATAAATGATAAAATATTTATTATTTTACTGTACCTTTCGCATGTCTCCTTCGGAAACTTTAACGAGTTCTTCTATGACCTTTACCACAGAGAAAAACATACATTTACCATAACAATTTCACAGGCAAATATAGAGGGAAAAATAGAGGAGGTGGGGGTAAACAAACTTGGGGAATTAAGTGCAGTGTTATTAGCCCATGTGCATGTCACCTCTACGATCGGTGTATACAGTTATCAGACTGTCTATAATTTCAAATAGTTGGCAAGCGAAGAAGAGTGCTTTCCGGTTCGACTTCATACCAAACAGCACAGTGAAAAAGTAGTAAAAGTGACCTTTACAATGTAGAGAGAAGTTAGATTGGGGAAAGTTGTCCAAGATAAATATATTATAATATAATTTATAATATAGTCATTCACCGTATATGAGCTGTTCTGCAATCTGATTGGTTGAATTACTCGCCGTATATCAGCTCATTTACGGTGAGTAGCGAAAAACAAGATGGCGGTCCAAAAACTACATGAGTTTTGCGAAGCAGAAAAAGGAAAATATTCGCTTTGAGAAAGATAATAGTACAAGGAAAAACTCTCAAAAAAATTTGACAGGTTAGCAAAATACATTTATTACATAGAAATTAGTTTAAATACAAGTTTTTTTTAAAGAATTAATACCGAAACAACAGCGAAAAAAACATGTTCATTGAGAATATAAATTGTTCAGAAAAGTTTGCAACGAAAGACAAATGAATTTGCAGTCAACAAGCACTTACTATACTACCAAACATCTGTATAATATATCTGAGCTTTTCTGTGAGATATACCGGTTCTAAAACCATTTCTTTCACCTCGTCTTCGAGTTGTATTAAAAACAAAAGTATTTCAAATTTTCAAGGCTATGCGGATTTTGGCCGAACAAATTGTCAAGACATTGTAACAGAGGATAATTATTTTATAAAACAATTATACCATTCGCTCTCGTCGTATATGGCTGATAGCCGACTCGGTGCTACGCACCTCGTCGGCTATCAGCTCATATACGTACGACTCGAGCTCATGGTATAATTGTTAAAAATCTCAAATCTCAAGTACTTTACGCGAAATTCTGGCAGACTAAAAGATGGCAATTTTCAGCAGATTTACAATTCTTGTACAAAGACCAGCGTCATTTATAATCTATTTGATATTAGCGGAGGTGTAGTTCCGAGCGAACCTATAACCAATGGTATAACTCTAACCTTCATATTCTAAAGCTCGATCTTTACTTCTCTCGACAGATTCTGATATTTTTCAGTTTTTTTCTCTCTCCATGAGATCGCAAAACCTATGATGTTGCATTGCTTATTGGCTTTGTCAATTACTATTAGATCTGGGCGTCTAGCTTCTATCTCATGGTCAGTTTGAACATCAAAATCCCGTCATAATTAATTCTCCATAATGCGCTGCGGTTGGTGTTCACACCAATTTTCTGTTAAATTTCTGTTAAAATAACGTCGAACGTTTGGGATATTTCCAAATTTATTGTCTCGTCAGCCTGTCCACAGATTCTACATTTGCTTTCTGTTTCCTTGTCTGCTAGCTTGATTCCATCCGTCTTAACCATCTGCTTAGAAACACACAAACGAACGGAAATGATGTAGTTAGTGGCGTGGTCAACCACGCCGGATTTGACCCGGCCCCCACGAATTGTATGATTGTTGTGTAATTTGATTTTGAATTACTATACACATTTTAGAACTCGAAGTAGAATTATTATACACATGTTTGAACTCGAAGTAGAATAAAACACAAAATACAGCACCATCTTCCCCCTCTTCATCGCCTTACAAGGGAGGTAGCCAGGTAGGTCATGCCAGGGTGGGAAGATTTTCGTACCCTCTCCCTTGAGGATGAGGGGTTAGGTACCTCCGATTAGGAGGGGTTGGAATGGGCGTGGAGTGAGGGTCAGGTTATCAATGTGTCTGTATAATATACATCATACATAAAAGTGCACCTGTATGATGGTATACATCATAGATTGAAGGATGACCTATGATGATATAGATCATAGAAATGAAGATGATGCATTGCATAATTAGCACTTCAACAACTAAATTCCATCCTTACTGTATATCTTCGCTAAATATCCTAACAGTTTTTATCAATGAATCTAATTCTTTTTCATTTTTAATGCAATACAGCTTCAAATCGTCCATGTAAAACAATGAGCGATGTTACAAATAACAGCAGGGGATAACGAATCACCGCTGAAATATAACTCATTTTATTTTCACCAAGTGATCTTGTCCATATGTCAACTCTATCCTTCGTGATTTCATACTTTCCTGAAGTAAGATTTGTATTTCCTTGGTTATTCCCATTGTATTCAGACACACCAAAATCCACGGATGTGGGACCATATCAAATGCTTTAAGATAATCAATCCACCCCATTGCAATGTTTCTTTTTCTCTGCTTAACTTTTTTCAAAATCACCCCCATCTCTATACAACAGGCCATCGGTTCTTCTCGCACTTTTTCGCAAAGGGCAAAATTAAATTTGAATTTAAATGATGATACATTTCTTCAGCAATTATTCCAGTTAATAACTTCCACACTAAAGCCATGCAGACATGTTACAGGTCTGTAATTAATTGGATTATTTCCCTTTTCTTGTTTTTTTCTGAATTAATACCGTCCCCCCTTTTCTCATCCAAGTAGGTACATTGCCCCTTCTAAACACTCTTTCAGGTTATCAACTTAGTTTTGATTGTAAGCTCCTGAAATATTTCAACCACTATCTTCGTACCAAATCATGACCAGGTCCTTCTGACTCTTTTCCAGCCTTTCCCATATTTTTTTATCTTTTTCTTCTGGTATTCCCATTCTTTACTGCTAATAATAACCTTTTTTCACTATCATTATCATCATTACCAATTATCAATTATCATTATCAATTGTCATTGTCAATTGTCATTATTATTTATCATTATCAATTATCATTATCAATTATCATCATCAATTATCATTACCATTATTATCATTATTATTTTTATCATTATTATCACAATCATCATTATCATTATTACGATAATTATGATAATTAAATAATATCATTAACCGCAGCTTATATTAAACCGCAGCTGAATTGCAACAGGTAGGATTATATTTTACAGTATGCATGTGCACAATGATGGGAATCTAAGCATTACTACAGTATATGCAAAACAGTAAATGGGTCTTACTCCAGTTTGATAAAGAACACTTTCTTTCCCACAAATTTCTTTCAGCTTCTTCACAAGAATTTCATCATGTAGAGGTTTGAAACGAAACTTGGAACATCTTGATGTAAGAGGCTCGATAATCCTATAGTTGACAAAAACATGTTTCAGATGAGAAAGTTACAAACATGCATGTAAACCACTTGTTTATGTCATTATCAATCAGAAACTACAAATATTTTCATTGTATTGCACTTCATTACGCTGTATGTATACACTTCATTACATACAAAATAATAGTGGCTTCGAAAAGATAAACATTTTCAAAATTGTTTATTCTATGTTTATTCTATGTTTCGACTAGATTTTAGTCATCATCAAGAATGATGAAATTATTACATTTCATGCATAGATATATATGTGAAGAAATATAAGAATATCTACGCAAAGTCATTATTGTCCCCGAGCCTCCGGAACAGTGAATGTTGAATAAGAAGAACTTCATGCGTAAGCCAAGGGCGAGGGTACTAATTCCGCTTGGCTATTTACACTAGCACAGTCTAAAGTTAATAATCGCGGGCGAGCATAGGTGGGCATAGCATTGATCGCATTTTCTGACACTACTCACCGGCTGACATAGTTGCAAATGAGACAAAACCTGGTAGTTTTGTTTTGTTTCTCCATTGTTCTTCGTAGTGCAGCCTTTATAAATTTTACAAGATATTGACTGAATTAGATTGCAAAACTAATGGGATGAATTGAAGTATACGACTCCCTATTCATGTGCAAAAGTTTCAGATCACTTCAAAATCCTGAAAATAGTCATTTTATGGCCAATTGTTTCGTAAATCGATGTTTTTACATTTAATTTAGTTCTGGTTTAAACAGTAATTTCAATTTAGTTTTTTGAATTAATGTTTTGTTTTGTTCTGTTCTGTTCTGTTCTGTTAAGTTACGTTCTAGTACAACGCATGCGCAACAATACAATGTTTACTTTGAGCAAAAAGTAAATTTAGTTCTAGTTTTGAAGTCGCTTCCGAAAGCCACAAGAAATCACTAATTACCATGCATTTATGTATGTGAACGAATGATGGAACTTTTCTAATACCAAATAACGTTGAGACTGGATCTTTTACAAGTTGATATATTTTAATATATCAATTTAACCAATCAATGTGTAGGATTTGTTATGTTCACTTGTGATTGGTTAAATTTGACGTAATTTGACCTACAGGTGAATATAACAAAACAGAAATTTTCAAAATGGCGGCCACCGGTTTTGTGGACGTTTATACTGACAAAGAAATAAGCGAAATTAAAATAAATTCAGTCTCAAAAAAAAACACAAAAGCTTGTGTAAAAATACTAAAACAATTATTTGTTAAAACGAATAATTGTTAAATAGCATAAGATACAATATATAATACTTTTGATACAATAAGATACAATATATAATACTTATATTAATGACATGCCAAACTGTTCTACGAAACTCTCATTTAGACTTTTTGCTGACGATACTAATGTCTTCTATTCCAGTGACAATGTTCAAGATGTAACTAAAATCATGAACGAAGAATTTATTCAAATCCTTGACTATTGTTCAGCTAATAAACTAGCTATTAACTTTAAAAAACTAATTACATGATCATTAGTTCACATAAAAAACAAATATCAAATGTCAGAATTCATGAGATTGAACAAAAAGACTACATCAAATACCTGGGCGTCTATATTGATAAACACCTTAAGTGGGGCCAGCAAATAAACCACATAAAAAGCAAAATATCTAAAAACACTGGCATCCTTAATAAATTGCGATATTATGTGAACCTACAGATGTTGAAACAACTCTACTATATTCCCTAATCTATCCATATCTTAACTACGGAATAATGAGCTGGGGAAACACCTATACTACCCACCTATCCAAAATTCGCATTGCTCAAAATAAATGTGTACGAAACATTTTCTTTGCGCATAAAAGAGAAGATGCCAGTACCTACCTCAATCTATTGGGAATACTCAACGTTGACAATGTTTTTAAATTGAAAATTGCAATTTTTACATATAAAATCCAAACTCCATATCCATCGCATCTACCTGTCACTCGTATAATACAAGATTCGCGGCAAATCAAAACTTTAGCAGACCAAAAGCGCGCACAAATTACGGCAAACACACTTTTCTTTTTTCGTCATCCAATATTTGGGAAACGATAGACCTGCATATTAAGCAGTCGACTTCAGTTAGAATATTTAAATCTAAATATACAAGAAAACTTATCCTAAGCCAAGCGTAGAATCCAGACACTGATCCAGCCACACCAAACACGTCATGTTCTTTTTTCTCAATTATGTAAACAGTCACAAAACAACAATTTTGTAAACGGTGGCCAACTCGAAAGCTTCTCAGCTACTTTGGCCACTGTACACGATATAATACCATAATTAACTCCCTTTTTTCTCCCTTCCATTATGATTTTTTTTGTGATGTAATTAATGTCTAACTATATCTTTTTGTAAACGTGTGAAATAAAATTGAATTGAATTGAATTGTTTGTGGAAACACCACATAAATTAATTACTGCAAAGCTTTTGACCTGTAAGCCCGGATCTTCATCAGTGCTAATAATATGTGACTTGTTCAATTCACACGCCCTTTATATACCAAAGAAAAAAAAGGCGTGTGAATTGAACAAGTCGCATATTATTAGCACTGATGAAGATCCGGGCTTACGGATCGAAAGCTTTGCAGTAATAAATTTACGTGGTGTTTCCACAAGCAAAAGTATTATATGTTTTATCGCCATGCAAACCTACAAAGAACTTCTTAAGATACGTTTATTACATTATATGCTATAGGTTATTGTTTGTGTTTTAGTCCAGGATAAAAATAATTTTCGTCTTGTTTGGTTTGAAAATTTATTTATAGTGGACTACGCTTCCTTTCCACGATGGTAGGCAGCAAATTTTAAACCGTATTTCAATAGCCGTAAATCAGTGTATAATAGTGCATTTTATACTTCTTTTTACGTAAACTACTGCAAATTTTCGGGAAACCATATAATTGTTTACAGTTTGAAAACATCTTTTAAGATTTTAAAGTAACAATATGCAAATTAGGTAAACGCATGAATTAATCATGCGTGAAAGGCATTGGTGCCGAAAAATGAAAGTTTCAGAGGCTATTCAAAGAACTTAAAATTGAGCAAATATTCTGCTATTTGGACCATTAATAAAACACATAGGCCCTAACAAATTTCTCGCTCATGAACTCAAAATGCGTTTAAAACTTTTAAATTTCACGCGCAAGCTATGTTTAATGCTGCTAGAAAAGACAACCCCCTGCTCTGGAAAATGTTTTGTTTATTCTACATTATAAGTACCCAAACAATTTATAAATAAATTCATGACATGAACGGATTTGTGAATTGAAAGCCATTTCAAAATTGTCTACTTTTTTCTGATACCCCTGTATATCTCAATTGATGCAATTATTTTCGTCGAACAGAAGGTTAAAGACGCCGACTTGCTATGCACGTACCTGGGCATTTCTGGTCATCGAATCTGCTTCATCCAAGATAACTATCTTAAAAGGAGGACATTTCTTGCCACTAAAATAAAGGAAATAGAATGATCACATACAGCCCACTAACCGTCTGTATAAACTATAAAGATCGGTTAACCTGCATGATAGATGGTATACGAGTCGAAGGAGGCACACGGCTGTTCCGACTCGCGGGTAAACCAGAACGTCGCGGTCATGCAGGCTAGCTTTTTGCATGGCATGCCAATTGTCAAGTAAGCTATAATTCAATGGCAACTCGTCGTTACGGGTCGGTTTTCCACACTTCGAAAAGTCAAAGAGGGCATCGAGTGCTGTCATGCGCCCATGATTATTTTATACTAATTACACTGGCCGATAGAGCCAGTATCTTAAAATGAGCCCGTTTCTACCTTCGTCGTTTTTTTGGTTGTCGCAAACACGGCATACCATCGAGGCATCGCAGGCTCAGTGTACAGTGTTCCAGTGACCTATGCAGTTCAGTTTCAAAATGACGGCCATTCTTGGAGTGGGAAAATGTTTCAAACAATTTCGTTAACATTTTGACCTGTATTCTATGGATTTTGCGTTGCAGTCCAGCTCTGGACTTTCTTGCGAGTAAACTCGCAAGATTATTAATGTCTTTTTCTTTGTGCACTCTGAAAATCCTAAAATAAAATTTGGATCGACGAATGCCAGTGAAATCGTGAATCATAATATACTGAATATATAAAACGAGGCAAGGACAAGTTCAAGGTAAAAGGTTAAAACGTATAAGTGGAGCCGGTAGCTAGGTATTGTTCATGTATCTAATTTGGTATAAACTGTGTTTAGATGATATTGAAATTATATTATATAACGCAGTTAATTAAATTAATGTCTTAAGAGGACGTTAGTATTAGGTTTTGCTATAGGTAATGAGAACAATACTGGTGTTATACAATAAAATGTATGCAACAACAGCTCCAATACTAGTTAGCTGTGGAAACGTGAAAGCTGTAGTGTCAAATATGATATTGCAATGGCCTTGTGTTTTGGTCAAAATCTGCCAAATTTATGCCATGTGTGATAAAAATAAGTAAAATTCTTGTATAAATGCGAACCCAAATAAATAATGCGTGAAAAGGTGTAGGCTAAGGACGTATAAGTTGTCAACCAAGGCCAGTGTGGACGCCTGAGCAGGCGTCTTAATTGTTTATATTACAACCAGAAGACCGAAAGCTTCTTTCCAATTGTTGTTATGCTTACTTTGTGTTATCTTTCAAATCATGCAGGAGTGTAGATGTTGGGATAAGCGCTAACCTGGTACAGTGGTACCTGCAGGTGACTTGAGCAAACTGCAATACTAACCTAAAATGATCGTGTTTTGTGATTGGCTTCATAAAACAATATTAATAATTCTGTATAATAATTAATAGTAGTAATAATAAATAATTCGCTTCAACCCCCAATCCAATACCTACGTGTAAACGAGTTAAATCTAAACGTCATCTAAAAGGAATGATCATCAATTGTAACGGTTTGAAAGGTACATCCCGTTTCACAGAATTTCAAGCTCTACTTGACCTACACAACCCTGACGTTGTTCGAGGAACTGAATCCAAGCTACACAATGATATACCCACTTACTTCCATCCAACTACACTGTCTATAGAAAAGACAGAAATGCAAATGGTGGTGGTGTTTTTCACGCTGTTAAATCCGATATTGTATGCGAAGAATGTCCAAAATTCGATGCGAACTGTGAAATTCTTTGGTCCTCAGTAAAGTTCCAGAATTCCAAGAAATTATACTTAGCATCCTATTACAGACCTCCCAACTCCTCTTCCGACTAATCATCGACTAATCATCATCCAAATATTATTCTAGGCGGTGATTTTAACCTTGGAGACATCAACTGGAAATCTGAGTCGCCAGAACTTTCAAGTGAAATCAATTCCTTACATCATAAGAAACTTCTCCAGACACTTGACGACTTCTCCCTTACACAACACATCACGTTCCCTGCTCGTTCAGCTTCTAACAAAAACTTGGACTTGTTATTGTCTTCATTCCCTAATAATGTATCTAATGTTTCGACCACGTCAGGAATCAGCGACCATTTGGCCGTCCTTTTTAACATCGATGTCGCGGCTACTAGATCGTTCAAACCTCCACACAAAGTTTTCATCTATAAGAGATGTCATTTATGTCACATAAGAGATGTCATTTATGTCACATGCATCGGAAAACTTTTTCCTATCTAGTCCTCAACGTAACTCTGTATCTGAAAACTGGTTAAAATTTAAATTAACCTTGACAAAAGGTATTCAAGATTATGTTCCTCACAAGAAATCTACGCTTAAATATAAACTTCCATGGATAACCTCTGCTATCAAACGGCACATGCGGCTGAAAGATCGCCTACATAAAAAGGCTCTCAAATCTCACAAACCTAAATACTGGGATGAGTTCAAGAAAGAACGAAACTTAGTCTCTCGTCTCGTCAAACAATCTCACAGTAGTTATCTGAATGACGTTATTGGCGCAAGCTTAGATATCAATCCAAAGAAATTCTGGTCGTATGTACGTACAAGTAAATCTGAGAGCTCTGGCATACCTCCATTAAAATTCAACGACAAATTATGTGTTTCTGATAAATCAAAAGCTGACGCCATTAACTCCCAGTTCCATTCAGTATTCACCCGTGAGAATCTCCAATTCCAAATAAAGGTCAATCTCCATACACCTCCATCTCAGATTTGATAATCAACTCCCAAGGTGTAGCCAAGCAACTCTCTGAACTTAACCCCAGTAAGGCCTGTGGTTCTGATTAAATCCCAGCTAGAATCCTTAAAGAACTTTCTCCATGAATTTCGCACTGGCTTTGTTTCATTTGCCAACAATCCTATGATTCTGGTACACTTCCACCTGACTGGTCAAAGGCCCTTGTTTCTGCTGTTTTTAAAAAGGACTTAAAATCCAACCCAGCTAACTACCGTCCAATCTCTCTGACGTGTCTGTGTTGCAAAGTCATGGAACATATCATTCTTAGCCATGTTTTAAAGCACTTAGCATATCATGATATTCTAATTAATGAACAACACGGATTTCGCAAACTATTTTCGTGTGAGACTCAACTAATTACGGCAATCAACGATTGGGCAAAAAGTGTCAACCAGAAGAAACAAACCGATGTGATTCTCTTAGACTTCAGTAAAGCCTTTAATTCTGTTCCTCATCTTCGCATGATGTCCAAATTAGACCATTATGGTATTAGAAGACTTTCCGCCAATTAGATCAAGGCTTTTCTTTCCAACCGCTCTCAAGTTGTCTCGGTTAATGGCTCCCACTCTCACCCTCAACCTGTCATATCTGGAGTACCCCAAGTAACAATTCTCGCACCTGTCTTATTTCTTCTCCATATAAACGATATTTCTGAGAATATTAAATCCCAAATTCGCTTGTTTGCTGACGATGGAGTCATTTATAGAGAAATTAATAACGATCAGGACCACGTCACGTTACAAGAGGATTTAGACAATCTAAATAATTGGGCTAACAAGTGGCAACTAAATTTCAATTTCTCAAAATGCTACCACCTAGGAATTACAAATAAACGTGTCCCTGAAACATATATAGTTATATGATGAATAATCAAACAATTAGCAGAGTATCTTCTACCAAATACCTGGGCATTACTATAAACCACAACTTGAACTGGAACAATCATTGTGACATCATATGTAGTAAGGCAAATAGCACTCTTGGCTTACTTAGAACGTAGCGCTGCTGTTAAGTCAAGAGCGTATACTAGTCTTGTCCGTCCACAACTTGAGTATGCTTCTACAGTCTGGAACCCTTACACCAAGAGGAACATCAATAAGATCGAGATGGTTCAACGCAGAGCTGCTAGATTTGTCTTCAATCACTATTCCAGAGCTAGCCACGTCTCTCCAATGATCGACCACCTGGGTTGGGACAAACTCCAACAACGGCGACTGCTACACCAAGCCACTATGTTCTACAAGATCCATCAAGGCCTTGTTGGAATCAGTCTTCCTGATGACGTGTGTCCTTGGACTAGAGCATCCAGGCTGCCTAATATCTGTCCTTACCGCCAAATTCAGTCGTGTGTCAATGTATATAATGTATATAGCTAATTAGTATTGTTTTGAATCGTTTGTACTGTACTATATGTTCGTTTTGTAGTCTTAGGTTGTTGTCGTTGTCGTTTTTGTCATTGTTGTTGTTAATAGCATATAACAACAACATTCTAATCACCGCCTAATATATGTGTCATACAGTGATTATGAAGACTTTCTTGTAAATAAATATAAATATTATCTAGTTTTTCAGTATACATAACTCCTTCTAGTGTAGTATAATACTGTTTTAGGAGTATTTCATTAAAGCATTAAAGCATCATTCTTTTGAAAGATGACTTCTATAGTTCATTGTCTGTTACAATCTCGTTCCCCGAGCCTGCGATCCTCGGGAAGGAACGCGAGGCTCTGGGATAATCCGTTTCAGGGAGGAATCTGATTGGCCGTTGATATAGAATGCGCAGTTCAATCTTAGCCAGGATTCCTGGCTTCCGGCAACGGATTATCCCAGAGCCTCACGTTCCTTCCCGAGGATCGCAGGCTCGGGGACGAGTTGTGTCTGTTATTGTTATGATCAACCAATCATAAAGCCCGTTCTGGCGACTCCTGCAAACCTGGGTCAGAAGGTCCTGCGCACACTGGTATGTTTGAATTTTCCCATGAGTATCGTTTTGCAGATTTCCTCAGATCGTAGTTAATAGTTGTCTTTTCTGCAAAAAAACTCAAGGGCTAAGTGATGTTCCTATAGCCAAACATTGACCTTCTGAGGACTAATTAATTTACCACAAATTTCCTGCGACCCCCATGCTCGCATTGTACGTGGGGCTAACTGCAAATTAGTTTTGGCCACCTGCAAAAAAAGTAAATATATACAGGCATGCTGTCAAAATTGATCTTGGAATAGAAATAACAGACGGCAGCTTGTCGGTATTGATATTTCTGATCAGTGTAATAAGAATGCGCATATATTACTGGATCACTCTCCTTTGTATAATTACGGCGATTAAAATAATATGCATTATTAGTACGAGAACATGGGCCATACATACGTTCATATAATTAGAGTAAAACTTGTTGACAGGAGCAAAGAGCGGGCAACCGATCGAATTGACTTTATGCCGAGATAATGAGAATTTGTAAATTAATCGATATAAATGACTTTTTCTTGAGTTATATTATGAAGGAAATAGAAAACATTTCCCCCTATGACTATGTTTCTACAAACACTTGTGTTTTTTTGGGAGAGCTCGAAATAACCTGGGCTCGTTTCCCCACTGTCACTGATAATCTGTCGTTCTCCCACGCATGTTTCTACAAAAAAAACGCTATGGAAATTAAAAAAAAAACTAAAAAAAAAACGTTATGGAAATTAAAAAAAAACCGCAAACGCTAACGAAACGCTATGGAAACTAAAAAAAAAACGCTATGGAAATTCAACAGGCTGTTGTGCATCACAAATTTAACTAAACAATTCAATTTTTACATAGGACGAAAGAGCTGTTATGTAGCTTTTCTATGATATATTTATTAAACCGTAACGATGAGAAATGGCCACATACTCGTGAAATAAAAATTTTCGGTCGAAATCACATTCTTCCACCGTTGGGAATTGAAAATACATTAATTATGCAAAGTTGATCAATCCAAAAGCATCGCGAGTCTGCTGCAAGGTACTTGTTTCGTAAAACGTTTTGATTACGAATGCTCTCTGTTCAGTGCATAGATATCTATGGTTCAGTGGTTAATTGAACCATGTTTAATGCAATAATGGACGTTCTTATGGTCTCACTAAGACGAAGATTGACGAGTTGAGCTTATTTTAGATAATTTAACATTCAATTATAATTCCCACTTGGGAATTGTTTATGTTTCGTTTTCCATGCAATTCCCAACGGTGGAAGAATGTGATTTCGACCGGCAATTTTTATTTGACGAGTATGTGGCCATTTTTCATCGTTACGATTTAAAAAGAGTATCATTGAAAAGCTAAATAACTGTTCTTTCGTCCTATGTAAAAATTGAATTGTTTAGCCACGTTTATGATCCACGACAGCCTGCTGAATTTCCATAGTGTTTTTTTTAGACACCCTGTATAACTGTACAGAAATATGGAAAATGTTTTCATTGAAGATGGGGCGAATTACGATCATTTACTACAATAACATCAGCCTGTGCTTTATTTTTTAAACGTTACCACTGGTCTCAAAACTAGTACTGGATAGACTAACCTTTTGAATTCAGGGAATTAATTTTAAATCCAGAATATTTATAACGAGGAGAAATTTATAATCTGTCCTTTACAAATCAAATCGCTACGTGTTTAAATTAATTATACTATCAAGCAAATATATTTTTCTACATAACTACGCACCTCTTGAAGGCTCTTCTAATGATTGCCGTGACTTCATTAATTATTCACTGACACTCGCAAATTTCAGATGAAAAAATGACACTATTAACGATTTTCACTCTACTCTAGGCAGTTTCTATTCCTATCTGCAATTACCAGAAACTTTATGAACCTCTTCTAACATAGCAACACCACTGTCGAATTGTCACAACAACTGTCATATAGAATAAAAGTTATTCCCTATATAAGGAATGCATAATAATAACACATAATTTATAAAAACTGTATATTTCGAATCAAATCTGATTCATCTTCAGCATTGTGTGACTGTGCATGTGCATGTTATTAATTGTGTGTTATTATTATGCATTGCTTATTCGGAATAACTTTTATTCTATATTTGCTGGAATTACCAGCTGGAAAAGAATTCACAACAACATGGCCGCCGTTCAATGTAGTTCAACTTTCATGTTGTGCACGCAATAGGCCATAGGGCTACAGAGGACTGCTCGCGGACACGCCATGAAAGTAGAACTACATTCAACTTTCTTGGCGTGCCCGCGCGACTGATTTTTTACGTGATTAAAATTGGTCGTATTAATCGCTCGTCGAGCGTGGGCAAAGCCACCATGATGATGAAGTTCTTGGCGCGAACTTCAAAACATGTGTGCACCAGTGGTGTGCACGCGCCTTTTGTCAAACGCCTTTTTTCGCGAAGAAAAGTCCTCTATTAAACGTACACGACTCTACGGGCTGCAGCATAGGTCGGGCAATATTTGTCGTCAAAAATATCAAGTCTTAGCAAAGACTGGCCGCAGTTTGTCTAAAGTCGCTGCAACGCCAGAATACAAGAAAGGGGTTGAACACAGAGTTTGCAAACGCCATCGTCAGCGCTGTGTGAAGCCAAATTTCTCCAACAGCCATCGAAATTTGACCGAATGAAAAATAAACAAAGAAACACACACATGGCAAATAACATATGAACAGACTTGACATGACAAGAAAAGCGGTAACAGTTGATCTCATGATCTTATTTCTATTTGTAATCTCACGAAGTGATGAAGGCTGAGCTTCGTGAATAGCATTGCGATGTCGACGAATAAGCTTCAATTTCCAAATCCAAGTGAGAACAACGATGGACATAGTTATCACAGCTGTACATGCTATTCCATAATGAACAAGCTTTCGCGTGACGAATATCGAAACTATCAATAAAATCAAAACAAACATCCACAGAACAAGAAGCGTTGCTTTCAAGCGATACTTTGTGACGATGCTTGCATAATGATAGGGGTAAGCCAAGGCGATGAAATTTACCATAGTGAGAACAAGAATAGTTGATAGGGATAAAACAACGCAAACAAAACTGGTGAAAACGCTGACAGAAATAAGCGCAAAACTACATGTTTTTGCATGGATGAAGCGAATGATGTCATACGTGATATATATAGGTTGAACACAAGCAGTTACTGTTATGTCTGTGATAGCAAGTGCGGCAAAAATAAAGTTGCGCAATGTTCGTAAACGACGGTTGCGACAATATGCCACGATAACCACACCGTTAGCCACCGTTCCAAGGACACAGAGAACAATATTGACAACGAAGACCACCACCTCTACCGTTATCAACTTTATATTCGCCACATAGCTTATTAAACACATATCTTTCGCGAACATGATCAGATCTGTTGTATCAATTGCCATAACCACCCAATAGTATTTAATTTTTGAATCGCTACTCCTACAATCCAGCCCTTATATAGCTTTGTTTCCACTTCGACATCCGCGATGCGTGTAACTGCGCTGATGAACAAAAAGTCTTTAATTAAGAGTAACAGCTTAATTATCACCTTTCAATAAACCCCTCAAAAAGCAAGCGTATATATAATTACGTAGGTATATTAAAAGTCAACATTATTTTTTTACCCTTCACAAAAAAAACCCAACAAAACGCAAGCTCATGATTCCGGTATATTGAAAAGTGTCGAATAGTCAACATTATTATTGATACGACTAATTATTTATATACTGTTCATGCAAATGCATGTACACACGCAATTAGACGTAATTATACTTCATGAAAAAGACGTAATTATACTTCATGAAAAAGACGTATAATTATACTTCATGAAAAAATATACAGTATAATAAAAAGCCATCCATTGGCTTCGTTTATGCATGGCAGATTTTCTATCCAGTCCTAGTTATATGAGATCAGTGGTCAAAGAAAAGCAAGGCAAAACGCGTGCGGAAGATTCTTAACTGAGCCAATGATGCTATGTAGTTAATGCTCAGCGACGACATGGCCAATTTTCGGTAAGTACTTCATCTTGCGTGAACCCTCACAAACTTTGCATTATTAAATAGCGTAAAATATTGTCTAAGGATAGTGGTACACGGATCCAAAATATCCGTGCAAGATGAAGTATGTAGTTACCCAATTTTCTGTGCAATTTCCGGTTGTGACCCGTGCTTCTCTTATATATATTTGTTTAGGCCTGGTTCACAATGGCAATTTTGTGTTTCTGACGGATGCAAATGAGTGAACTCGCACACAAAGGTACAGAGTCGCTATTCAGAAGTAATGTCATTCATTCTATCACATTTGCCTGGAGGAGAAAAATCGACCAGGCTTTAGTAAAATACCTTGGAGTTGTTGAAGAAACAGCTCTTTGGGAAAACTTTTTTACTTTGTTTCGAACAACCTAAAATTGTAACGAAAGGAAATAAAAAGTATAACTTTCCTAAATTTGCATGCGTACTACGAAATACTTCGCCGATCACACAAGGCCTTCCAATCCTACATGACTTTGTATTACAACTACAATTTATGAAGCGCTGGGGTCTCACTATTTTACTCAAAGTTTTTCAAAGCTATGAATGTCTTTAACCCTAACGCCTAACCCCTACCGAAGCTCGCTCAGTATGAAAATCCGCCCTTGATTGAGTTCAGGTTTAAGTGGTATCCGAAATTATCAAGGTCCCCTCAAGCCATTGAAATGAATATACACTGTAGCTGGAACGCTACCTCTAACCGGAAATTTGAGGGCCAGTCCCAGTCATTTCACACGTGCGAAGAGCACTCAATCAGTCAATCATGATATGATCACGAGCGTCCGGGGGTCAAAATTTGGCTTCAAGAAAAAGATAGGCAGTTTATCTCAATGCGCAGTCAGTATGTTTTGTATTTTGTTTCAACTTTGTATAGTATGTTTTTTTATCCGTTTTGCGCTGCATACCTCAATTCCTCTTTCATCTGAGGCATTTAACTCCAGTACTCTATCCTTCATAAGTTCAGGTCTAAAAGATATAATACATTGTAATGTAATGGCTTATTAACTCAAATCACCAAACGAAACATTCGGTAAAAAGAAAACTACAGTGTTTTCATCTTAGTTAAAAATTTTATGGTTATGAACTTATGTTAACTTCATATTTGGAGTTAATTCTATTGGAGAAGTTAAAGCGTGTTGGGGAACTAGTTTGTATATGCATGATTAACTATTTTTGGTGGAGTTATTTAAAATTGATTCCTTTTTTGGAGTGAGTTTTTTATGTTTTCAGGATGCAAGCAAAATGGCGTTCTATTTAATTTCACCCAGCTCGGACGAAAGAAAAAATCGTAATTGTATAAAAAGTAGAATGGAACCGCACTATTTAATTATGTTTTAAGACAGAGACTAGTTTTACCTTATAAGTTGGGTTTTTTTAATACTGAAAGACAAAGGAGCTTTTTTTAATGTTTGTCAAACCAAATCATGAAAAAATACAGTGTTTTTTATTGCAACGTACAAATGTACTCTACCCAAATCTGAATACATAACAATTCCTGATGAATTCAATACAAAACCATGAATACAATACAAAATAATACAAAGAAAACGTGGGGTCGGGGTTCAAAAACATTTCTTAAATTTTTAAAAATAAAATCGTGCCCAATACCTACAGTACCGAGGAATAACTGAAGAACGTTAAGCCACAATGCATCCGTTAATGCAGGTAATTCGATGTACAATCAGAGTCGCCCAAAGATATTCCAGAACCATATCTAATAAAGAGGGGGGCCCGAAAAGCTTTTATCGAACCCAAACTCGTAAACTTTTAAGACTTTCCTTGGACATTTCAGAATATTCCCGAAAATCTTGAATTTGGGGGCCCCTTCTCTGCAAGTTTTTTACATTTTGGGGGACTCTCCTTCAACTAGGTGCCTGGTGAAATTTACCCCTCCCCCCTCTGGGCGGCCCTGTGTACAATTATGTACCCAGACTTCATTATGACCATGCTCTATCTCCATCATGGTGTATACTTATACGTGAAAGACGTGACCATTTGTACAGCAAAACTTAAATAAAATCTGTAATACTGAATGTCTGAATATCGATTTCACCATCTTTTATATACCAACCATTAGCATTAATGAACACGATAATCTTCAACAGAACGAATGCCACACATTACCAAAATGTACAACAGAACGTTTCAAACGTAGTTTTATTCCTTCTACTGAATGTCTTATAAATATTCTTGATATTTGTGGTTGTGATTGGTTTTAATGTATATAATACGTATGTATATAAACTTCCAATATTTACCAGACAATACAGTGCGGCAAGGCACAATACATTACGGCAAAGGACTATACAATACGGCGAAGAGTGAGTGCAAAAACGAGCGCTGAGGATTATTTTAACGGGTTACTCTTATAGGGAAGCATTAGCACAACTTGGGTGTTCCAGATTGGATGAAAGGCGAGAACAACATTGCCTCAACACTATGAAACGCATAGAAATTGGAGGACCACTGTCAAAATATGTTCCATTGTCTAGGGCTAGTTCAAATGATTATGAACTTAGAAACTCTAACACATTAACAACAATAAAATGCCGAACAGAAAGATATCGCCGTAGCTTTTTTCCCAGTACAGTAGCTTTATATAATAGTTATAGTAAAGAAATTTAAGCGTGATACTTAAATACGTTGATTTTAATAGCAATTCAATAAGATTTTTAGACTTCATGCATGTAATTTAACTTTTTATATAGTAAATATATATAGCGTACTAATTTTGTAAACGCACCATAATTCAATCTATTGCGAAGGTGTGTATCTTAAACCATTAATAATAATAATAATAATAATAATAATAATAATAATAATAATAATAATAAAAAGCACCATACAGTACAGAAAGCAACATACAGCACGGCAAAACACAATACAGAGAGGCAAAGCACCATACATTGTTATCACTAGTGTTCCCGACCGAATCAAGATATGCGAATTTTTAAAACCAAGTGATTCAGACATTTCAACCGACCACAACGCCATTATTTTCGACCTCTTCCTCCCATGCAATCCTTTCCCAAAGATAAAACGTTCAGTGTTTGATTACCGACGCGCTGACATTGATGGTCTACGAAAGCATCTTCAATCCCTCGACCTCAGTGAACTTATATCAGAGAACGGCAATATCAACCAGGATTGGCTCGCGTGGAAAATGCGTTTTTGGGCGCGTTATCGAAATTTGTGCCGACAAAAACACTACGAGGTCGAAACCATCTCCCTTGGATGAACAGTACAATACTTCACTACATCAAGAAGAAAAACTCCATAAGAACGAGAATTAAAAGATCCTGACATCCAAGTGAACACCTCAAGCACAGATTTCGAGAGCTCCGCAGGACAATTAAAAGAATGTTGCGTGGAAGTCGCTTGGACTATATCAATTCAATCAGTGCATCTCGTGAACCCAATCCTAAACGTTTCTGGTCGTTTTTCAAGATTGAGTCTAAGGTATCTAATATTCCGTTAAAAGTCTCGGTTAAATCTAGTGAAAATCAAAGAACGTATTCCAACAACAACGTAGACATTGCGAATACTTTTAACGAATATTTCGCCTCAATTTTTACGCATGACAACAATAGTGACCACAATCTAGGAGAACACTCGGATCCAGAAATTGTTTTGGAAGACATAACACTGACTAACGACGAAGTAATAACCATATTCACTAATCTAAATAACAATAAAGCTCATGGTCCAGACGGAATCCCAGCACGTTTGTCGACGGAAACATCATCCCAAATCGCTCCTTCACTCTGCGCTCTCTTCAACAAATCTTTACGTTGTGGTGTTCTTCCTGATGATTGGAAATTAGCGAATGTCGTACCAGTACACAAACGGGTGAGAAATCCTATGTCGAGAACTACCGTCCAATCTCGTTGCTTTCCCTTATCTCCAAAGTCCTCGAGCATTGCGTTTTCCATAACATCCAACATCATGTTTTTCAACAAATCAACCCTTGCCAACACGGTTTTGTTCCACGAAAGTCATGCGTAACGCAACTGCCGAAGTATTCGAACAGATAGGTCGGAAATTAGACAACGGTAAGCAGATAGACGTGATTTTCGATAAAGTAAGTCACGCTCAGCTCATGCACCGATTACACGAGTTCGGGTTTCGAGGTAACCTTCTCAACTGGTTTTCATCCTACCTCAGCAATCGTTATTAGCAGACAACAATTGATGGAGCAACATCAAGACCGTTAGCAGTGACATCAGGTGTACCGCAGGGCTCTATTCTCGGTCCTTTACTGTTTCTCTTGTACGAAAACCACCTCTCCGAAAGCGTGGGCAACTCCAGCATTGCAACATTTGCGGACGATACAAAGATCTTTAAAACTGTAAATAACGTGTCCGACGCATCATCGCTACAAGAGGACCTAACAAATTTTGAAGAGAACTCCAAACGCTCAAAAATGTAAAGTCATGAGAATAACCAGAAAACACCACAAAATAGAATATCCCTACAAGCTACATGATGCTGTTCTGAAAAGCGCTGTTCACGAACGTGATTTGGGAGTGTGGACTTCTTCCAGTCTGACTTGGTCCAAACATATTGAGGACCAATGTGCTCAATCAACCAAAATGCTCGGCTACGTAAGGCGATCTACACTGGACATAAAAACTATCTCGGTTGGTCGTACTCTGTATTTGACTCTTGTACGCTCAAAACTATGCTATGCGTCTCAAGTCTGGGCTCCACAATCCGTGGAACTGATCAAACGCACGGAAAGAATCCAGAGGCGCGCGAGCAAGTTTATTTTGGATCTACCATTCATCTGCGATGTCAGCTATAGTAAGAGACTCGAACTGTTAGACCTCATTCCGCTCTGCTATTGGCACGAATTCCTCGATCTGGTGTTTTACTTTAAATGTGTAAATGGGATAATAAACATCAATGGCAACATTCTACCATCAATTCAGATCCGGCAGAGAGCAACGCGATCAGCTGACCCCTGACTGTTTGATGTTCACCACGCCGAAGTGTAGGACTGCAACATTCCAGAGATCGTTTATATCCAGGTGTGCGAGAGTATGGAATGTTCTACCAAAAGAGTTGACAACAATTTAAAGGACATAAGCTTAGGTCGTTTCAAAAGCGATCTCTATGAATATTACAAATCGGCTCTGAACATTTACGACGCAGAAAATCCTAGAACAAGGAAGTCTGTATGTTTGTCTTGTAACAAGTCCCGTAATTTGTCTTGTTCAAATTCGTGTTGTTATTAATTCTAATGTGTGTCTCTGTGTTGGTCTTGTTAAGCTTCATTGTTGGCTAATTTCCACTCAGGAAAATTTTCCACAGGAGCGGACAGCGTTGGAACTAACGACTTTAGCACTATGTAACTTTCCTTCCATTACTATCCTGCGGAGGGTTTTCCTGGGTGCAACTGACTGGCCTTTTTATATTACTAAAGATCTAATGTAGAATGTGTCATGTTCGTTCTGTAAGGGCTGCTGTAATTGGCGTAAAGCTGTAGCATATACCCTGCCATTGATTGATTGATATTTTGTATATTCTTGTGTTTGTATTTGTGCACATATGATTGTGTGAAATTGGCAAAGCATAATAAATAAATAAATACAGTACGGCAAAGCACCATAGAATACGGCAAAGCGCCATGCAGTACGGGAAAATACCATACAGAACGGCAAAGCACAACACCGTACGACACAACACAGTACGGCAAAACACAATACAGTACCGCAAAGCACAATACAGTTCGGCAAAGCATAATGCAGTACGACAAAGCACCATACAGTACGGCAAAGCATCGCACAGTACAGCAAAGCGCCATATAGTACGGCAAAGCACCATAGAGTACAGCAAAACACAATACAGTGCGGCAACGTACCATACAGTAAGGCAAAGCACAATACACTATGGCAAAGCACAATACAGTACGGCAAAGCACCATACAGTACGGCAAAGCACAATACAGTACGGCAAAGCACCATACAGTACGGCAAAACACAATGCAGTGCGGCAACGTACCATACAGTAAGGCAAAGCACAATACACTACGGCAAAGCACCATACAGTACGGCAAAGCACAATACATACATACATAATACTTCATTTTGACACGCTAGCCTCATCAACATCAGCTGTTTTTCATGAGGGGCGTGTTAACTAACTAATTACACAAATAATATGTACAAATTAAAGTTACATGAAGCATACAAAGACTAACAGGTAGACAAAAATATATAAACGAAACAAATAAATATTATTGAGGACAGGTCAGCTTCACCTCGCCGTAGATTTTATAATTCTCTTGAATGAATAAACGGAATCAGCGCTTTTTGCTTCAATAGACAGATTATTCCAATGGATAGCTCCATTGTATTTAAAACTTCTTTTAAGAAATTCTTTCTTTGGTTTTGGTAATACTAGATCATTTTCACGATTCCTAAGATCATAAGGGGAATCGCCTTCACTGCATCGTCGAAATAGTTGTTTTAAATTTGGGGCGGCATGGTCATTAATTATTTTATACATGTAAATAGATTTTGTATAGTTGCGTCTCTGGTCTGGTCAAAGCACAACACACTACGGCAAAGCATAATATAGTACGACAAAGCACCATACAGTACGGCAAAGCATCGTACAGTACCGCAACGTATCATATAGTAATGCAAAGCACAATACACTACGGCAAAGCACAATACACTACGGCAAAGCACCATACAGTACCGCAAAGCACCATACAGTACGGCAAAGCACAATACAGTACAGTATAGCAAAGCAGAATACAGTACGGCAAAGCACCATACAGTACGGCAAAGCACCATGCAGTACGGCAAAGCACAATATAGTACGGCAGCAAAACACCATACAGTACGGCAAAGCACAATACAGTACAGCAAAGCACCATACAGTACGGCAAAGCACAATGCAGTACGGCAAAGCACCATACAGTACAGCAAAGCACCATACAGTACAGCAAAGCACTATACAGGACGGAAAAACACCATACAGTACAGCAAAGCACCATACAGTACAGTACAGTACAGTACAGCACAGCAAAGCACTATACAGGACGGAAAAGCACCATACAGTACGGCAAAGCACAATGCAGTACGGCAAAGCACCATACAGTACAGCAAAGCACCATACAGTACAGCAAAGCACTATACAGGACGGAAAAACACCATACAGTACAGCAAAGCACCATACAGTACAGTACAGCAAAGCACTATACAGGACGGAAAAGCACCATACAGTACGGCAAAGCACAATACAGTATGGCAAAGCACCATACAGTACAGCAAAGCACCATACAGTACAGCAAAGCACTATACAGGACGGAAAAGCACCATACAGTACGGCAAAGCACAATACAGTATGGCAAAGCACCATATAGGACGGAAAAGCACCATACAGTACAGCAAAGCACCATACAGTACAGCAAAGCACCATACAGCATGCCAAAGCGCCATGCAGCACGGCATAACACAATATAGTACGACAGCAAAGCACCATACAGTACGGCAAAGCACTATACAGTACCGGTACGGCAAAGCACCATACAGTACAGCAAAGCACAATACAGTACAGCAAAGCACCACACAGTACGGCAAAGCACCATAGAGTACAGCAAAGCACAATACAGTACAGCAAAGCACCACACAGTACGGCAAAGCACCATACAGTACGGCAAAGCACCATACAGTACGGCAAAGCACCATACATTACGGCAAAGCACAATACGGCAGCGAAGGACCATACAGTACGGCAAAGCACCGTACAGTACGGCAAAGCACCGTACAGTACGGCAAAGCACAACACAGTACCGCAAAGCACAATACAGTACGATAAAGCACCATACATTATGGCAAAACACAATATAGTTCGGCAGCAAAGCACCATATAGTACGGCAAAGCACCATATAGTATGGCAAAGCACCATACAGTACGGCAAAATACAATACGGCAGCAAAGGACCATACAGTACGGCAAAGCACCGTACAGAACGGCAAAACACAATACAGTACCGCAAAGCACAATACAGTACGACAAAGCACAATACAGAACGGCAAAGCACCATACAGTACGGCAAAGCACCATACAGTACGGCAAAGCACCATACATTACGGCAAAACACAATATAGTACGGCAAAGCACCATACAGTATGGCAAAGCACCATACAGTACAGCAAAGGACCATACAGTACGGCAAAGCACCATACAGTACGGCAAAGCACAATACAGTACCGCAAAGCACAATACAGTACGACAAAGCACAATATTTACAGAACGGCAAAGCATCATACAGTACGGCAAAGCACCATACAGTACGGCAAAGCAGGGCGTGAAATAACAGCCGGTCAACGGACAATGTCCGGCCAGAATGCGGAGTTGTCCGCTCAAATTCTTACCTTGCCGGTCATTTTGACTGGTCACTTTCGGTAAAAGAACAAACTAATCTTCATTTTAATTACTGATTACAGTAAGGCTTTTTATATAGCCTGATAAAACAGCCGCCTGTTATTGCTCGCACAATACAGTACAGCAAAGTAGGGCATATATTATAGGGCACTGGCGACTATTGTGACATTAAGTCATGCATGTTAACATTCATCAAAGTTGGAAGGCTAATTTTGGTTATTTGGGGGGGGGGGGGAGTTTCTGCCATGCATGGATGTTTTACGGTTCGCTTGGTGTGTATTGCACTTTTCTGTCTTACACCGCAAGACAGTTGCGCTTCGTGGGGACTGTATACTATCAGAACAATACCATCGGAAATAGAACACACACGCGTACTTTAAAACATATTTATTTAAACTATTCAAACGATAAAATATATAACAAACAATCCTTCTGGTTTTCTCTGGTGCTTTCAGTTCTGACAATCAATTCGAAGTCTATTATTTATGACATACGATACATTTCTTACGTCAATCAACTAAATCACCCATTGTTTGTTATCCTACGTCGTTATCAATAATATACTGTAGTATTACAAATTATTCTACAGTGTGCATGTTTTTTTCGTGTTGGGGGTTTTCTGCCACCTTCTGGCTGTACCCATATTTGCAGAAATGTTTTGCTTGTATCAACGTTTTTCTATTGTCCCCCACCCCCTCACTGTTCTAATGTTTCGTCCCTTAGAATAATAAGAAAATTGAAGTCACCCACCATTTTTATCCGAAATTTGCAAAGATCTTGGCAGCAATTTTCTGTACCCATGCAGTTTGGTGTATTAGTTTTGTACAAGAATTGCAGAAATACATTGTTGTGAAGTTTTGAATCTTTTTTGAAAGTTATTTGAAAATCACCAGTGTAGTTTTCGAGAAACTGCATTTCAGCCTTTCTAAAGGCTAAAATGCAATCCCGCCCCCCGACCCCCGGGACAGTGTGGGGAAATTAACATTTTGACAATGTTAAATTTTGGTAATTTCCCCACTACCAGGGGTATATTGACCGCTAAAGCTACCGCCCCTACGACCCCAGCACTTTGCAAATTTTCATGACTTGGGAAATGGGAAATCGTTGAACTATAAAATGTTCACAACATGTGAAGGCAATTCTTGATCTTAAATTCTTGAAGGCAATTCTTGATCTTACTTCGACCCGCATGCCCCCATTAATTCCCCCGCCCTGTCCCGGGGTTTCAATTGACTAGTGCATTAGCAACTGTGTCCCCAGACCCATGCTGCAGCTTGTTGGCAGTACCACACACTCTGCCCCTCATCCACTCCGCCCCCCTAAATTTTTGGCACACACCCAGAGCAAAATAAAAAAACCCGTCTGATATAACATTTAACATATGTTTGAGCCATATCTATGCTGCTGTACATGTAATTGACATAGAATATCATTCTCATGGGAGTGAGCTCAAAAGAAGAACCCGACCTACCCTATGTATCTGAGTTTTTTGCAACAAGAAATAGCAAATCCAGGAATCTTTTTTAATCCATACACTGTACATCACTCACCCATATAACTGTCTAGCTATTGCCAATATTGTCGATGTTTTACCAGTACCAGGTGGTCCATAGAAAAGAAGATTTGGAAGTTCCCCCACCTGATCCAGTTCCAAAGTTCTTTTCAAAACATTCACTACTTCATCTTGGTATGCAACTTCATCAACAGATTTCGGACGACTGAGCAATAGTAAGGTAAAACAAATTATTTTTAAGATCGAATAACATACATGTATATATTCATTATCAGGCGATGAAATTTCATTTTGGTCTGACATTTTTTCCAGACAATTTTGACTGTTATTTCAGGCTGTGAATTGTATGTCTAAAATTAAGTTACATCTCTATTTTTTAGGATCTTTACGAACCTACGTACATGTATCAGTGTCTTCCCCCAATGGGGAGAATGCAGGTATATACACAGGCAATTGACAACAAGTTAACGCCCTTGTGCACAGGGGATTTTTATATTAAATTTCACCAAGATAAATCCAAGCTCTGAAGACCCTTGAGGTACATAGATCTGATTTTACAGGTTAAGTTTGTGAATCAAGCAATACTGTTTCGTGCTGTTAAAGTTATAACTTGGTCAATCTGCTGTGGTAGAAATTTTTATTCAAAAATATTTTAAAAAGGATAAAAAAGAATGACCCAAGGGGCATTCAGCATGGATTGAATTCCATACAGCCCATGATTCAACAGCCTCTGGATATGCCCGCACTCCCCCATTGGGGGAAGACATTGATAGGTGCATTAGCAACATTTCTCTTAGGATCATGTGATGAATGAGGTGCCTGCACCTGATTTTCTGTCATGCCTCATCCCAATTTCCCGCTTCCGCCTTTTTTTCTCTATTATATATTAAGTACTGCTCAACGTATTATAATTCAGATGTAGACAATGCATAACTAGGTATTCAAAGAACATGTTAACGACATAGAATTGAATACACTAGAATACAATAAACTAAATCACAACTAATTCTTTTTTTTTTGGGGGGGGGGGATGAGGGACAAATGTTCAGTATCACCCTTAAAAACTGTAAATTTTGAACACACAACAAAAGACAACAGATTAGGTAAAGACTAAGCTAAAATATGGCTGCATGTTTTGTTGATTTATCCGGCATCCCACTAATCAATTGGATGACTTTCCTGCATATCGCTATGGTATTTTTATCAATCTCTCTTCCCTCGATGAATAAAAATTCCGCTACCTGACCAATATTTCTCTTATTAAAAATCCCGAATCCCACCTGAGTTTTAGACCCATCCCACAAAAACTATCATTTCTTTGCCTTACAAATCAGGCAAACAAGACAAAATATTTAAAGGCCATGAACATGATCTTGATATTGGCAATTGGTTGGAATTTTGCTGGTGTTAGGCCATATACATATATACCTAACATAATAAACATTGTAGACTACAAAGTTTACAATCTATATGAGTTTATTTTTTAAATTGTTTACTGAATAGCTTTCCCAGAAGTGTTTCATGAGGGCATATGATATAAAAAACTTACTATTTTTCTACCCATGGTACAGCTCTTGGTTCCTTTGTGGACTGTGACTTGCTCTTCGTAGATGCCGTAGAAGATGTGGAGCCTTTTAAAAATGCATCCATAACCTTAAATATCTAGAAATGCCTGTTTCTTGATGTGATTTTAGTCCGATTTTGTAAAATCCACTTTGCCTTTGCGTTCCCGCGCTTTCCCGCGGTTCCTGAAGAGCTCGTCCTAGTCCTTTCAAGACTTCATGTTGCGATTACATCACGTTCTTCTTGGAACGGAACCAAATAAAATTTATATTTTTATTTCAATTTCACAATCGAACTGGTCACGAGGAAACGGGATTTTTTGTTTTTTATATCTTATTTTGTAGTGAAAATATAATTTAAACAGAATGGCGATGCAAGATGTGATAAATAAAATGAAAGGTACAGCTCTAGGGGTTGCAGAATATCTAACACCAGTTCTAAAGGTATAAAATCTTGTATAAAAAATACTGTATTAAATAAAGTCAATATTGGAATTGTTTGTAATATAGATGTATATAATAAACAAGTTTCTATTTTACAATATACTGTTAATTAACTGAACAGTCCTTAATATATGTAGTCATAATATAAGGATTTTAACAACTTTTTAGGAATCAAAATTCCAAGAAACCGGCGTTATTACACCGGAGGAGGTAGGTACTGTTAAAGTAGAGAACTGTGGATGGTAGGGGTTCAAGTATTCAACTACCTGAAAGAAGAAGTAAAACGTTGATGTTTCGAGCGACGGCCCTTCATCGGGCTCACTGTTAAAGTAGTGCTGTGTATACCATATGACACATTTAGGCCACCCATTTAGTAGTACTGTAGTATCAACACACCCCCATTGATTTTCAACCCCTTCAGAAATGATTTTTGCAAATTCTTTAATTTTCCCGACCCTCTTGCAAGCTTTCAATTTTTCTCAAACCCTTGGAAATTCCATGCCAAGAAACTCCCATGTGACTTTATTACATCTTTTTTCCTGACCCCCAATTTTTGGAAATTTCTGAAAATCTAATTCTGGTAATAGAAAAATTTGCTAGGATGCTCGATGGGCAATGGAGGTTAGTAAGTCTTTCAATTTCCTCTGTGCAGAAGGTGTGAATATATTCTCTAGAACTAGAAAATACATGCATGCAGAAAACCTCGCCTTGCTGACAAAACCATTGTATTTTCCGAACATGAAGTATTTAAAGTAGTTGTCATGGTAACATAATAATTTTTTGAGAATATTTTTACAAACGAAAAATCCCCTAAAAATATCACTTTCTTAATTCTTTCACCTTGTTTTTCTCAAAAAGCTTTTGAAATTTACAAAATCTTGCAAAAATGAAATATATTTGTAAGAAATCATGAAAGCAAGAAATGTTTGCTATTTCGCTGTCGCCATGCAGTCGTTATAATGCAAATTTTAAATTGGACCAATCAGTGTTCGCTATTCATAACAGTCCACTATATTTTGAGATCAGTGATGACCACCCACCCAACACCGAACCATACATGGTAACCCACGCCCGCGATCATTGATAACTTTAGACTTTGCTAATGCTTTCCTTTCCCCGGCCCCCGGTAAATAGCCGTGCGGAATTAGTACCGTCACCCCAGGCTTATGCCCGGAACAGCGCTCTGCACTGTTGGCTCGGGAATGACTCACTAGTTAGTCATCCTTATAAAATGACCCTTTCAGAAATAATTCAGTTTTTGAAGTCTACAATGCACCCAAATGTCAGACCTGGCTGTTTGAGACAAGCGATCGCACGCACCTCTGCACATGCTTTGACTCATCAAGGTGTGGATTTTGCCATGCACCTCATTTGTTTTTCAAGTATCAAATGGCACACCTCATTGATTGCCTCTAAGTGACTTTATTTTGTCCAATTCTTCTTGCATGTAAAACATAAACAACCAATAATCAAGAAAGCCCCCAAGGAGGAAATGTTTGATGTCCAGAGGGGGAGGAGAGAAAAATTTGTTCTGATAATAGTAAGTGTATTGGGACATCCAAAGGGGCCGGGTAGGGGTGTTTTCTGGAATGACCCATTTCAAAATAAAATAGTGAACCTTATTATAGGCATGACATAACATTGCATTATTTTACTCTATCGACAAATCTGTAATTCTCGGCTTTTAGTTTGTCGCTGCTGGAGACCATCTTGTTCACCACTGCCCAACATGGCAATGGTAAGTTACATTCGATCTTCAATTTAGTCAGTAGTAACCTCTTGTTCCCAGTAAACTGCAAAACATCCAGGGTTCTATACAGCAGATTTGCAGTATCCTAGTATCCTGATGATACCAGTCTTGAATTTTTGGATACCAGATGTCGAAACCTTGGTAACCTATTTGTCCTAATCCACAATGGATTCTGGCAAAAAATTCTAATCTCAAACCCTGAAAAAAAACCCAGTTGACTCATTAAGCAGCAATTCACCCAAATGCACCCTGCTATACTTTGTTATTTTATTTTACACATGCACTTTCGTTGGTAGGGATGTACTGTAGCTACCTGAAAATATAAGGAGAATTTGTCTAATGCCAAACAATTTTAATTGTCAAGGAGAGAGTCTTGTGCATTTATGGATTAACCATACCATCTGCCAATGTATCTTGTTAAATATATACATGGGATATAGTAAGAATGTTTTGTCGATGACTTCACTTTACAGTCATTGTTGCACAAAAGTGAAAAGATCTAATAGGTGACATTTAATTGATCGATACCAAACGATTTTGCAGTTGAATAATTAAACTAAGACAATTGACATAATATGCCTGTATGTATTATATATATTTTCTTTAATCCATTAGCTGAAGTTGCATTGCACCCTACTTTATTATTTTACTCTGTTTACTGGCAAACAATTTTTTTACTCATCTAGGGGCGAGTGCTGACACACGAGCCAATGGGTTAATCAGATTATCTGCCCATCTCTCTAGTTAACCCATTAACTTGCATTGCATCCTAATGCGTTCCATGCAACCTCGTGCGCTGACACTCAATTATTGTGGTTACAGAATCTCATTAAAAAGGACACCTCTCTAATACAGACATTTCCTTTCATTGTTAATTTTGGATTCAGGCCCAATTGACTCATTAATACTGCCTTACAGGTCAACAGGAGACGAGTCTAAAGTCAAGCATTATCTCCCAAAAGATAAACAGTTTTTAGTCACTAAGAATGGTAAGTTTTTGGTTTATTGTTTTTGGTTTATGGTGGTCCCTTGTTAAAAATACGAATAATCTACAGTATGTGTACGAGAATAGTAAGATTAACAAGAACAAATTGCACCGCCACACAGCGAAACAAACAGTTTTCCATGTTCCAGGATTCCAGTGCTGTAAAAGTTACTCATTTTTTGGAACTAGTTACAGTTACAGTTACATTCCCAAAAAAGGAACTAGTTACTGGTAAAAGTTACACTTAAAAAAAATGCAACTAGTTGCCGTTACAAAATTACTTCAATATTTACAATATACTGTAACTAGTTACAAGTTACTTCAAGTAAGAAAAAACCCAGTTTTTTTCAACTTAATGATTAGTGGTCAGCAGATTGACGTTAGTTATTTGTAAACGTTATGTAACCTTACCACAAATGGATCTCTCAGCTGTGCTACGCATTGAAGCATGCGTTGTCGTAGAAAACCGTGAGGAGAATTTCGAGAACTGAGAGGTGAATTGTAAGTTTTAACCGCAAGAATGTAACGAAAAAAGTAACGTAAACGTTGGCTATAAAAGTAACGCGTTATCGTTCCATTTTAGGCCAAAATGTAACTCGTTACAGTTTCAGTTACCTTATTTTTAAAGGTAACTAGTTATCGTTACAGTTACTCAAAAAGTAACGATTACTTGTAATTTCGTTACTTGTAACGAAGTTTCTTACAGCACTGCAGGATTCTCAGTATCGTAAATATTAATTAAACCGTCTTTATAATAATTGAGCAAGCCACTTATGAAGTTCACTAAGCTACATATCCTGGCTATCTTTTTTTTTCTTCGCTTAAATGCAGTTTCATACTCTCTGCTTGCCCTTATAAAGTAACTTGATTGATAACGCACTGTTCTAGCAAATGGTATCTTCAAAGTAATTAGTCCAGGCTTGCTGGTACTGTACTTCTGGTCTGACGATTAGGTTTGCAAACCGGATTTGCGTCTTTATTCACATGCACGTAAACCATTAATCATGCACTTTAATTTAACTGAAGAAAGACCAAGTCTAGATTCTCGTGCTAATAAGATATCGGCAGTGGATCCAACTTTTGAAATCTTTCAACATTGCTAACTTTCGTAGCAAAGGATGGGCCAAGAACGTATTTGGTGGCTCTTCTCTGAATCTTTTCAAGATCCCTTATCAACTCGATTGAGTGCGGACACCAAAGTTGTGACGTATATATATGCAAGACGACCTCGCACCAGTTGAAGATATAGAAACTCCCTGGTCGGTGTGTCATTAATCTTCAACGACGTGCGCCTAACCTAACCAAACCCAGCATCTTGTTGACTTTCATGCGAACCTTGCAGTCATGATCCTTCCAACTCAAACTTGAATTTATTAGTATTGCCAGGTCTTCCTTGGTCTCTGTGAGTGAGATTGGATGGCCACGAAGGTAGTATGAATTACGATACGGGTTAACCTTCCTGGAGACTCTAAGGGCCTTGCATTTGGAAGGGTTAAAATTCAATCGGACGCCATTGGACCAATAAACAATGTTGTCAAGGTCTCTTTGTGATAGTGTAGCATCACATCTATTTTCTTGAAACACTTAGTGTCATCAGCAAAGAGACCTACTGTATACTCATTAGGTGACAATGATTGCTTAAATGATTGGGTTGGTCGTTAGATCGAGAATAATAGCGGGCCAAGAATTGATCCTTGGGGAACTCTCGATGTCACCGGTAGTAGACATGAAATTGCACCCGCGGAACAACTATGCGCTGCTTCCTTCCAGAGAGATAATTCGCGAACCACGACAGTAGATGCCCAGAGATACCATCGTTGGAGTTTTGTAGAAGTATGATATGGTCTATGGAGTCGAAAGCAGGGCAGGAAAAAAGAATTTCCTTCCTGGGAGCACAGCCTGGAGACAAAAATTTCCTGCAGACCAACGCCGGGGCAACGGAGTATTCTTGTGCTAAATCTACATGTGCGTAAACATATTGTGTTCTAGCTGACCAATTCAAGGAATAATGTCTGTCAACCATATGTTGTTGCGCCCATAGTGGGACATGGGTGTTAAGGTTTCCTTCACATTGTCAATAGCAAATCTTCATTGAAATGAATTTCCTGCAGCTGTGCTCGCCTACAGTATGTATTTTTTCCACCCCTGGTTGAAAGCCTTCGATATATCGAGAAAGATGATGTCCGTTTGCTTGTCGAGATCGAGATACTTCCCCATAGTGCTCAATGTGGATAACAGCTGTGGATAACAACAAGACCATGCTGAGCATCATGTATAAGGGATCGTACATGCATGTGAAGATATACTATTAAAAACGCAGCGTTCAAAAGAATTTTTCCACTATTGACAATAGTGAAATTGGTCTATAGTTTTCGCCTTTACTCATGCAATGGAATTATGTATCAAACCTGCATGTTCCGGCTGCCCACTTCGCTCGCAGGGTTAACTGCAAATTATTTTTGATTTGATTACCTGCAAAACAAGGAAATATGCAGGCATGCATGTTTTCATACAAACAACAGGCGTAAAAACTGCTTACCTACAGTAGGGCAGGTTGTACCAAACTCTTTTTAATCACTATTTTGTAGTTAAATAATAGTTAACTTTAGAATACGAGATTTGAGAATACCATAAGTCCATAATTCCTTTAAAATTTATTGTATCACACTCTCAGCCATCCTTGAAGGTTAAAACTAAAGATTTAAACGTTTTAAAAAAAAACTGTTGCAAGCATTACATGTAAATGATTGCATGCACACCACTGCACGCTTAACAAACCCCCCTTCTTTTCATCCTGGACCGATGGCTTGAAATTTGTTATACGGAGCTTCGAGTGCATGTTACAGTATATTGTACCGGTTGCAGGGCCTTTTTTAAGAATTCGTCCGTGAGGGGGGAGGGGACGTCTATAAAAAAGGACCATACTACAGTATACTGAGTGTGGTGAGATGACAGGTGTGTTGATGGCACAAAATTCGGTGTGGTGTCGTATGTAATAGTATGGGGGTCAGAGTGTATTCTCCTCCAGAAAATGTTTGTATTTTTCCACCCCTAGGATTGCATTTTGTGCGTTTTCTGAAACAGTTTTTGGATACACAGCGTTACATTATACTGTAGATAGACCGAATCTTCAGTTAATTTAAGTACTTGCATGGTATGTTTATGTAAATATACCACAACTCAGTCACTAACTTATTTAGCCTAGCCTTCCAACAACTCAGATCTATAGGGTCTGATATATGCTATCCACTTGGATATTTTTAAAATCTACGGTATTTACAACACAATGTTTAGCATTTTTAAAAAGACATTGAATCATTTGAAGATAAAAGAGAAGACATAAGATTCACAAAGCAAATTTCAGTTACTATAGAATATCAAACCTCCCTTCTAAATTCCATTTTTCTTCCAATATTTTGCCTATGTTTTAGAGAAAAAGAACTTTGACTGGAGGGGCACCATGGGGCTTTGTCCCAGTTATATAGTTAAAAAAGGCCCTGACAGGTTAAGTAAGGGAGGATACAGGAAAATACATGTCCTCTTACCGTGGATACTGTATGTAAAAAGTTAGGAACATTTCGAACACTGCAGGACATAGGAAACTGTCTGCATGAGAGAGATGTCCCTATGAGCGAGGTACTGTACTCGTATTAAAGAGGTTCCTGTAAGGAAACGTTCAACTGAGCAATAAATATATTATGTTTCCTACAATATAGTACCTTGTTACAAGAGATGTAAACAGATGGAGTACGTTGACGATAATGAAACAATTGTCGAACCAGAAGACGAAGATGGTGGCTGGGTCAGTACACACAATACAGACAGTACAGCCAATCAACAGTCAACTACAACACAAACCGCTGAAATTCAACTTGATTCAGATAAGGTAACTTATTGGTTGCTTATCTATTACACGCCAACTTAAATTACTCTAAACACAAGTACTGTAGCTTCAGCTTCATTCCCATCTGGGCGCCATCTACCTTTCAGCCTAAATATGTCGTATATGATTTTCGCTGAAAATTTTTATCCACAAAACTAATCAATATTCTTTGTTGAGGAGGTTACCCAGAATTTACAAAAAAACGTTACTTAATAACTAGTGCCTACTGTGTTTTTTTTTTTCAATCGAAATTTTAGGACAAACTGTAAAACAAAGAACAAAGAGTTTGGCAATTGGAAATTGGAATATAACAAAATTCTTACTACAGTAGTTTGTAATGTTACTCTAAAAAGTATTTTAATCATAATTTTAAGATTTATTGTAATGCAAAACAACATTGTCATGTATATATAACGTGGAAAACAATATACAGTAACGTGCAAGACGCTTCCTAGTTCCCTATAAGGCACGTGAACAGTATTGATTTATACAAAACTAATAAGGGACCGGTCATAAAGTAACTGCTAGGGTGGGCCGGAGTGATTTGGGATGGGCCATTGAAAAATCTTTGGGCAGTTTGGATGGGCCGCCAATTATTTTGTATGTCTACGGTTGGGCCACCAAACAAAAACACATATCTACTTTCATCCAGGGGCGTAGGAAGCCAGGGGGGGGCTCGGCGCCAACCATGGTGGTGCCTAGTGGGAGTCGTCCCCCCTAACTTTTACAAGCTTCCCTGCTTTCATCACTTATTATGATAACTATAATAGCAAATAAGATTTTAAAATCAAACATAATACAAATCTAATAGGGCTGTACACTGCACAGAGGGAAGCAGGGGCAACTGCCCCCACCGAGAAAATTTATCTAATTTTATAATGTGATTATGCTTGTAACGGATAATTATGCAGTCAGGAAATAAAAAATTCATGCAAGCAATAAGTGTCTATACAGCCGGCTATTTAGTAAATTGCCGTCACTTGTCAATCCATACTCATCGAATTTTCAAAACTTTATTGTGATCATATGAAGCAAAAGTTCTGTCACTTGTTGTTTACACTTGCCAATGTTAACTGTTGAGTAACCATACACACTATTCGAGGAACATGCATTACTGTAGCAAAGAGTCAATCATATATCGACGACCATGCACAGAATAGTAGAGAATGTTTTGAAGGTCATGAGTGAAGTATATAACTCCATTCCAACCCTGTGCACAGTTAATGATATACCACACTGTTCAGTTTAACTCAGCATATCCACACAAAAACAATTTGTATTGTGGGAGAATATCTGTTTGAGTAGAAGGTATCACAAGTTTAGTTTTGTACATTGTGTGCCATTGAAGCCAAAATATGGCAAAGAATAACACGAGTACCAGAGCATTGAACTATAAATAACAAACTATTATTATATTATTAACTATTATTAGTAGTTATTTATAGTTCAATGGATGTAAACAATTGATGTAAGCTAATATTGGCTCAATTATACAAGCTCGTCGCTGAATGGCTATAGGTATAAACGTTAATACTAATGTGCTTCGCAGATACAAAAATAAAGATATACACTGGCACTGTATTGATATATCTTCATACCTGGAAGTTTTTTTCATTATAAAAGTGTATTTTCCCAATTTAGATTGGGTGGGTGGGTGGTTGGGTCATGAAATAAAATTGGTAAGATTGGATGGGCTTTGAAATTTTTATCTACATCCTAAGATGGGTCACCAAACTTATTGGCAAAATTTGTGATTTACCTCCAGCCCACCCTAGCAGTTACTTTATGACCAGTCCCTAATTTGAATTCTATAACTTCATAAAACATTTCCTGATTATTTCATCTAATTTGCATGTTTGAACAGATTGAAATATTCATGTTGCCACCTTATAAAGTAATTGTAGGAGGCGGACAGTTAGTTAATTATTGATGTAGCCTGCGTGGCGGCTCTCAAAATACAAGGAAAGGAGGATCGCATGAAGTATCAAGGAGAATAATTTGAAACCGCCATTTTAAAAAACAGCAATCGCTTTGTCGCTCGAGCGCCATGTGCTTTATAGTTACAGTTACGGTAAAAGTGGCTATAAAATGAGCCAAACGCATAAAAAAAGGGAAAAATATCGGCGATTGATAAAAAAAAATAACTAAACACCACACTGCTGTATTGTGTTCTTCATTATAACATATACTGTACATTGTAGTGATCATACGGTTCATACCATACGTGTGCTTTTACTAATTTAATAACTGAAATATGCATCTAAAAGTAAAAAGGTTCAACGAATAGAACACCACAATTCCACAACAACAAAAAATTGCGCCCACGCCCAAAATCATGTGACCACGCCCACAAAATTATTTTGGACGGCCACTTTTGAAATCCTGGCTAATACCCTGTGTCTAACATTGAAATTAATTTACCACGTATCTGTTTTGCAGAAGCAGAATGTACCTGTGGCTGGAGATGATGACGATGACGACGACGATGATGAGGAGGCTGAAGATATGGAAGGTATTGTTTTAATAACTCTCACGTCATGTGACTGTCACTCAGTCTGTTACAGGGTTCGTACAAAACTCGAAAGTCCTTGAATTTGAAAACAAAAATTCAAGGCCTTGAATGTCCTTGAATTTGTAAAGAAGTACTTGAATGTCCTTGCATTCTTCTTGCTTTAGTTTTTGGATATTTTCTGAAATTGTTTGACATTCAAGACGGACATTTTGTTGAACTGATTTTGCATGTTCATATCTGACCTCATTATAAAGTTACGTTTTGAACAATTCAACGTCAGATTTTGCTGATTTCTAACACCTTCTTCAGTATTTAGTCCTTGAATTTGCTGATACACGGCCTTGAATGTCCTTGAAAAGTCCTTGAATTTAACTCTTCCTGACCTGTACGAACCGTGCTGTTAGTCGAGCAGTCTGTTTACAGCAGTGGTGGACACATCGCGAGATAATGCGGGGACGGGGGAGGGGTGAGCAACACTGTACGTTGCCAACATATGATCACTTTTTGTAGCTCAACTTAGTTCTTAAAACTTTTTTGCCTTAATTATGTAGCCTACCAATACTATCATGTTTGGAAAATTATTGTTACAGCTTTGCCCCGTGTCCCCCGCCCCCATAGTGTCCGTCATGCACTGTTTATACTAAATTACCTCTATGTCCATCACGGGGCGTGGTATCTGACATTAGCCATGTTATTTGAAAGGTGGCCACATGGAAATTATGGGCATGACCCGCATTCTATTCTGCTGACAATTTCTTTACATATGTATTAACCTCCCATTAGTTAAGGATAAAAAATGAATAAAATGGGATGTCTAATGTAGGCTGCATGAGTAAACCTTGAGCCATGCTTACAATTTGTGTACAAACGTGTTACTGTATTTGTTTCAGCTTTTGAAGAGAGTGGATTACTAGAGACGGACGAGGTACTATATGCTGCATGATTAGAAAAACCGTATTAATCCATACTTCGGTGTGTTGAGCACTCTGCGAAGTTGTTAATGACTTAATGGGTGTCTATTAGTGATAAAGCAAAGCTCACTTCCCTTGTGGTCGTTTGAGCACTCTGGCCCCATACACTCTGCACATGTCTGGATGCGTTGATGTCAACGTGTTGTACCACATTCCTTGTTGTTCCACATTCCATCACCATGTGTTTTCTTGGTCCTTGTTGTTCCACATTCCATCACAGTACAAATTTAACCTGTAAATGAACTTTTTGGCGAAATGTGAGCACACGGAAATTCTGCCGGCATATTTCGCTACGGTTTTTGTTTGGACGTATATACTGTAATAGTCTTAGTGCCTGCGAACAAAATTCATAACTTCAAAATGTGCTTGCAAAATTGTATCCTATTTTAGGTTTTGAAGGCTAGATATTGTTAAAATGGCAGGATTTTAACGAGATTTCCTATACAAAATTTGTTTTAAAATGTGGCTGTACAAATTTAATACGTGCCTGCGGGCGGCGTTACTCGCGCATTTTAATGATGCCTTGATAGCATGTTCCTCTTGTACATGTAGCAGGTCGTATTAAAAAATTGACTTACATGTTTCTAGGGTACTTTGGCAGTAGAAAAATCACCCAAAGCTGGAGCAGAAGACGATGCCAGTCCAACAACGGATGGTATTTTACAAACACGAACTTATGATATGTATGTGACGTATGACAAGTACTATCAAACACCAAGGTTATGGCTTTCTGGTTATAACGAGGTAGGATCGACTTCTTGTAACTTTGCATTGCCAGAAAGGCCGTGCTAAGCATTGCCGGGAAACATTCGACAGGCCTACTGTACGTATAAATCTCGAATCTTTAATACTTCATGAGTAAATTAGCCAACCATATTGCTTTATGTTGCTCACATGATAATACTGGATACCTGATGAAGTGTATTGATCCAGTCATAGAACTGGATCAAAATTAATTCAGTCCTTGGACTGGATCAAAATTAATTCACCTCACTTTAAGGAGTGATATATTCGTGTGAGATGTCATTTCAAATCCTCCAATTCGGACTGGACTAGATTTCAAGGCCTTCTCATTTTGACCCAGTCCTCCGCTCTTTGGCTTCGCCTCGGACTTGATCACTTGAACACAGTTTCAGTTATGCTCGCCAAAAATATGCTTTACAACCAACCAAATACAAAGCGAGCACACCTGCCTTTATATTTTGCACTGACATCACAGTACTGTGTGGGCATTTAAACCCATTTTAACACCATATACGCGTCCCATTATGTACCTATATATCCATCAAAACATCACGAATCACTTTCACCAATTGATGATTCCCCTTATTACGTTTTCGTAGCGCTTTGCATTGTGGTTATAGTGGTATCAATGATAAAGATAGCGGCTTCAAATGAAAATATTGAATGTTTTCGCAAATATTTTGCTGTTACCTATCGCGCACCTGGCCCTAGCTAAAGTTCTTGCACGGGTCAGGACAAAAAATAAGCCATCTTGAATATCAGTGATACCACTACTGTATAACTACAATGCAAAGCGCTACGAAAACGTAATAAGGGGCATCTTCTATTTCAACAAACTAGATTTTACAAACTTTTCTCACGACATAAATGGAAATCGAGGGAATCTGTCTAGGAACTAGACTCAGTTCCGAAGTATCACCAACTCGAACCGACTTGACCTCGTAGGTCAGTTGGTAAAGCACTGAACTAGTATCCCAAAGGTCGCGGATTCGATTCCCACCGTGGTCAGGGAAACTTTTCAGCTTGCCCGGTGTGCATGCACACTCAAAGTAACTCCATGCACAAACATCATATTTACCTGAGTACATACAGTAACACCAACACACACAAAAAAGCAATATTCTATTCTATGAAGCTACACAGCTTTACATATAATTAATAATGACTTCACTTTCGTTTTGTCTTGCCATGCATGTTTTTTCCATTTTTGGGCCTGGTAACATGACCTTCTAGCTAAGATCCTGGGCGAATTGGGTGACCAACACACGACCACCTTTCGTAGCTGGAAATCATAGTTCTTTCAACTTTTTGCATTTTATACGCAATATTTAGCTAATTAGCTTAATTGATAGTCTACCAATGCTTTCATGGTTGAAAAAGTATTGTTACAGCTTTGTTATACAGTTTATATTCAGCTATCATTCAAAGGCTTTCAGAAATTAGTGGTGGGGGATGGAGGGTGCAGTCGCCCTATAGCTAGTGCCCGCCACTGTATATACAAACACAAACCGAACGGTTGTGCATTATACAGTAGAGAGCTTTAGATTTTATTGCGAATACGACTATTCGTTTATTTGGACGGGCCATATTCTTACGCCATCTTTTTTGGAAAAGTTTCGTTGTAAAACTAGCATCTACTACGAGATTAGGGCTCGCGTACATATTGGCGTAAGAAAATGGCGAGCATGTGCTAATTACAGGGTACGATAATTCGCGTACTTACGTACCGGCGGTAAGCCAATAGGGAACTTTAGATTTGACTACGAGTACGACTACGAGTACGAGATTCGTCAAGCTAAACGCATGCTGTATGCTTACGCCATCCCGTGCTGACGCTAAAAAGTCGTAGCCGTCGCCCATCTGAGTACGAAATTGTGGAGAAACCTCGTAGTCCTCACGACGACTTTTCAAAAAAAACAAATAAAGTTGACTTTTTTTTGTTTTCCAAAAATAATTTGTAGCATTTATATAGCGTTTATCCGGCGCAAATAATATATTAGTGCTAAATATCTGGCCTGTTTTTAATGTTATGACTTATTTACACGTTTTGTAGTGGATTTTAGTCGGCAGGAGATTTACTTTATGAAACTTTTTCTCTAGTTGTTGGTTTACTGTTATAAAAGCAACATTTGAATGGAAACGAAAACGACTACGGTAATTTCCTCGCACGCGATCAAATCTCGTACTCGTAGTCGTACTCGTAGTCAAATCTAAAGCTCCCTAATATCACAGTCTGCTACTTCTTTGTTTTTTAACACTCGCTATCTGCGTACTTGCATTTTGCTGGTACCAGATGACCTTATACCAAGCCCAAGGTATCCAAAACGCTAATTGTAGTTAAAAGTCAAAAAGTTTGAAAGTTTTAGTTTAAAAGTCATACTTAGAAGTGGGTATATGCATGGGTACGTCTGACATGTCGTGACATGAAGAATTATTGGACTGATAGGAGTAAGGAATGTTGGAGTTGATTATATAACGTTTGTTTATGCCGTCGTTCCCGTTCTAACTCGAGTTTTAGGTTATACTGAATGAATACCTTTCAGAAACTTGTACTTTATGTACCTCATTTTAAAGTACTATTTAAAACATGAGCAGCAGTGTTTTATCAGATATAAAGATACGAGGCGAAGCCGAGTATCTTTAGGTCTGATAAAACACGCACTGCGAATGTTTTAAATTGCTTCAAGAATGATCGATCTAGTAAGTTCATTGGCGACGTAATTTTCAAAAAAATACGCTTGCTCTGTAAGTCGAGAAAAGCAAAGTTAAAGTTTATATAAATCAAGGGAAATCTCTGTCACATATAAAGATACGAGACGCTTATGATTTTCTTCATGAATTATTAATGAGTTTTTGAAGACTAAGTACATCTTGAGTCTTCTACGAGCTCAAGTACGAGACAATAATCATTGGAATACTATGCAGTGAGGTACGACCACAAGTTTTGAATTATCGCACCTTGCGCAAACAACGAGCGGCGTAATCGTACTCCTACTCGTAGTAAAATCTACAGCTCTCTGATATCTCTCAGAGTATAACAAAGACACGAATAGTCTTTTCAATTATGTTTTCTTTCCCTTGCCAATTTATAGAACCGTAAACCTCTGTCAGTGGACGAAATGTACGAAGACATGAGTCAGGTATTATTCATACATATTCAAGACTGCCTTACAGGTATACTGTAATACAATTGTATCCAATATCCTGGAAGCAAAACAAGTGTACGGATATATCTTTCCAATATTCTTAATCAAGAGAACATTGTCGAATGGCGAAGTGGCGAACTGGTGTTATTTAATAAGTTGTTTAATACCCTTCATACATGATTTCAAAATATTACTTCGATAACACGTCGCAGTGGTAGCATGTATCAAATCTGTTAACCTTTGTAAGTGGCGATGTACCCAGGGGCGGATCTAGGGGTCGTCAAGTCAGTCGCGCGACTGAAGTAAAAATTGCCTACTTAATTAAAAGAATTCGACTCCAGCTATCTATAGCGGCCAGTAGATCGAGTTATTAAAATTTTGAATCGTAGTCCAGTTATACGTTTCATGCTGCGGCAGAGCTTCGGCAAAGTAATGTTAGGCAGTCACGAACAGCGGTCTTACGCATGAATGTTGACGGATTCGGAGGTTGAATCCGGCTATCTGATTGGCTGACGCGCTCATTTCCATGGTTACAGCCATTTGCGACGGATCTGTGGGGAGGCCTGACGGATTTGCAGATTCAGGGGCTCTGTATGAGTCTTCTGATTGAACCATTTAAAAATATTCTGCGCTGTCATTGGTTTATATTTTCGACGGATTCGCAGCGTGGGGTATTCGTCAACACGGCATTTGGTGTTTTATACCTCCTGAATGTTTACTATTTCGAACGTCTGGCATGTGAGAAATTTTATTATTATATTTTTACGAGCGATCTCTGCCAGCGATATCTGGAAACATTTTCGACAATATTCAGTTTGCGATTGCGGCAAACGATTTAGAATCTCTACAACGTTTGTATACGGAGCTTGAGAAGAATATCGATGCTTCATGGACAAATTCTGTTGACGAACTACTGAACGGCAAAGTGAGCACCATCCACAATACAAGCAGAAGCCTCGCTAGAAATTTTGGCGCAGAGAGCTACATTCCGTAGTATGTTCGAGACAAAGCTTGCACTGCAATAAGGTAGAGAAATTTATGGTTTTATAATGATGTATCTTTAGTTTATATTAATTAAACCGAAGAACCAAAGCCGTCGGTGTTGTTAATGATTGTTTGACATATGATATTTTAATATTCGCTATGCTGTATTAGCATAATTCTCGCGTCAAGAAGCTAAAATATGTTTTATTCAATATCCACATTGTAAGCATTTGTTGATTCTCGTGTTTATAGTGAAGTTTTATTTAAGATTTATTTATATTTATGCATCGATCACACAACATGTCGGCCTTATAGAATACTGTTTGTCCATAGCCTATCGACACGGCTTGTTAGACCGCATTGGTCTGGTGTAACATGATGATGTGAAATATTTAATAAGCTAGCTTGAAAAGCTCATTGACTGGTAGCCATTCTCATGTAACTAGTTTATTAATATTTGACATAACATCTTTATATCTTGTTAATGTAATAGTGTTTGACTTAGTTAATGAATATCTGGTTGTTTTTTTGGATCTGAGGCTACTAGCAATTATTTGTATAGTTCTGCGTTTTTGGTAACAGAACAGTATATTTCCTTAATGCATTTGCTGCCATATGATTTTACAAGTTTTACAATGATACACATATAGGTATATAGTATCAATATGACGACGATTGATTAATCCACAGGCAAACATGTTATTAAATTGCTGCTGAGTTTTAATGTACTATATCATAGTAATATATCCATAAAATTTTGTATTGGAATAGGATCAATATATCTTTGTGCATTTGTAGTTTTTCTTACAATGGATAAGAATCAAATGTTCGTTTGAGTTTATCAATTTAAATTTAATCTAAATACGTTTTTCACGCCCAGTCGAGACCACGCCCAGCGCCTGACAACGCCCCGTCCGCCAAAAATTTTTGACTGAGGTACGAAAAATCCTAGATCCGCCCCTGGATGTACCCTGATGTGCCCTACTTCATTATACGTACTCGTCAAAGAGAGAGTGCTGCCACTCAGTGAGTTAGTTTCAAGTAAAGTGAAATTGTTTGTCAACTTCAGGATCATGCGAAGAAAACAGTAACAATAGAATCGCATCCTCATCTCCCAACGACGATGGCTTCTGTTCATCCATGCAGGTGTGTGAAATAATGAAACATTTTGGGTGAGGTATAAAGGCCCGTTCCAATATGGTCATGACATGTTGGCCACCAACATCATCCAACATTGGATACTGGGTACAATATGTTCGCCTCGTTTGAACACTGTATGCATGTGTTGGGTAATTTTGGCTGATATGTTGGATCAAGTTTGACTTTGCTTAAAAATTACATTGTGCAAGATTTGTCAATTAAGCCGGATACAGACTAGCACGTTCTGTATGAGAGGTTTTCATATGACCAATGGCAATTCTATTCGCTCGTCTGTATACGCAACTTTGACAATTTTATTATAATGACATGTACTGTACACTTGTTCAAAAGCTAATATGCTTAAAAATTTAGTTCGTCTGTACAGGTCAACAAAGAAAATTTGGCAACGTACTCATTCAGTCTGTCAGCGATCTGTTGTTGTAATAGCTATCGTGGCGGTCAGAAAACCAAAAACTTTCATAGAAAATTTGCTGTACGTACACATGTACATTTGACAAATAAAACTTGCCACATGAAAATTTGTCGTAGAAAATTTGCTTTGCATGTACTCGTAATTATTGACATTTGATGATTGCGCCTGATCGCGCTCCCCCGACATCATCCTACATTGGACTGGAACGGGGTTTAAGAGGTTATATTATAAAAATGTGTCCGATTTGGAGGAGACATTCACCTTATGTACTATCTTACTTATATTTGTGCTAGACATGCTGACGTAATGAAGAAAATAATTGAAACTGTTGCTGAAGGTGGAGGAGAACTTGGAGTTCATATGTATCCTTAATTGTACAACACCCACTGCAGTAACACTATAGTATCAACCAGTGTGATAGCCAGGGTGCTGACTTGGGAGGGATTACTAGAAATTTCCAGGACAGTCCGGAAGTATGCTCCCTGGGGAATTTTTGCTTTCTAAGCTTTCTAAACAGCATTTGTTGCATTCCGAAACTAGTTCTGAAAACATAGAAGAATGCAATTCATTCGATCAATTAGAATAGAGCATTGGAAACGACAAGGAATCTTGACATTAGCCACATTTTGCTTAACAATTGCCTATTTTGTACAATAATTATACTGTCCAATTCACAACTCTTTAGGCAATTTGGTAAATGAGTAGTAATCATTCTTCCAAACATCTGCAGATTTTCTGCCCAGATTTCAACGTTTCACAAGCACAATTCCGTAGGCCATTGGCCCTTGATCCCCTACGCCAATCATGTTATTAACTATATTCCCCAAAAGCAAAGGTATTTGTGAGGAGATGAAGTGGACGTGATTATTCAGCCTAATCGGTGAGAGAATAATTGTCTTGAGATAACTTTTCTATCCAAAGAAACAACTGAAAAGTTTTACATAATGATCCAACAATAATTATCATGATGAATTTTGCAATTTTTGTTCAATTAAACGCGAGCAAAAACACATCCCGCCCTAGTTTTCTCGCCCGCAAGTCCTCCAGAAAACCGTCTGCTACGCAGGCTAGGTGGTATATTGTACTGCAATCAGATGATATATATTTCCTTGACTGTTAGCTATAGGTACCTTTTAATATTTCTGAAATTTGTCCAGGCTGTTATTCCTACAATTGAGTATGACTACACGCGTCATTTCGCGATATAAGAATAACAGACAATGATATTTGTAATGTACTCAGCGAATCTCAAGATCAGAGGAGACATCACGTGACACGACTAACAACTACAATCTGAAAATATCCGTAATGTACAAACATGAGCTTACATGCATGGCCTATATAGAATAATACTAATAATTATACATAGACAAAGCACATTTTGGTGTAATTGCCGTTCCTCAATTAAAATATATTGTTATAGAAAGAACACTTACAATGATTGGTAAGTGACTGAAGTGCAATAATCTGATCCTCTGAATCTGATCCTTCCAGTTTCAGCTACATGTTATAGTTTAACTGCAATTTAGAGTGGAATACTTATACATTTATTAGACCTTATTTTTCACATTACTCGGTCTCCTTTGTTCTTTAGAGAAAATATATTTAAAGTGGAAGTCAAGTCCGTAATGTAAACAAACAGTTTGTTTACATTTTGAACTGCTGTATTTTTTAAAATATGATGGACTGTCTGAATATCTAACACCATTTTGGTTCGCTATGCTTCTAAAATGAAATAGAGTTTATGTTCAAAAAAATTCAAAACATTCGAAATTTGGGCAATGTTCACATTAGAGGTCCTCACATTGTTATGAGCAGAACCGATGCGCAGAACGGACTTGACTTCCACTTTAATATCCAAATTCAAAGGCAAAACAATAGATTAATAATCCCCTCTAATATTCCCCTCTAAACTTAAGTGAGCAGTGTTTGGGACTCATTTCATTAAATGTCTTTCATAACGAATTTCTTTCTGTAATGTCTCCTAAAATGCAATCTCGCCAATGTGAAAAATAAGTACGTTATTTTGAGGCACCTCGGGGATATGTGTTTATTCACCTCGGCGCTTATATCCCCTCGTTGCCTCAAAATAATCTATACTAACCGGGGCAAAATGCAACTATCGTCCCCCTGGCAGGAATCGAACCTGCGATGCAGGCATAAGGTGATGTCAATGTGCGGTGTATGGGTAAATATCAGCTAGGACTTTGGACATCTCACCCGATGTAACTAATTGTTGAAGGGATTTGTAGATGGAAATTTTGAGTGGAATTTTTATACATTTATTAGACGTAACCAGGAACAGTTGCGAAAACTATCGCCTCTCTGGCAGGAATCCAAGGGTGGGTAGTAGCGAAGTAGTTGTAGTTCGCTACTGTAGCGAACTACAATTTTCAAGTAGCCAGTAGTTTTTGACTACTTTTTTAAAACAGTAGCTGTAGATATAGCGAACTACATTTTGCTTAAAAGTAGCCAAGTAGTTGGCTACTTTTCAAACGACGAATCGCTATTCGCTACTTTTTAAAATTGTTAGCAACTTGATAGAATAGCATGATATTGAGACACAGTCTGCTTAAAATCAATACTCAATAGTCAGTTTGCACTCCTGAACACTGTAGTGCTTACAATGTTGCTTTGTGTTTACTGTTGTCTGTTGCTACTCGTAAGTCGATTTGTTATAGGCCTACATTACAGCCTGAGTTAATAGTAGATGCTCCAAATACAGTAAAACTAAAAAATATAGATTAGCGAAATAGCGAAATAGTTCGCTACATTTTTTAAGCAGTAGCTGTACAGTAGCGTTGTTCAAAAGTAGCAGTAGTTGTAGCTGACTACATATTTTTGAAGTAGCTGTAGTTATAGCGAACTACAAAAATTTTGTAGTCAACCCACCCTTGCAGGAATCGAACCTGCTCCCCTGGTTAGGTCTAAAAAAATGTATAAGAATTCCACTCGAAATTTCCATCAACAAATCCCCGGTCAACAATTAGTTACATCGAGTGAGGTGCCAAAAATCCTGACATTTACCCAACTGCCATTTATCCCGACGCAGAACGGGTCATGTGCATGCGCAGTCGAGACTATGAATTGGCTTATAGATAAGGAAATAGTCTTGAATAGGTACAATACTGTATATGACGGGATTATATAGGGATCACATCTTTAAGATCACGTCCGTCAAAAGAAGCGAACACAATAAAACAGGTTGAACTATAGTTCGTTCGATTAAAATTTAATTATCGCAATATTAGTAACTATCTAAGTATTCAAATCCATCGAACGAAAAAATCAGAAGGATAATATATAGCAGTTATACGAAGTTGTTTTATCGCGCTAATCTTGAATTTGTAATATTTTACACAGCTGTGGGTCGGGAAATTGCAATCGAGACGACCACGCTTGCTCTCAACCTAGGGAGGTCACGAATTACATTATTAATCAACCACATGAAAGTATCCAACATATTTGAAATGAATTGAAGTGTGGCTCACCCGGGTACCGCTAGGCAGTGGCCGAAGTCGTCCAACAAACATCTGGTTCGTGTTGAATCGAAATGAATTCACGGCAACCCGCCGTTGGACCGCGTGTGTTTTTCATGCTTAATATTCAATGAAGATTGCCGACTGCGTTTCAACTGGTGGTCGGCACGCCGTGAGATCTTATTATAAAAGTGGCCACCGACATTGCACCCCAGCGCGTGAAATTAAACACTGAAACGCATAACCCAGCTGCACGGTCCATAAACACGGAGATGGCATTGATAACATGTCGTATATTCGAGAGGCCCACTTATTTCTAGCTTCAGAAATAGTATAATAGACGTTTTCGTCGGCGGCGGTCTACTCTTTCCGGGCCTGTGCACTTGGGTTGTACTTAGGAAGGCATGCAATACAAGCGGCATACGGCGCGGCAGGGACAAACGTTATTATTATGGCTCTTGAAAGGATTCATTTAAAATATCCCCTGGGGTTGCATTCACAGTGCTTGCTAATCTAATAAGGGAAATCCATGTTGATGGATAACCGCAGGAGGTCAACCTAAACTGTGTACAAACTGTCTCGAACTCAAAATCACTTAAATTTCACAAACATACAAGCAGTCTAGGGCAACATTTTCAAGCAGCATTTGAAACGAGCCTGCTGACAACAATAACCGAGCAAAAGTTTGATCACAACTACATTCGTACGACGACGCGATGCATCCACGGGGCGCAAAGCAACTCGCCGCCACAGGGATGTATATCTAGGCGGGAGATTATATTTCTTTCGCTATTTAATAAAAACAATTCGTTGATCTTCGGGTGTCAAGATAAAGGGAGAATACACCACGTGCTTTGCGGGGTGTTTTTTTACAAAAGCTTTGACGCTATTTCATAACAGATAAATTGAACGTGGGCAGGTTTCGACGTAAAGAATATAAGCTTGGTATAGACCCGTCTTCCATTTGGGAACGCTCTTCGTATTAAACGCTGGCGGTAAAAGTGCAACGGGGGCTTATTGACTCCAGGGGTATGAAGTCAATGTTATCCATTTCAAACAGCTGTGGGGAGCCGACATATTGTGATGTGCGATTGATGACTCAATTTCAAAGGACCGCGAGAAGTTTTCATGTGAACAGGCGCAGAGAAGCGTTTGCGAGTATGGAGAGAAAGGACATAGAATCCTTTAATGATACAATATCAAGGTTTGTAGATCTGAGTGGTAATAAACAAGACGCAGGGATCGAATATCATGACTTGGAGTACGATAAATCTTGCGCCAAAACATATTCGCCAGGGAGTTCAAGTTCACAACCGAGTGGAGTAAATTTTGACAGGCGACAGACGCGTACGGATGAAACGGACTCGAGTTATTTCTCTTTCCCAGCGTATCGTTCGAACCCGTCTTCACCCGATCACAACGGCGCAAACTTTCCCGAGGAAGAAACGGGAGCTTTGACGAATGAGGAAACGCAATTCGTACTTGGAAGGGACAATAGCCGTTCGCCCCCCACTGGCAGCCATGAACATAGAGAAAGCGAACAGAGTCTCGAACAGAGTTCACCACCGTCTGGGACAAACGCGCGAGTTTTTTACGATGACGCTCACAGTAATTCAAATATAAGTCATGCGAGCTTCGCCAGGCCTTCGTCGCCTCGAAACACGGACAATAACATCAGCGTTATTTATTTTAAGGATAGTCAACATAACCGCCAGTTTAATCGCAGATTCCCCCAAACGCCAATCCGTGTCGAGGATCAGTTTCACGGGCTCCAGGGACAGGTTGATGCGAGCGAAGTCATGGAAACGAATGTATCGTTAGGGGTACTTGAAGGCGCACCAAGTATGATCCCGCATATTTATTCTTCGTCAACTTCGGCGACATTATGTTCGACAACGGTGCCCTACAAACCACAACCGACACAGGAGGGGGTGCAAGGCGAAACTAATGGAACTTTCATTTGTCAATGGCAGGAACCGATACTCGGAACGGATGAGGACGTTTGCGGCAAAGAATATCAGAGCCTTCAAAATGTAGTTGATCATTTACGAGACGAACATTTGACTAACGCATTGGGGAACTATTCGTGCTTTTGGCGCGATTGCCCTCGACTTGGTGTTCCGTTTAAAGCAAAATACAAGCTGGTGAATCATTTACGTGTTCACACGGGCGAGAGACCTTTCGTATGTACGTACCTCGGATGTAAGAAAGTTTTCGCGCGAACGGAAAATTTGAAAATTCATATTCGCACACACACTGGGGAAAAACCGTTTCTTTGTGAGTACCCCGGATGTAGTCGAAGATTTGCGAACTCAAGTGACAGACGGAAGCATATTCATGTCCATACTCTGGAGAAACCCTACCGCTGTAAGTTTCATGGCTGCAACAAGTGTTACACTCACCCTAGCTCGCTCAGAAAACACGTAAGGACACATACGATGCGCGATCAGGCTAACCAAAATGTAGAACGCTCGTCTGTGGCAAGTTTACCAAGCGTGTCAAAGATGCCTGCCATATCCTATCCAGTTATCCATACAACGCTGGCTTAATTAAAGACTTGTAAGTTTCGTTTATGTATTTAATGTTATACGCAACCTGCAATCTTGGACAATTAAGTTGAGATCAATTAGGCTACTATAAGTTTTCTATAGGACGAAACAGACTCCTAATAGACTCGACGCCGGCGTAGGTAGTGACAAAAACACCAACTGCAATTGGACAGGGCTTCAACTACCTGAAAAATACAAGTCGCTCGAAACATCAGGTAGTTGAATCCCTTATCCATTTCCAGGTTTCTTCCGAATAGACTGTCTATCTTGAAACGCAAGTTTTTAGAGCTGTTTGCAATTAATTCGGAATATTGCTCTGAAAATTTGCCTGATATATACTTATATATTGGGAGTTTGTTTCATCCTATATACTTTCTAAACCATTTGCAGTCACTGGAGCGTAGCCTCGACTTTATTCTTTTGACAACGGAGAGAAACTCCAAACATTATGTAATTCAAAGGAAGTCAAAGAATGAAGACGAGGACATGCTTGTATAATGGTACGCACCAATAATTCTGCAAATGGTCTACGAAGTTATGAATGAATTAAAGACAACAGCTAGCTATAAGCTCTTCTCAAACCGATGTTGTCAGGGTGCTTAATTCTTTTGTCCGAAGAACCAATATTTATAAGGGGGGAGGAGTTGTCCGTGAAAACCGCATACACATATGTCATAATGGAATTAATTAATCACTCAGTACAAAATTTTGCCCAAGATTGTTGAGCTAGCGCTGAGAGCACATATCCGTTTGGTCGCACGATATAAAGGCGATATTATTGTGCAGGGTGCAAAATTACTGTCTGACACTGAGTGTTGAAATTATTTTCATTTCGGATGGATATGAACGAGTAGATAAGGAGTGTCCCTATATGTCGTGTGTCGTGGGTTAAAAGTCGTGGGTAAAGTCGTGGGTCATAAAATGCATTTTTTCACGAAGATATTATTTTTATTTTTAATATTTTTTTCGCACTTTTTCCATTTATACACTAGATAAATACAGGAAAATTTAACGCAACAAATCTCCAGTAATAAAATAATATCTTATCTTGCTGTTATCTATAGCATAACCTGGTATAACAAGTAAATGTTTGATTATGTTTCCGTTTCTTATAGTCTAATAAGCCTATAGCGGTATGAATGTATTGTTTGATGTATAAATGTATTGTTTAAGTTATATGATATAGGTTTATTAGCTTTGGAAGTGTTATAGTCCCTATCATGAACGTCGCGAATAATTATGTCGATTCAGTGCATATGTCTACAAACATGATGAGCTATAAATTTTACGCTGCAGTGCCTAGTATCAAATTAATAGTGGCCAACGCTCGAGCCTCAAATTTTGCTATTTTATCTCCTAGACCTAGTATATGTTCGTGGCCCTTAAAGGTATAGACCGAAACATTTCATGTGTATGTGGCTTTCGGAAATATTCCATAAATTGCTACGATTTGGGATTTCCCGATTGAAACCCGAAATGATTTGTGCGATGTCGGGCTAATTGCCAACCGAGCGCGCTAGCCGCTCTTATTTCGACAGAATATGATACCTCTACACTTTTCAGCCGTAATTTTCAGCGCGCATTATAATCAATATCATTTCGGTTTTCAATCGCGAAATCCCAAATCGTAGCACTTTATGGAATATTTCCGAACGCCACATACTCTTACTCTTTCAATTTATGGAATGTTTCCGAACGCCACATAGGGCCACGAACATATACTAGTTCCAGGAGATAAAATAGCAAAATTTGAGGCTCGAGCGTTGGCCAACTTATACAGCGTAGAATTTACGGCTCAATATGTTTGCATCAGACAGTATGCAATCGACATAGTTATTCGCGACGTTCATGACAGGGACTACTGAACACTAATTCCAAAGCTAATAAACCTACATCTTAATATCCTATAACTTAGGACATTTTATCATCAAACAATACATTTATAGACTTATTAGACTATACGAAACGGAAACATTTACTTGTTATACTATAGATAACAGCAAGATAAGAAATTATTTTATTACTGGAGATTTGTTGCGTTAAATTTTCCTGTATTTATCTAGCGCATAAAAGGAAAAAGTACGAAAAAATATTAAAAATAAAAATATGAAAAAATGCGTTTTTAGCACATTTTATGACCCACGACTTTACCCACGACTTTACCCACGACTTTACCCACGACACACGACACACGACATATAGGGACACTCGTAGATAAGTTATGAATAGTCTGAGTCTATGCTATGTTATGAGTTTTATAAATGTCTGGGGCAAAAACTTCGATCATTCGCCCTGAAGGAAAACTGAAGTCTAAATAGAGACCCTACCCGAAAGTACGTCACTTTGGCTATAGAGTATATAGAGCCTCGTTTTCGTAATTGAGACGCTTGGATTTGTCACATATATACGCAATTGTGAATAGCCTGCGAATACAGACGCCTCACATCGGGCGAAAATAAATTGTGAACAGTTTTAATGCCATTTTCCCCCAGCTAGTTCCAGGGTTTTTTCCTGACCGAACGTTTCTTACTATAGTTTTGTTCTGCAAATCGAAGTAAAAATACGAAATTTCAGCACATTACTTGCAGACCGCGCAGACAATAACAATAGAAAGGGACTGAAACTGATGACCACAGTTAAGGCCCATTTTCACTCCAGAAAAATCTCCATGGACAGAAAATTTCCCGAAAATATTTAAAAGTTAAAAGTTGAAAATTTTTAACTTCAAAATTTTTTCCGATGGAAACTTTGTGTCGGTTAGTCACATACTCACATTTTAAAAAAATTTCTTTTTGCGGAAAATTTTCCTGAGTAGAAATGGGCCTCATGATGACTAGAAATTATTCGAAACGTAGTATTATAGCTACATCTTTGGCTTCACTTTTTGGACGCGGGTTCTCGCTCCATGAGCTTACCGGTGACCGGCCGGTCTATGCATTCTTATCTAAGAGACTAAGACAGGTGCGGGTTGCCGAGAGAAATAAAACCATTTGAAAAGTACAAGCAAAACTTCGATGTTTCAAGGCGAAGTTCAGCGTATATTTTTCAGATGGTTGTATCTCTATACTGTGTTAAAATATTGTTCATAATAATAACTTCTTATTAACCAAACGCGAGGTCTGTAAAAAGTTTTTTTTATATGTCGCATTTATAGGCATTTATATTTGAAACAAACAAGAAATACATGATTTGAAATGCATATGAGTAGCGTGGTACACATTTGGTCGAAGAAAACAAAAAATACCAATGTTACCATTCGCAGATATCTTATTAATAACAAATCAAATTATAATTTTCAATTAGTTTTGCTGTTTTGTTTTAAAATGCATGCGTTTGTTTTTACGTAATGGCCGACGGCCCATTACGGGGAAATAATGACGCCGAAAGTGCTTCTCACTGTTCTCAGCCAATCACAGTCCGCCATTTCACCGGAAGTGATGCTTGCCATATAATAATAATAAATAATCCGCACCTGTCTTGCTATCATCGCTATACCTACACTGGTACAGACCGTTCGAGCACAGAGTAAATACATACAGGGGTCTCACTTCAGGTTAATTTAGCGTAAAGGATTTTTTCAGTCCGCCATGTTCTTAGCAAGTGCCCTAAAGAGAGGCCATCGCCTCATCCCCCTGAAAACATATTGAAACTTAATTTAATGTTCCAGGGGGTGAATGCCTCTTTTTAAGGCACTTGCTAAGAACATGGCCGCCAGATATACGCAGTAAAAACTATCTTCCGTTTTTTCCGCAGAAGTGCGACATCTGTATGTACTTAAGGTCCTGACCAATAACTTTGATCCTAGTTTAAATTTTCCAAATATTTAGAAGCGCTATAACATTTTGAGTTGTTTGTTCTACATATCTTTCAAAATTTGCTCTCATTGGCTGTTTTATTAACTTTCAAAAACTAAAAGTTCGCGTCGCGTTGTCAAATCGCGTCCGGTGTGTCTGGCTTTACTCTGTGGTTCGAGCTTCTCATCGAATCATTCATAACTTATCCACTCGTTCACATACATCAGAAGACGAAAATCGCAAAGTCACAGCAAAAATTGCAAGTGTAAACGGGCCTTATTAAAGTGCGACTAACCCCAAATATAATTTTTGCTATGTGTGATATTTGGGTCATTCTGAGAAGAAATGTAATATATCTCTATAGTAAAAAAACTTGATCTTGATCAACTTTTTCACTGTCAAAGTTCCAGATATGACGTCATTAGGTGAATTTTTCGTACAAAAAAAAACAAAGGAAAACTAATTTGCAATTCCTCTAATGACATCATATCCGGAAACTTTGACAGTGAAAAAGTTGATCAAGATGGAATTTTTTACTGTAAAGATATATTACATTTCTTCGAATGAACCAAATATTACACACACAAAAAATCGTATTGAGGGTTAGTCACACTTTAAGCCAATAAATCATGTCTTAGTAAATTTGAAGATGCTTTAGATCGCAATTTGACAACAAAATTCCGTGGTTGAAACATTTTACGAAACTGGAAGTTTGCATATAATATAGAACAACAAAGTTAGATTCCTTTTTAATAACACCCTGACCCTGTAAAGTATTCTTCAATACTACCAGGTGATCTTGATACGCGGAAAAGTACTGGCACTAGTTGTCAAATAGAAATCCATTTTATGATTAAAACAACTGAATATCTCCTGTAATATACTTTATTTCGATTCCATATTTTGTCAGAGCTATAATAGTTCTCATAACCAAACATAATTACAAAATTTCAACTAGTTTCATAAAGAATAATGAAAGATATAATTGACTGAATACATCAAAATGGATTTCTATTCGGACAACCCTTTCTGCGCGCTGATTGGCTAAAATACGAACACGAGATCACCTGGATATATACTATAATACTATAGTTTTGTTTGTCAAATTGACTTGGATACTCGCTCGAAGAAAATATGGGTAGCTTGGTTAACCGTATATACTGTAAAATTCATTGAATATTAATTTGTATATAAGAACTTAGAATCCAGCCGTTAAATTTCCCGTTGTCGTAATTGTCCGACATTGGGAAGAATATTTTTAATCTCAGTAATCGGCTTAAGTGTATGTAAATAATGTAGGCCTTTTCATGGGGAATAAACTGTTTTGTTATGTAGCTGGTGCTTAACGCTAAATCTGAATGGTTGATTCATGATCACGTGAATGTAAAATGAAAAGTGTTACGGATGCGGCGCTTGTTTGTGCCGAGCGGCGCTTGTTCGAGGGCGCCGCGGCAAATTTCGAAACCGTCGACGGTCGAGCACATCATTAGACAGATTTAGATCGAGGACGCTGACGTCAAAGACGACGTGAAAATGGCGTCAAAATGGCGTGGCATATCCATACATGGGCACAACACGCCATTTTCACGTCGTCTTTGACGTCCGCGTCCTCGATCTAAATATGTCTATTGATGGTCGAACACATCATTAATCTCGTTCCCAGATTGCTTTTGAGGTGATTAGCGCGTGGAACCATTTGGTGACACCTTATACCAATCGATGCCAGTAAAGATTTTACGCAGTATGATAGTATAAGGTTTTATATTTTTGAAAAGATGGCATGCAAAGCAGCCAATTCGGTTATTATTCATTCTACAAAAGAGTTCAGAAATTAGTTATAAACAGATTTTTCACATGAAGTGTGGGCTTAGTTGTGTTTCAAGGCCGATAAAACTGGCTTATATTGTGTAAACGGCTAAACAACTGCTGTAACTTGGTCAAAAAAGCGTTATAATATGTTCCGTGCGTCAATTTTGTATATTCATCAAGTAACCTACCGTATTTTTAACGTACGAAGTCACGAGAACGAAGAAACGAATTTTAAGCCAAATTCAATATAATGGCATGCACAATCGGAGACGTGCTCGCCAGTAACACGATACGCTAAGATTTGTTACTAAAGGCCCTGTCACACTATTGCGTATCGTACTAGCGTATGCCAGCGCATGAAAAATATCACTTATACGCCGGTATATACGCTTCTCACACGTTTCTCTCATACGCAATAGTGTGACAAGGCCTTAAAGAAAGCTTGATATGTTTTCTATTGCTCAATATACATATGAGTGCATGTGGTTCAAGTAAAAATGGAACCGCACAGCTAATACTAGGCTATAAGCCTATAACTAACATTTCACTTTTACTTGAACCACTCGACATATATCATATTTCAATTTTAGCATTAGCCGTGGACTAATCAAAAGTGCAAGGTTTATAGATATATTATTATTATAGATAGACATTGTGTTAAAGCTAACTGTAAATAGCATGTATAATATTGTTGCTAATGTTGGTATTTTCCACGTCACTCTGTTGTATCTAGTTTTGAGATGGTTCTCTATATTTCACTTCACAAGAGTTTTAATTAGTGAAGACACTTAGATACTTCAAAGTTAAGATAATCAAGTAAATTTTAGAAGATAGTTACTGCAACACTTGTGCGAAGAGCTGTAACCAGTAAACCGAATTGGCTGCTTTGCTTTTCGACTGCTACCCGCTATCTTTTCAAAAAATCTGAAACCTTATACTGCGTGAAATCTCCAGTCACTGACATCGTCTTGGTACAAGATGTCACCGAATGGTTTGTACGCGCTAATTACCGCTGGCGCGATTTGGGAACGAGATTAATGATGTGTTCGACCATCAATGATGTGCTCGACCGTCGACGGTTTCGAAATTTGCGGCGCCGCGGCGGTCTCCATAAAATATTTTATTTGTAAGCGATAACAAGAAATATTATAGACAAAATAGAACATGAAAGCACTGAAATGCAGGAGAAAAAAGTTCCGATGCTTGTTAGAGGTTTCAACCTCATACCCACGGTGTTTTCCTTCCGCGGTTGGGCCACGGGCTTTAGGACCAATTCAATTTGACAACAACAGTATTCTGTCTAAATAGCAGTTAAAATAAAGTGCACGGCACCTGAACTGTTTAACAGTGGCGGAAATCTTGGTGGGGCAGGGGGCGACCGCCTACCACGGAAAATGACTAATTTTCGGAAATTTTGACCTAAAAGAGGGTTAAAAACAGCCTTTTCGAGTGCAAATAGGGGGGTTTGTCGGAAATTTGAAAGTTTTGTCGGAAATTTTGAAGGCCTTGCCCCCCCCCGGAAAAAGTGAATTTCCGCCACTGCTGTTCAATATTTTGCTTGACAGTGCTTCTATTAAAATCCATAAAACATTACATTGACATAATATGCAAATACTGAATATTTTCAAAGTCCGCCATATTTATTTACATTAAAACCCAAGCTTTGGCGGTTTACACGAAATATTACGTCGTTGATTTTCACTAATAATTTTAAAGAGGGTAGGATCATCTCACTTACACCGATATTGTCAAAACTGGCGGAAGATTTCGTTGTGAACCGTTATCTGAAACCAGCAGTGATGGAAAGGATCGATAAGAGACAGTTTGGTACTGTGCCTAAATCTTGCACCACACATGCCCTCATCTCCATGTTACATACCTGGACCAAAAATACAGACGGAAATGGCTCTACTACCCGCGTTATGTTGTTTGACTTTCAGAAAGCTTTTGATCTGATTGATCATAACATTTTATCGGAGAAGCTTACAAGATATAACATTCCTAAAACCATTATGTACTGGATTTTAGATTTCCTGAGTAACCGCAAACAGAGAGTGAAACTGAGTAATGACTGCTTCTCTGAGTGGAGTGATGTACCCGCAGGTGTCCCCCAAGGCACCACGTTTGGCCCCTGGCTCTTCGTAATAATGATAAACGATCTAAATGTATCTGGTGTTGACGATCTGTGGAAGTATGTCGACGATACAACTATATCTGAATCCGTTAGTAGACATGACTCAAGTTTAATCCAAAATTATGTAGACGAATTTGCCAGAAAGTCAATTGCAGATGGCCTCCAATTAAAAGAAACCAAACGTAAAGAGCTCCGGATAAGCTTTTCTAGGCCTAACAAAGTATTTGAGCCCATAACTATTAATGGAAAAAATGTTGAGGTTGTAACATCCACAAAATTACTGGGCCTTACCATCTCTAATGATCTCAAATGGAACACTCATGTTTCGAATACTTGTAAAAAAGTATCAACACGGCTATATTTTCTAAGACAATTACCACCCAACGATTTGGTCCTGTTTTAATTTATATCACCTGTATTCGTCCAGTTGTCGAGTACGCGTGCGAAGTATTCCATAACTCGCTGCCGCAGTACCTGTCCGATGACTTAGAAAAACTTCAAAAACGTGCCTTTCGCATAATTTTTCCTGATATGCACTACAAAGATGTCTTGGAGACCAAGAACATTTTGTCACTGAACGATCGAAGACGAAAATTAACAACGAAGTTATTTAACGAAATAGCCAGCAACTCACATCATAACTTATACGACCTCCTTCCGCCATTAAATATTGACGATCACCTTTTAAGGAATCATAGAAATTTTGAACTTCCTGTGTGTAAAATGAACAGACTTAATGATAGTTTTATCATGCACAATTCTAATATATATTTTAGATAATCGATTTTTTTTTTTTAATATTCTTAAATGTAAATAGGGTTCATAGCATATATTCCTAATATCTTATATCTGTTAAACTTAGCGTAATTCAGCTGTGAAATTTTCTGAGGCTGTAAGTTCTAAAGTTCAATAAACCATCTATCTATCTATCCATCCATAGATATCTTATATACACTAGATAGTGCATCTAATTATTCTGCAATTCAAAAATTGAAGCCGTGATTGCAGTCTCAGGTCGTTCCCATGAAATGAGAGTAGATTCGTAAATTTCCTGTTTCTTAATTTACTTAAACAGGGAACTTAAATATTAAGTTAATCCTATTCCAAATACATTTTTAAAGTATTCAAATGATGAAAGTTATTGCTGTTTCTAAGCGTTTATTAGCGAGTGGGAACGACCAACATGGCCGCCATTTATTCAAATGGCGGTAACCACTGGAATATTCTTAGTAAAAGAGATGCGCCATCTAGTGTATATAAGATATCTATGGGATCATCCAATTATTTAATCGTTCGAAGCGAGAGGAAACCATGCTTCCATTATGGTTCAAACGTGTCCCCAAAATATTCTATGGAGGCCATTATGATGTCATAAGATTCCTCACGCTCGGAACGATTTGAGCAGGTCACGTGGTACAGAACCCAGACAGCTGAATGGGTTAGCGAGTGACAACGCCCACTTGGATCCCACCCTCTTATTATTAGTGAAAATCACCGACGTAATATTTCGTGCGAACCGCGAAAGCTTGGGTTCTAATGTAAATAAGTAGGGCGGATTTTGAAAATATACAGTATTTGCATAATACTGTATGTCAATGTTTTATGGATTTGGAAGCACTGTCAAGCCAGATATTGAACAACGTTCAGGTGTCGTACACTTTATTTTAACTGCCATTTAGATAGAATACTATTGTTGTCAAATTGAATTGGTCCTAAAGCACAAAATTAATAAAAATATAACCTTAAAACAGCCTTCTCATTTACTTATTTTCCTTATGGATTCTCCAGAAAATGCCAGAAATGCTGTCATTCAGCATCCATAATATAAATGTTTTCTGGGAGAGAACCCCCAGACCCTGCAATTTTCCTCGCAAATGATCACTTACAGTGCGCTGGGGTCATGGAACAGAAGGTAAAGTTGGGGCGAGCAAAGCCCTCAAAAGAGATTAGAGTGGAACTGTGGAAGAATCTAATATTCTTTGCTGCCTGAAATGCGAGATAATTTTATTTAAAGGTTATTATATATTGACTATTCATGATTCCTAATTACATATTTTGAAACAGTTTTTGCGAGTGGTTGGGTAACAGTGCCTTTTTTAAGGAATTTTCACTGGGGGCAAAACAGGAAAAAAATGCAGAACGAAAAATATGAGCCGTCGAGGTTTGGCGAGTCTGAAGAGAGATTTTGTAAAACTTTAATTTATTAACTTCAGCTATATTTTACTTTAAACAATAACTTCAACTCTTTGTAGCTATAATGGTACAGCTATAACCAGTGGCGTAGCCAAACCTTAATTTTGCGGGGGCAATTGCCCCCCCCCCCCAGATATATAGTTAAAAAAGGCACTGCTGGGTAAAACAAATATTTGCCAGGGGACACCCCCGTAGCTTCCCCACCCAAAATCGAATTTGTCTGGCCTTGCCCCCACCCAACCACACCTTTATTCTCCCACCTATATGCATGCAAATTAAGAGAGAGTCTATTAGGCCGTTTGCTGTGGCCTTGAAAAGTGCCTAGAAAACGATTTTCGTAGTGCATGTCTTGGAACTGAAATATTTTTACGGCAACTAACACTGTCGAATACGCTGAGTTCAAATCCGAAAAGTTCCCGCTCCGTAGACCTTGCGTTTTCTCACAAACTGCTATTTTATTTTCACTAATTTCACGACTAACTTTTTCTTTGTTCAACGACACGGATGGATGATGACACACGAATGCATAACTCAAAATGACTAATTCCTATGAACCAGTCTCTACATTTAACAAAGGACCGTTTTGCTTGGATCATTCTGAGTTATGTAATTTTAAGCGCGTTGGACGTAAGCAACAAATCTTGTCTACAACTTTGGGAAGATGCCGGTATAGCTTTCTAAAATTCTCAGTTCTGGCTCTATCTCTATAAAATCACAAGGATGTTAATGTTAAGTCTTTGCGCTATGTCTCTGGGCTAAGAAAGAATTCCTTGGCATGCGATCAAATTTTTTATACCGCGATGTAAAACGGTAATCTTATGTAATGGGTCAGCATTCAAATTTTCAACACAGTTTCTGAGACGTAATTCAAGAGGTAACTTACCATTGCATTTGAACTATTATATCAGTTGGTGTCATTCAGCGCGATAAGCGAATATTTTTGGGAAAAGGGCTTCCATATACGTTGAAATCACCAAATAAACAGCTCATGGACACGTTTCTCTACTTCGTCGTAAGTTTACAGAGCAGATTTTATACTTTCGTACTGTTCTTTGTCTTTAATGTGTACATTTGTTCTTCTAGTTTAAGGTTATTTATGATTGATCCTGTCGTAAGTCTTCAACCAGCAACCCATCGACAATATTTCATGTTAGCGTTGTCTTTGCCGTTACGGTGGCTTCGCGTTACTGTTGTTTTAAATACTATGATTGCGTTAAACGAGTTATTTACCAGGCCAGTGACATAGCATTAACGTCCTTGTGATTTTATAGAGATATCGCTAGAACTGTGGATGTTAGATAGCGTTATCTGTACCTTCCCAAAGTTGTAAACAATATATGTTGTTTACGTCCAACACGCATAAGATTACATAACTCAAAATGATTCGAGCGAAACGGTCTTTTGTTAAAAGGAAGACTAGTTAATAGAAATTGGTCCTTTTGGGTGAAATAAGAGTGTGTCATCGTCCATCCGTGATTGAACAAAGAAAAAGTTAGTCGTGAAATTAGAGAAAATAAAATAGCAGTTTGTGAGAAAACGCAAGGCCTACGGAGCGGGAACTTTTCGGATTTGAACTCAGCGTGTTCAATTAGTGCTAGTTCCCGTAAAAATATTTCAGTTCCACCACATGCACTACGAAAGTGAACGATATCGGGACGCAGCAAACGGCCTATATCATAACTTACAACTTTTAACGTTAAATATCTAATCCAGGTAAAAATCGTTTGACAAACACCTGATGTTTCGTAATATCCCTCTGATATGTGCAGTTCTAAATTTTTCTTAAAATAAACCCTGACATGACGTTCACGTTGAGATAACAGCTGGCCACTGCATGCAGACTCATTTCCACGTAGTCACTGACCTGAAAACTAGGACTGGATAGTGCATCCGCTATGCATAATTAAATGAGCCAAGCGGGTGCAGTGATCACATGATGGACATGTGATACAATAACATTTATATATAGTTTTAGGGTGTGTTCACATTAGTGATTGATTGAGCGTTGAATAAATAAGTACAACATTACAATGGCGACGAGGAAAATGTGCTAAAACGAAAGTTATAATCGATATCAGTGCTTTAGTATGGCAACTGCGGGAAAGATAGATGTAGCTCCTCTTGCTCCGTTTGATCCGATATCAGAACCGACATCCTTAAGTCAACGATGGAAAGTTTGGAAACGCAGATTCGAAACGTATGTAGTCGCGGTAAATGTGAAAGATAATGCCCAGAAACGAGCATTGTTACTTTATCAAGCCGGTGAGGCAACACAGGAAATCTTCGATACACTTTCAGAGACAGGAGAGGACAATGATTACAAGACTGCAATTGAGAAATTGGACGAATATTTTTCCCCGAAGAAAAATGTGGATTACGAGATATTTCAATTCCGTCAAGCAAAGCAAAACGCCGATGAACCAACAGACCAATTTGCAACACGACTTCGCAAACTAGCAGCTCACTGTGAATTCCACGATGTAGACCATGAAATAAAATCGGCTATTATTCAAAATTGTCGATCTAAACATCTCAGGCGGTATGCCTTATGGCAAGATAAAGTGACTCTCACCGAATTGTTATCGAAAGCTAGAACATTGGAAAATAGCGAACAGCAAGCCAAGGGCATTGAAGAACGTTTAGCATCGACTAATATTCAAGACGAAGAAGCAAATTTTGTAAATCCCCCAAGATCTAATGGACAACAGCGACGACAACACTGTCGCAACTGTGGATTATCTTGGCCTCATCGTGACGCACCTTGCCCTGCTAAAGGACAAACATGTCGAAAATGTAATAAACAAAACCATTATGTCCGAGTTTGTCGCAGCAGCGTCCCATCGACAAGGAATCCTATTAATACAAGACCTAGACCTATCCGCCCAGACAACAATCAACACAATATTCAACAGGTTGGATATCAAGAAGACCACTATTCGAATAGCCCTAGTAGCAGCAGCGATGATGAGCATTTATATACATGTGTAGACTCTAAATCAACAAAAATGCCTTCGACCAAAGTACAAATAAACAATGTACATGTCAAAATGATCATAGACACTGGGGCATCAATTAACATTATTGACGAAAATACATTCGCCAATATCAACAAATACAAACGTATCTCATTAAAACGAACACGTACTAAACTCTTTGCGTATGGTTCCAAACAACAATTACCAGTGATTGGGACATTCGAAGCCACAATCGAGACAAAAAAACGAGTGACTGTCTCTACTATTCATGTAGTCAGAGGCAATTATGGCTCACTGTTAAGTTATCAAACGGCTACAGAACTAAACCTTATAAAAGTAAATGTCAACAATGTCAAAGTCACCGGTAATGACAAAATTGAACAATGTCACGACTCTCTAAAAGATAAAATGGATAAAAAATTCCCCCATTTGTTTCATGGAATTGGAAAATTACACAATTTTGAGGCAAAGTTGCATATTGATTCTTCTGTACCCCCTGTAGCACAACCAGCACGTCGAATTCCATTTCATTTACGAAGAAAAGTTTCTGCTGCTCTTAAACAACTGGAAAAGGATGACATAATTGAGAAAGTTGAGGGGCCCACACCATGGATTTCGCCTCTGGTTGTTATTCCCAAAAATGACGGAACTGTGCACCTCTGCGTTGACATGAGGCGTGCAAACTGTGCTATCCAGAGAGAGCGACACCCATGTCCCACGGTTGATGATCTTATACATGCAATGAATGGTGCCAAGGTATTCTCCAAACTAGACTTGCGTTCGGGATATCATCAGTTGTTGTTAGCAGAGGAAAGCAGATATATTACCACCTTTGTGACACATAAAGGATTACGTAGATATAAAAGGCTTAATTTTGGAACTAATTCAGCTAGTGAACTATTCCAGAAAGTTATCCACGATCAAATTCATGACATACCTGGTGCTATCAATATAAGTGATGATGTCATAATCTATGGGAAATCTCAACAAGAACACGATACCGCTCTTCACAATGTTTGTCAGCGCTTTACCAAAGTTGGTCTAACTTTGAACAACGAAAAATGCCAATTCAGTCAAACCAAATTGACATTTTTTGGTATGGTTTTCTCGGCAGAAGGAATTTCTGCGGATCCTCATAAAGTTTCAGCAATCAAGAATGCATCACCACCAAGCTCTGTTAAGGATGTTCGTAGTTTTCTAGGAATGGCCACCTACTGTGCCAAATTTATACCCAACTTCAGTCACTTGAGGGAACCTCTTCGTAAGTTAACCATGAAAAGTGCTCAATTCCGTTGGACAAGATGTGAACAAACTGCATTTGATAACATTAAAAATGCTTTGACCAGTGATACAGTAATGGCTTACTTTGACCAAACAAAACCAACTGAATTAATCACAGATGCATCGCCATGGGGGTTATCTGCAATACTTGCTCAAAATTCAACACAACATGATGATCGCCGAATTGTGGCTTATGTTAGTCGGTCGTTATCTGAGGTAGAGAGAAAATATTCACAAACAGAACGCGAGGCACTCGCTATTGTTTGGGCTATGGAACGGTTGCAGATATATTTACGTGGTGGTAAGTTTACTTTATACACCGATTGCAAGCCCATTGAACTAATCCTAGGAAACCCGAAGTCCAAACCCCTGCACGCATAGAACGCTGGAACTTAAGAATTCAGGACTTTGATTTTGATATAATGTACACTAAAGGCAGTGATAATCCCTCCGATTTTTTATCCCGCCACCCCTGTCAAGAAACAGATAACAAACATGAAATGTCAGCAGAACAATATGTAAATTTCCTCACCATGCATGCAGTTCCAAAAGCGATGACTATACAGGAAATACAAGAAGCTACTAAACACGATAAAACTTTACAACTGCTTACTGAAATTATTCGCAAGCAAGCATGGGGCTCCATAAAAGACTTGCCAACAACTGGAGAAGACGAAAGTGAATTGAATCTGTTTGCAAAGGTAAGAGATGAACTAACAATTAATGAACAGTTGGGTATTATTCTGAGAGGAACTCGTATTATTATGCCTTGTTCACTTCGCGAAAGAGCTATACGACTTGCGCATGAAGGCCATCAAGGGTTGGCAAAAACAAAACAACTGATTCGGAAAAAAATTTGGTTCCCTAGAATAGATAAAGATGTTGAAACATTGATTCGTGGTTGCATACCTTGTCAGGCCAATGGCACAGCAAATCACCCTGCCCCATTAAAGATGACCGAGTTACCCCCTAAGCCATGGCACACGGTCCATGTTGATTTTTGTGGACCATTTCCAACAGGGGAATATACTTTAGTTGTCATCGACGCTTACTCCCGCTTCCCAGAGGTTGAAATTGTGAAGTCTACATCAGCCACCTCAACCATATCTAAGCTCGAAAGAATATTTGCAACCCATGGACTGCCAAACATACTAAAAAGTGATAATGGCCCTCCCTTTCAAAGTAATGAATTTAAACAGTTCATGACAGAAAATGGTATAAAACATCAAAGAATCACACCATTATGGCCAAAAGCCAACTCTGAAGCAGAGAATTTTATGAAACCAATGGAGAAAGCTATTCGTTCAGCTCACATTGAAAAAAAAATTGGCGGAAAGAATTGTACCACTTTTTATTGAACTATCGAGCTACCCCACACACAACAACAAAGTTTGCGCCAGCTGAACTTTTATTCAATCGCGAAATTAACACCAAATTACCAAGTAAAATTATCAACCAAAACACCAACATTGATCAACAAGTTCGAGCAAACGATGAAAAGGGTAAAAGAAACATGAAAAGAAATGCAGACAAGTCAGCCAATGCCAAAGAGGTTGACATTAAGGTTGGTGATACAGTATTGGTCCGTCAGACAAAAAAGAATAAATGGTCAACACGGTTTGATCCTAAACCATATTGTGTAACGCGGGTGAAAGGAACAATGATAACAGCTACTCGTTCAGGACATTATATCACAAGAAACATTTCATTTTTCAAGAAAGTGCTACAACAAGAGATTCAACACAACTCTGAGGATGCAAGCGATGAGGAAGATTACAGTAAACTTGATAATAACCTCCCTGACACAAACATTGAGGAGAACAATGAACTTGCTGAGAGACGGTATCCTGCGAGAGACACAAGACCTATCAATAGATATGGTCAAAACATATATAATGCTTAGTAATTTTAATAATTCGATTTTATAATACCATTGACATTTTGTTAGGACTTCAGTGACAATTCAAAGTAAGGGAGGGATGCAGTGATCACATGATAGACATGTGATACAATAACATTTATATATAGTTTTAGGGTGTGTTCACATTAGTGATTGATTGAGCGTTGAATAAATAAGTACAACATTACATGTACTAGGCGGTGTGTTCACCTATTTGTTTACAATTGCGTCGATGTTCATGATTTATATAAACTTTAAAACCTCCGTTCCCCAATCAAAACATAGCTAAAATCCAGAAACAAAATTAATGGAATATATTGTCCAGAAAAGAGAAATAACCGTCTGTAAATACAGCTGAAAACGGAGAACGGATATTGAATACACCGCAAGCACGATACACGGCATCCATGTCGGGATCGAAAAACGTGTAATAAAAAGATGACTGAACGAAGAACGAATAATTAAATTACCCCAACACGCAGCACGAAAATACCCCATTACCCCCCTCAACTAAGAGTTTATAAAAAGGGATCTGCGGGGACAGAGGTACGTTTATATAATAATATACTGTAGTGATTTTCCTGGATAAATATACGTTTAACATACAAGAAGACTATAGACCACGAAGAGTCTATGCGTTTGTAACATAGACCACGAAAGGTCTATGCATTGTTGTTAGTTTGTTTTGTCCAGTTTATCGGGACGGTTCAGTAATCTCAGCCGCTCTCAAAGTCCGATCCTTTATACTCCAGGTTGTGGTCCTATACCCTGGTTGCCAGAGGTTCTGTATCTTTCGCCTTATTCCCGCTCGTATTTAGTGGTCCTAGGCAGAAAATTCCTTTTTCCTGCCCTGCGGAGAAGCAGAGCTGGAACTCAACGTCCAACTTTTAGCTCTAAATAGAGAGTTTAAGCTTCGCGTTATACGGCAAGCGTCAGACAAGGAAAAATTTTACGGTATCAGTGAATAAAGAGTACATGAACTTGCTGTTTTTTAAAAATGAAATACATAATTATTCTTTCGACGCAAGGAAGAAAATATGAAACGAAAACGTTCAACGAAAATTTTGCCAAGAAAGTTCTTACCTGTCGCTTGCCGTTCTCGGAAACATGAAGCTTAAGGTGGCTCCCTACAGTTAGTACAGTTTAAATACGATTTATATAGATGTGGGAAGTTTTTTGGCGTTTTTATCTACAAAGAAAGCCCTAGTTTTTCATTATAATCCTATTTTTTTCTGAATTCGAACAGTACGTATGTTATTAACTAGTTTAACCTATCTTTTAGTGTGTTTTTACGTATTTACGTTCAGTAGTGTCTTTCATATTGCTCAAAATTTTCAACTTGTTGTTTTGTGAGCTGTCAAATTGAAATGATACTGTTCTCGATACTGTCTTCTATTAACTCTTGAACACGGTAGTGAACTGTTGCCGAAACTTATATAAGTTCTGTCAATCAATTCAATTCACAGGTATCGTTTTATCTTCTAAATCAAATAAAACAGTTATGAGTTGTTTTATATGAAAAGTTAAACTTGTAGTTCGATGTTTTGAAAAGTTTTCACACCGATTTTAACAACAAAAACAAATGTAAACTAACACTGGATTTAATACAATGCCTATAATAGTGTTTTTTATTAGTATTTTCAAGATTAATATTTTATTTTCATATCAAACAAGTCAGAAATATCTGTTTTCTTATGTATTGTAAGCCAAAAGGTTGAAATCACTATAAATTTCTATAAATCACACACTACAATTTACACGCATGCGCAGATCGTGCTCATGTCGAGTCGATTTTTTTTCATGCTGGCAACGCCGATTTTAGCGATGATTTTCTCGTGTTTTCTTCGGTGAAATTTTTTTAAACTTTGCATTTTTGTTATACAAGGCGAGTGGTACAACATATCCAAATTTTAAGAAATTCGACAAATAACTTTTTCTGTAACCGTCATTCACGAATATCTCGAAAACTTATTTATAAGTTCCCTTCAGATTTTGATATGTTTTTCCTTTATGGGCCATAAATCTTAAAAAAAAAATTTCAGAAAAATTCACCGAACGAAAATATAGATATTGTCCATTTATTGTGAAATTAGACAATAAAAGTGCAAAAGATTAAACATCATGGTTGCCATGGCAACACAAACACTGTTTTAATTTGTTCATAAATGGACAGCATACAGCTTCTGAACTTTCCTGGAAATGATCATATTGCCTTGTCTTAAGTGTATCTAATATAAATTCGGTTCAAAGCGAACGTTACTCAAAATACCTAGAATTTTAGAGAACTGTAGGGAGCCACCTTAAACTCCCTATTAAGATCGCACTTCGATCCGAGACACTGTCACGTTGTCGTTGGAGTTTTGGTTGGAGCGACACGACTGTCAGATGATAACGCTGGCTTAATTTATGAGTTAAAAGTCAGTGGTGTCAAAAAAGTCAAGTACTGGGTCAAAAGCAGGGCCTTTTTTTAATTTTTGAAATTAAAATTTCTTTAAATTTTGTTACAAACAGTTTCCAAATATAAACAACGTCCAAACGGATTAGTTTAGTTATATTGTTCGCAAAGTTTCGCAAAGATCAACACGCAAGCATGCTATCAATCTCGTTCCCCGAGCCAGCGATCCTCGGGAAGGAACGCGAGGCTCTGGGATAATCCGTTGCTGGAAGCCAGGAATCCTGGCTAAGGTCGAACTGTGCATTCTATATCACCGGCCAATCAGATTCCTCCATGAAACGGATTATCCCAGAGGCTCACGTTCCTTCCTGAGGATCGCAGGCTCGGGGAACGAGATTGGCATGCTATATTTCTTCTCATACATAAAAGGTATACAAGAGCCTGGGCTCTAGTGTTCAACATTTCGGGAGAGCACTTACACCGGGCTTCAAGTTTCAAATATTGTCTGGGGGAATATTCGCCCAGATCCCCCTATTCATGCGTGGTATATATGTTGGCCGCGCACGTAAGGTTATGTGGGTCATGGCTATCCGGCCCCCTCTAATATATTAGAGACCTTACGATTTTAGGACGGCAACCGCGACGGCCAAAACAAACTCCTTCAAATAAATGGTAGTCGATAGTTCGTCGTATATTATCAATCGTATGAATTTAATACAGTTTTAGAAGTTGCGCAGCTCATCTCCTAGTGATCTGCGCGAGTTGTTTTGTTTCTCCGGGGCATCGCACGATGTATATACTCGCTCCTCTGTTACTGATCTCAAAATACCATCTGTCAAATCTAATCTTTCCAAGACCAAACTCTCATACAGTGGTGTTTTACTTTTCAATTCTTTACCAAATGACCTGAAAGTGTTTGACGATTACTCCCTGTCTGCATATAAGCATAAAGTTAAGAGGTTTTTCTCTAATCTTAATCATGAGGTTGACCATCTTGAACAATTTTCGTGTCTTTCTTGTAAAAACCTAGTTAAGTGTATTTGTTACTCGCACTGAATTTTCTTTTAATTTTTAATAACTTATATTGTCAAAACTAAAAAAAAAACATGCATGCTTAATAATACAGTTATTTTCGTATTTGGTACTATAAGTTGTATAGTCCCATATGTCTGTGTCAAATGCTACTATAGACTTGCTTCTTTGTATATATTGTAAATACTGTAGGTTATCTAATTTTTAGAGGGCCATTTGGTAGAATACCTTCTCAGGTAAAAATGTTAATTTACTCTCATCAAATAAAGTTTATTATTATTATTATTATAGTTGAAGACATGGGTTTTATGGTTGGGAAGAGTTCTGCTAAACCCAATTTGAAGTTGCACTTGTTGTGGCTTGGAATGCAGCCGTTGTATCAACACGTGAAAATATGTAATTTGGCGTTGTAAACAGAGCGAGGACAATGTCTAAATTATTCATTTATTGTAATGGACGACTTGCGCTTTAGAAAAATTTTTAATCTGGGAACAACAAAGGATATTTTCGGAAAAAAGTTATCAAAATTAGAAAAACTGCAAAGTTTGGTTGCGAAATGTTGTAAAATACGGAAAATATAGCCCTGCGAAGTTGGCAAATTTGTATACATTTCTATTACGGACGGAAATTGGTAACTAATTTAGTTACCAATTCACGCACGTAATACAAAAGTATACAAATTTGCCAACTTTGAAGGGCTATATTTTCCATATTTTACAACATTTTGCAACCAAACTTTGTAATATTACTAATTTCAATACGCTCTTTCCAGCTGTCGTGATAGATTTCGCTGTTCGTACTTAGATTAAAATTTAGTCTAAAGCGCAAGTCGTCCATTACTCAATTCTTTTCAATGATCTATTGTATTGGTAGCCGTTGCCCTCGCGTTGCCGTCCTAAAATCGTAAGGTCCCTATTATCTCACAGAAAGGTCCCTTTTCAAAAGATGCCCCCTCCACCCCACGGTAAATTCCTAGTCAATAAAGTTTCCGTGCATTAAATCCTCACCCACCCACCAACCCTAGTTATTTTGGGGTTATAACAGAATATTCCATACAGAAAAACATAGACGGATTTTGTGTGG